AAACAGCCAGTTTACGAGCAGAATCTGAAACTACATATTCTCACAAATTAAGAATAAAAAAAAGGGGGAAGGTGTCAAAGAAGAAACTCAGCAAGTAGTTTGGCTGCGTATAAACCATCGCCTGATCTCAAAGGTCACTATTTTTACTAGCTAATTTACCTGACAGCAGAGGATGTGTTTAATGCATGTGTCCACAAGTTACTCTTTTCATTTATAAATGTTGTTGGTTTTATGTCTCTATCAAGTTATCCTCGTCTTTTAGCACTGTTTTTCTCCAAAATGGTGTCATTAATGTCGTGTCGACAGCAGGGGACAACAGTCAGAGGTGTTAGTTATTGATGTATATGACTTAAGTTCAAACACAGATTTGTTCCTTTACTGTTACTGCTGTGGCGTCAGAGCAGAGAGCAGGGAAGCCTGTTTCTACGAGACATCATCTCCCTCACCCTGCCTGACTCATGTCTGAGAGTCCAGGAGGAGACAGAGGGGTCTTTGTAGCGCTCTCACTTCCCACATCTGAACAACTTGTCTCATCTGGGCAAAAATATTTTTCTCTTCGCTTGAGCACATGCAGTGTCAGATGGAGGATATTCCTGATAAATATGTGGAGACTTTACAGATACCAACAGTGAAGGCTTGTGCGACAAAATAAAGTGAATTTTCTGTATGCGGTGGATAGAATATAAAATACAACCTTATTTACGCTTTGATCAGCTGTTTTATTATGATTTTTCCTCCTCACTCAGCAATCTAAACCCTTTTGTCGTCAAAACATGTTGTACCAGTCACACCCATGACATGAAATATAATGGTGGTTTGGAGATTCCCTGAGCAACTGGAATATTAGACACAAACAAATTAGGTCATTGTCATTGGGCAACTGAGTGAAACTCTTAGACCGCTGTTTCCCAAACACTTGGTACGTATTCGTCCAGGGCTGTGCGAAGAGTTACAGGGAGTATGGGTGAAACTGTGTTTCATAAGTTTGACTGTCCAACAACCATTGTGCCTTATAGGGAAGAGAAGCTAGTATAACATGTAGGGCCATGATTGACGATAGCACTTAAGAACAGGAGAAAAGTTATGGCAGAGGCACTATGCGATAACAAGGGGCTACAAATCCTGAATCCTGCCTGAAACCTTTTCATACTGACTATTAAAGGGAAAACTAAAGCTGCTGATATAAAAACTCGACAGCATTGTAAGAACCTGGTCCATTTCAGTGGCAAACTCATAAAATTATTTCATGGGTAATCATCGTGCTCTGTTGGATAGCACAAAAACTTTGGGCCTGAAACCTCCAAAAACAAAGACAGATGAAAAAACAAACAAATGGACCAACCGACCAATGATACCAACCAACCCATCTTCAAACCATCAAACCAAACACAACCAACCAGCCAATCCAACCAAACCAAATCAACTAATCACACAACCAAGCTAAACCAAACCAAACTAACTGATAAACCAACCAATTATCCAACCAATCAATTGGCCGATTAACAGACCAACCAACCAACCAACCAACCAACCAACCAACCACCAACCAACCAACCAACCAACCAACCAACCAACCAACCAAACCAACCAACCAATCAACCCATTATCCAACCTACCAATAGATCGACCGGCCGAACCAAACCAACCAACCTTTCATCCAACTTATGAACTGACCAATTGACCAATCAAACCAAACCAAACCAAACCAAATCAAACCAAACCAAACCAACCAACCTTCCAACAAACCATCTTTTTTACCAATGAACTGACCAATGAACTGACCAGCTAACCAATCAATCAAACCAAACCAAACAACTAACCAGACTTAACTAACTAATCAACCAATTTGCAAGTCTTTTTTCAGATCCATAGTTAGATAAATATGTAACAGATATGTCTTCTTAACTTCCCATACTGTAATTTATAAAACTGTAAAAAGAAGAAGTGACAAATTATTATGTCAATATTTCTATATTTTTATCTTTTACCATAAAATCCAACATTAGGGATCTTTGAACTTAATGACCAGTCTGTTATCAAGCTCCACAGTGACCAGTTTAAACAGGAAACATTGGGGTTAAAGGGTATGATAATTAAATCCATGTTACATAAGCTATCTTTTATCTCTAGCATCTGCACATCACTTCTCCATTTTTGTACAAAGTACAAATTCATTCATATTTCAACATCTACGACTGAATCAGAGGATGTTGACATATTTGGCTTCTGCAAAAAGCAGAAATCTAAACAACCTGTGCCGTGACCCTTGAATGTGTGATGGATTTGTTGGGTGGTGAAGCTGTGGAGGGACTGTGTTTGTTTGGAGGTGAGAGGAGATAAATCTGCACTTTTGTGCTGGATAATGACTTATAGAAAAATGATTGGACCAAAATAAAATGAGTTTACACTTTGGAAGATGACTCAGCGTATTGCTTGTGTGATCTGACAAAGATGTGTTGAAAGGACAAGATTCATTTTGTGGATTATTTGTCTATCACTGATAAACAGTTTGAATAAATAAGTTGTCTGATTCTGAGAAAAACAGAAACTCAAAAAACTTAATATTCTGCGAGTGCATAGTATCATATTTCTATTCTAAGATTAGATCTCTGTAAATCCTCCAATATTGCCAAGAGACACATTCATTTTAACAGTAAAACACTTCATTAAGATCTTGTGATATTTCATATCCATTCCCTAGTCAGCGCAGGCAAATGACTCGCTGGAGGTGAATCAGGGAGTTGACTCATTGTCTGCTCATTTCAGATACCTCCCTGCCAAATTTTCAGCCTATGGATTCAGCCCCTGAGCTCAGCCAAACCTAGAGACACTGCTTCAGTGTCAAATATCAAACATTTCCAGACATCTTCAGACATGACAAAAGACCACAATTAGCTCTGAAGTCATGAGAAAGTCCCAGAAAGATGCCCTATTAACCTTCTATGACTTACCGCCCAGCTCTGATTGGTCAAAATGACATGACAGTATTATGAATAATGGGGAGTGAAAGTCAATCTGATCATTTGTGCCACACGTACAGTAAAAACTGGACATGTTCAGACTTTACTAAGTAGGATCATGTATTTGGAGTTGGTGGTTACACCATTTGTTTTGCATAACCACCTCCTCAATGTACCAAACCTGGATCATAGAAACCTGCTAAAAAGATCTTTTTCTTTGTGAGGGACAAAAGTTCTTTAGTTTTTGCTGGACGCCCATAATGGCCTTTTAAAACTACTCCAAGGAGCTGTGCCAGGGGTTGTTAAAAAGTTCTGATATTGGTCCCACCCTACAGTCGGAGTCAGAGGAGCTGGACTGATGGGATCATCTTTAAGCAATAATCTTGTGTACGTCAAATAATTGATTAACTAATGTCTGAGTAACTTTTTCCCAATCTTTCTCCAGAAATCAAACAGCTTGAACAAAACCAGTCTATTGTTACTCAACAGTGAGGAGTGTTACATTCATTTCACAGTGCCAAATCCTGTGGTCAGCCGAGTGTGAAAATCTGCCTGTTTGCGGCCCGTACAGCGTCACTGTGTTGTTGCAGCACCACTGTTTCACTCGTTCAGACAGGGAACATTTACTGTAAATCAAACAAGAGTGCCAGCTTATGCTTTGCCAGAGCAAAACAATAAGAAAAAAAAAGATACACATGCTAATGAGAAACACATCTTTTGTGTTGAAGTTTTCATCTGTCATCTGAAAATGTTTATGTCCATATCCCTGCGGACTCGCTGCGCCGTGTGCAGTCTGGACTATCACTGATTATACTTGTTGTTATTTCTCAGTTTGAGGTTACACCCATGAGTGTGACTCTAAGATGGGCATCTGACAGAATTTTTAAACTAATGACTTCAAGCTAGTTGGCATGTTCACATCGGCCAAATGTGCCTGCCACAGCTCTGTGAGAAGCCCTGCTGTCATACAAGTTTTTGTGCCAGGACGCGCCTGGTGAAGTCTACAAGCTGTAGCTACAATGTGCATCGCCAACATTAGTGCAGACCAGTCCAATCCTGAGACTGTACTGCCTCTGTGTTTATGTGGACTAGTAAAAAACAGATGAAACACTACAAGTGCTGCAAAGTTAGAGCAGCAGAAGATTGAGAGAGACATTCCCCTGCAGAGAAGATCACAGACTAATAAAAGGAGTTATGGTAATGAGGGAGAGTCATAATAAATCAAATTTAGAGTCAGGGAGTCTTCCTCTGGAACGAAGAAAAAGAAAATTGCACTTAGAAAACTTTGACTGCGATCGAATCCCCGAAGAGATGCATGGTTTGAGGGTTTTGTTGGTGCATGATCAAGGGTTCAAATAAGGATTTCACTGAAATGTTCTGCAGTTTTCAGACTGAAATATTTATTGGGATCTAGCTGAGGCAAACAGATCTATAGCATTCTCACAACTCTGATGCAGGACTTTGGTGGACTCTATCAAGTCTACACAAAATACTATAAGAGGTTAAAAGTCAAAATAAGATTTGGTGGCTGTCTGAAACTCTTTTTTTTAATCTGAAATCAGGGATGAAATCTTGCACAAGTCATGAGATGATTAAGACTGTTTGACCTCGGTGTTAGTAAAGCGACTCTCGTTTCTTGAATAAGTCTTCTTCTCTGACCAGACCACTCCCTTCGTTGTCTGCATCCTTCTAAGGAGTCTGCTGTATCTAGAAAACTTGTTAGTTTATAATGAAATCTCACTTGTGCAATACGATTTCTTGCAGTTCGATGGAAAATGCTGTCATTTGTGTTTTGGACAGACCGTTTTTTTCCCCGAGGTGCTGCCTGGACTTCTGTCTAGAGGGAGATGGTCAATAAATTGTAATGAAGAGCAGTGGAGTTTCATTTAATTGTGCATATACTTTCATGCACAGGTGTTCTAGCTGTAAGCAGACTGATACACTGTATGAGTCAATGTGTGTCCGTTTGTGCTTCCTGCTGAGATCTGTTATACCTGCTCTTTATCAGAAGGCTTCACTCAGCAGCAAAAGTGCAAGCAGTTACAGGATGTGTGTTGTTCCAACATCTGCACCGTTCCTATGGCAGCTCTGAGAGATGAAGTAGAGGCGAGCACGTCCCAGCTTATGCCTGGAAACCTGCTTGCTGTACTCGGGAGGCCTGTTGAGCTGCCAAAGTGGAAACAGTCCTTGGTCTTCCTGGAAGTGATCGAGGAACTTGAAATTCTGGTAGTCAGAAACACTTCCCACGACAGAGGCGAACATAGATGCTGAAACACGAAGAGCTTCACCAACACAGCCAAATAATTTCACAAAGAACGTCAGATTGAAAGGGTCTGATCAAATAGTGGCAACAAAAGCAATTTTTCATCTTCATTTACATAAAAATGTTACAGCTCAAGTGTTTTTACAGTTTGGGTTTATTCACCACAAACAGACTGGTTTTATTATGGCAGACTGACCGCAGAGATGTTAGCCCGAGCTAGCTATGGTGACCAATGGTGTGTGAGAGAATAAACAAAAAAAGGACAACAATAACCATTAAAAGAGGTTTCACAGTCGATGCCAAAGCTAACATATTGGTTATGTAATTTAATTCAAACACAATGAGATTATGTGGTGATAGTTTTGGGGTTAAATGGGAAAATGAAAAAGTCAAGGGAGCTTTTGGGCGTTTTCTGCCACTTTGCTGAAATCTTGAACTATCAGGTGAACTCATACAGTCTATGGGAGAACTGAACAAACTGTGAGTTCCCACAGAAGAAGTAGATCTCACAACGACTCATCTTCTCTACATGAAAAAGGCCGACACAGGTGACGACTCCTACGAAAAGGTGTGTCAGCAATATGAGACACGGATGCGGTTAAATAGAAGTTTTCGTGGGACTGACTCCTCTGAGCAAACTAAAGAACTGGCCCGTTAGACCCTGCCTCTCAGGTCACCGCTGGGTGAGACTCACACTTGCACAGAAGCCAAAACAACTCTTCCATTGCAAAATCAACACATCATCAGTGGATCTCAGGATAGGACAATGACTGATTCCCCATTTTTAAGATTGCAACACATTCCCAGGAATTGAAGTGCTGTGTGAGAGTATTATCAAACCACTTGTAAGAGAGAGTGACGCATTTGGGACAAGTTGAGAACCTGCATGAACTCAGTGTTGCTTTAATGAAAATGAGTGAGTAAGCATAAAATTACGGTAACAGTTCGTTTCTGTTGGATAACCTGAGGCTCAATAACCTGTTTCTGGGATTTGGTAATTTCCTCTTTAAGAATCCAGGAGAAAACAGCCTCGTGGTCACTTCTTTTACAGCTAGAGAAAGTACTAAAAAGCTAAATAAAACAAAAAAGGATATCCACGATTGTTTTCATTATTGTTGTCTCGGTGAGCTAGTGTAGACGATGGAGGAAGAGTGCTCGAAATTGAGATGCAGGAGTGATTAATTTAAAAAGATGACACAAGGTAAATCATTCGTACTTTTCACTTTCCACCTTACGGCGTCTCGTTGCTGAGGCACTTAGTCAAGTTTCAAAGCGTCTACAGTTTCTTCAGCCTCATCATTATTTCATATCACTGTAACTTCGTATCTGTTTCTACCACAGATAAATCCCTGCTGGCACAGACCTTGGGCTTTGCAGCTTTGTGGGACTGCCTTGTTACGCAGAGACGACTCCTGCCTTGGGCTAATGAGCATGGAGAGAGATGTCCTCTGAACAAACTGCAAATGCCACCTTCAAAGGAGACATGCAGTGCCCCAGTTTCGGCGGCCACAGGGAGCTGTCTGCCACGGCGTAGTTTAAAAATTTCTCTTGTTACCATAAAATATGTGGTAAAAGATTACATGTGGAAGGAGTTAGAGTGACCCAGAAGACTTAACTTGCAGGTTGAGGATGTACAGGCATAAGCTATGCAGTGTAGTTTATTTATTGTTGACAGATTAGCCAACCAAGAATTTTTGAGGATATTGGAGTCTTTCAGCAGGCAACCCCTTTCTTGTAATTTCTTTCCTAAAAAGCGTGAGACAGCGCTTGTACGATCCTAATGAGGAAGTGAGGACAGAACAAAGGCTTTTGACTGTGATGTCAGGCACTTTGAGTCTCATACTGTGGCCTTTGTGATCCTCTAAGTCTAAAGAAGAGTTGGGGTTTGTGGCTGAAAGCAGCCTTGGGAGAAATCTTGCTGTCCTATGTGACTGAGCAGCCGCAAGCTTTTGAATAAATGAACAACCAAGCAGCAAACTATGGGGTCATTGGGAGGCTGATCGCTGACACTCACAAGTGGTAGTTAGGACTAATCTGTCATATCCATATATTTTTTTAGGCTGCATATCCCATCTCCCTCTTATTATCTCATTTGGTGTCTCACCTCTTTTGCAAGTTTCTTCCTCTCCAAAAGTATCAGCCTCACTCAGGCTCCACTGATCATTTTAAAGGTCAAGGTCTGTTTGGCCACTTCTGGTCGGCCCAGCGGGAGATGCTGAAGACTTTATTAGCCTGATTGCCTTTGAAGTCCTCAAAGCGACTGCAAGAAACTCAACTGCCTGATCAAAGGAGGGAAGAAGGAGACAAGGAAATGGGCATGATGCACTTTGGCTTTTATTCTGCGGGTGAAGATGTACACGGTTGGGTTAATGAAGGGATAGGATTCATCACAGATTATCTGCTGGGAGAAAATGTGTTAATGCAAAGATGAAATCCAATGGAAATGTCTATAACACTCATCTGAGAACAATTTTCCACTTTTACAGGAGGATAAAAGAATAACATTAATCTGAATGAGCTCTTTATTGTACCAATCAGCTGGGTCAATATGACTCCTGACTGTTTTCATCAATCATACACGGCGTTTTACGACACAGCTGACATTTTCTGTGATTGTTCATGTAAATTAATGAAGCATGAGACACCACACCCTGTTTAATGAGCAGTTTTGGATAAGAACTCCAAATCGTATGCCACTTTTATGCGGTCACATTTTGGCCGCTCCTTTAATCCCTGAAATCAAAGGTAATACTGGACATGGAGAAATGCGCTCTGGTGAGTGTCAATTGAAATCTTTTACAAAACAGGACAAAAAAAAATTCAAAACGCATGTAACTGAAAGGTCAAACTCTGCTTCACATGGCTAGGTATGTTTTGAATAAAGTGTTAAGGTCTGGGCAAGTTTTGCAAGAGTTACAGCTGTTGTATTCAACTTTGGGGGAAACTAAGTACTGAACTAGATCTTACATATAACCACTGTACCCAAGGGTAACCTCTGAATAAAAGAATTTGAAATAATGTAAAAAAAAAAAAAAGATCTGTTTAACTACCTGGTTATTAAAAATAGACAGTTAGTCCAGATAATTTAACTGCTATTAACTGTTCACTGGTGTCTGGGGTTCCTCCCTCCTATTTTTACCTTTTTACCACCTTTAACCCCCTCCTGAAGAAACCCTCTCTAGATCCCTCTGTTCCAAACATTTATAGGCACATCTCTAAGCTGCTGTTTTTATCCAGGAACTCTGAAACAGTTGCATCCACACAGTTGATTTCTTTTATGACTGACAATCAGATCTTTCTCTGCACAAAAACTGCTCTAGTCAAGGTGTCCAACAATTTAAAGCTTTCAGCTGATTCTGCCTTATCCTCTATGCTGATCCCTCTAAACCTGAGTTCATCCTTTGATACGGTCGACCACGATGTCTTGGTGATGTGGCGCTGGACCGGTTCATTTTATGTCTACCAAAAATGTATTTTTCTGGAGTGCCTCCTCTACTCCCTGCTGTGCTCCTCTCTCATGTGGAGCTCCCCAGGGGTCTTTCTTGGGTCCCCTTTTATTCACTGTATATGTCACAGGTTACAGTGTGTGTAACATGCATCCAGGAGTAGCAACTGTACCACAGATTGGACTTTTAGGCACCTTGCACCTTGGACCCTGGGACATTGTTGACAACTATTGGACTGGTTTTACTATCTCATTTTATTCTGTATTTGTCATTTATTCTTCTTCCTAATATAACCGATTTGTCTCCTGTGATCTTGCATCTGTGTGCTGTATCAAGTCGATAAACCTTTCCAGTATAATCTTTTAAAATTCATTTAAGGGAGCTTCAATTTCTAGCTGCAATCATATTCATGCTCTCCTTGGGGCTACTCTTGCATAGGCATGGTATAGACTGTCCGCTATGTAGATGACACTTAGCTCCATGCTCAGTTAAAACCATGTGTCTCACCTTATGTCTGTCTGACTGAAATCCAGAATTGGATGTTTGAAAAATGTCTGCTGCTGAATAACTTCAAATCTGAAGTTATGACCATAATTCCCTGTACCCTGTCTCTGAGTAATCTGTCCTCCAGCCTGGGTGCTTTATCTAATAATGTTTAGAAAGAGGCTTGTGATCTAGGAGTGACTTTCTTTTACTCCAGTCTTCCCTCTGATGCCCAGGTGGTAACTTAGTTGGGAATTTAAGTTTATTTGAACTTTTATGAAGCTTGTTTGTTGTTAAATTTCTTTTATAACTACAACCGCTAACTGCTTCAACTGTTTTGAATTGCTCGGCACTATTTACTTTTCAAAAAGTTCCATATAAATAATATCATTATTATTATTATCAATGGAATTAAAAGGGGAGGGGGTTACTAATTAAAATAGCTGAATAAATAAATGTACTAAAACTATCTGGTTACAGGAAGACTGGGTTTTAGATGCAGTTTAACTTGTTGCAGAAGTTAATTTAATAGTTTTTTACTACATCAAAGCGTAGTTTGCTTTACCAGCCTTGCCCTGAGACCCGAGAAACAGAAACTTTGATGGTGACGTTAATGATGCTCAACAGTTGCATGTAAAGCTGAGTTCTATCACAACAAGGTCCCTAAGCCATTTGGCAACCACATGAGTAAATCTTGATCAGCCAACTCAAACACAGAAATCAGGGATTGCATTAAGTCATTTAGAAGCAGCACAGACCTTCCAAATGTTGTTTTCATTCGGTGTCCGGTCACTGATTTGCTGCCAGATATTGTTCTTTGTCGTCTCAACTGTGCCCGCAGTTTAAAGGCGATTAAGAGTAATCATTTTGATTTGAGCAGAGAAAAATGGTTTGACTCAAAAGGCTTGTATCCAAACCCGGGAACCATCTGTTAAACTGTCCTAATGTTAGTAAGGGTTATTATTCACCACCGTGCTCAAAGAGAGCGCTTATTCTTCTCATATGTTTCATTTGTGTGAATAACCAGGATGGGACTGATAATGATCCAGCTGCTATCACCAGCTGAGTGAGTGACTTCAGGTCCTCCATATCGTTTTCCTTTCATCATCACCCAGGACATTAGCTCGGCTCATTGACCCAGTGATGTTCCCCTCCAGTATCTGTTTTTCCCAAGATAGAAGTGGATGACTGAGAGCCTTCTGCTCCTCTGTGTCTCCTGTATCTGCGTCACTGCCTGATAATCACGGCTTTACCGGCAGCCATCACTTGGTGCGTTATCTCAGCTGGGGTGTGCCAAAACGGATGTGTACCAATATGGGATCCATGTTTCCTAATAGGGGTCTGTGCGTGGGGGGTGTTAGGATCCGGACTCTCAACATCGATCAGTGTATCAAAGGTGAGCGTGTCAACAAGCCCCTTCCTCCAGTTTCAGGACACACTGTGAGTGAAGTGACTTTGATTTCAGCTTTTTCATTCTTCCTAACAAACATGCTTTAATCGTTTTATGTCTTTCAGATTTGTGAGGGTTATATAAATATTAGGTTTTTTTTCCCCATTACTGGCAACATAAATGACTTCAAAAATAAAGTCAAACTATTCTGAATTTTATTGCTCTGCTTTGGCTGTCAAGATGCCACAGCTCAGAGATGAAATTTAGAGGATCTGTCATCTAAATCAGCACAAAAACACAGTCATAACTTTTCCAAAACCTTCCCAATAATCTCTGGAGTCCTCCGAATTTCATCTCAAATCTTAAAGCAAACATCAAGGAATTTCTCTCAAGTTTTGTGTTGGTATGAGAGTAAACTTTATTTTGATACATCTTACACTACAATGTCTGTAGCTTAATATCTTACAGATATGTCATTGCCATGTTGTGTGGAGCGATCAGCTGACGGCTCTTTGCAGTGAACCGTGTGAAGATGAGTGCTGACTGCAAGGTTATGGAAGAGGTTATCGCTAACTCTTCACTGTCCATCTCACTCTGAGGCACCCTGAGCCCTCGCTACGGAACTGAACTGCTATGGAAATACCTCTGGTCGTATTTTCCTCTTTACCCGACCATTTTTGTCCCTGTTGTAATCACTCTTACACATGGCGTATGTCATCAAAAGCCTGACATTTACAAAGTATTAACAGAGTTGTCAAATTGTACTTAGCAAGTTTAAAGTCTTAATAATGATCACAACGAACAGAAATACGTGAGCAACAAACACTTCAATTTCAAATGACAGAAATCAGCCTTCTTCAATTTCCAAAAATGCTTCTTTAATAAATAGCAAAAAACTGACTGACTTTAAAAACATCAGTAGCTCTTGGAGGCAAATCTGAATGATCATGAGACATTTGAAGACCCATACTCTCAATTTGTTCAACGCAGAATCTGATCACCAAACAGGGTTACAAAAAGCTGAGGTGGTCCAAAGCACACCTCTTCACCCCTCAGTTTACATGCAGTACATGAGCCTCGACATGTGAGACTCGTGAACACTTATGAAAGTCTTTTTAGTGGAGAATTCGATAAAACTGTGACAAACTCAAAAGGGGGGAGTGAATATGTTTGAAATGTTTGGACAAACCATGTACTATTTGATCCCAGAAATGATGCCACAATCTGAATCCTTTCCTTTAGACCGAGTGGCAGATAACAGAAAGCACTGGCCCCCCACATACACACACATCCATACATCCAGAGTAAACATTCCACATAAGCAAACACAGGGACAGACCTGGAGGTCCATGGAGGGATCACGCCACACTCCGGGGCTATCAGCTCACCCCACCCCCCTAAACAGACACATTTTCTCTCTTTCCGTGCCCTCAGTGAGTGTTGACGTCTCTCTGTTTTTACATTATCAGTGACAACCCCTGGAGGTCCTGTTGTGCTTCTAGGATTGTACTGTCCGTGCCTTTTGCCCAGTCATTCCCCCGATGTTCCCTCTTGTGGTTTGCTTTGGACTGCTACTGTAGGAACAGTATACTAAAGGCCATGATGACACAGCAGGCTGCCACCCAGGGACTCTTTCGCTCACCTGGAGAAAATAAATAAATAGATTAAAGTCTATGGCAGCATGATATTAACAGACAAAATATGACTTTATTCAAAACACACAGGGGAAATCACAGGCTTACCTATTCTGGCACACTTCCAGAATATCCCTAGAAGCCTGAGAGATCAGAAAAAAAAACAAATTTTTCAAAACAGTTCATGCCATTATTTTCCTCTTCTTGTCAAACCACCGTCAACTTTACAAGAAAACTGTGAAAACTGCTCCATAAAACCCCAGCGAGTCCTCAGATGTCCATGTAAGGAGTGCACTAAGTGGAAGAAACGGGGACAGCAGGCAGATCTTATTATCACTGGTGACAGCTAAGGAAAATGTGGCATCCCAGGCCTTCACTTTTCTGATGTGTCTGCTGGCCTGCGGGAGAGTCTGCGGTGGTCTTAAAGTGTATCCATCCACCAGCTCTCTTTAGCTTTCAAACTGACCAGATGGTGTCAGCATCCCATCGTGAATCCTTTTTATTGACCTAGATTAACCCTGGTTCAAAGTTACGTTTCGACATGACGGGCAAATATGTTTTTTTTACGGAGAATGTTGACATGTTTTTCTGTTAAAGTACACATTCCTAGAATTAGCCTGGAGTCGATATTCTCCTCAGATTGAAGGCACATCCCTGCCACACAAACAAACCAAATCAACAGAAATTATGTCTCATGCCTCAGTCAACAAATCAATCAAGAGGGAAAAGTATTAAATCATCCCATCTGCCACCCTCAGCCTCATGTGTTTGTCTGGAGAGGATGTCCCTCCCTGCTCTGATGGAGTGTGTGTGTGAAGAGTGTGTGTGTGTGTGTGTGTGTGTGTGTGTGTGAGAATGAGTGCAGCAGTTCCAGGGCTGTGCCAGACTTGTTAGATGTGAATCATGGAGTCTGTATATCCAAGAACAATAATGATTCAGTAATGATGAAAATCTAGGCTTTCTGCTACTTCACTCACTTCTAAGAGGAGCGAGCTTCTTATACGCTCGAACATTTTGGATGTTTACTTAAAGCTGCAGCCAACTCACGAGGAGATGATTTGGCATTGACTGAGATTTTTAGAAAAATAAGATCGGGTTGTGAGTTTTTAGATGTCCTGATTTCACCCAAAAGCTTCCGGATGATAAAATCGCACAACAAAATAACTTAAGGTGTAAAATTAGCAACATTAAACTAAATGCGAAATAAAATGCAACCCCTTAAAAAGATCATTCCTGGTGTAAACAGCACGACATGCTGCTGATGTTTAATGTAGGAACTCCAGGAATTGTTACATATGACAGTGCTTTTCATTAGAGAAGCACAAAGATGGATTTAATAGGTCATTTATTCACTAAATATCCCTTCCAAAAGAGCGTTACTCAGATGTTATGATGAGCAGTGTCTGATCATACCCAGTCTTGTTCTTGTCTAGCAGGCTGGGAGCCATCGCTCTGATGTAGGCGCAGGTACAGATCAGGAGGAGAATCACTGTCAGCAGTGACTGGAAGTTGAAAATGGCCGACTGCAAGACAGAAGAAAATAAACACAGACGTGATCTTTTGTTTCTGCTCAGCAGAGATAGGTCTTACAAATATCAGAGCAAATATACAGAAGTCCTCTTGTTTCCTCCTGACAGACATGTTCTGCTGCTTCTACTGAGGAATGTTGTTGTACCAGCTGTTCATTTAGACGCTGTGATAAAAGTGAGTTTGCAGTGGAGACCTACACTCAGTAACACGGTTAATAAAAGACTTAATGTAAGATTAGAGGGACAGGACAGGATATTTAGATTTACAGTCATATTTTTTAATATTTGACTGATAAAGATAATTACAAAGGCGACCACTACATCATGCAAATATCATGTTTTTTTTATATTCAAGAAGGAAAATACAACAATTTAATCGTGATAATAATCATTACATCCATTACTCTACGCATATATTACAATCTAATACTCATGCTTATCTTAGCCTATAGCATTTTTAGATGGATTTTTAATCAATTTATGAAATAGAAGAAATAGTTTGAGGCTGCCTTTACTCTCTGCAGACATTTTATTACAATTTTTAATAATAATAATTATAAACCCGATCTCATGAGAGCAGGCACAGGCCTATGCTGATGTTTGTTATTACTTTAATTAGTCTTCGGCAGATGTCAATAAATTCTAAAAGTCATGAATCAGTGATTACTTGCTCTGTCTCTACGAATTTTTGTGTTTGATTATCAACATTATGACACAAATACTAGTATGCAAGGTAAAGCCTGGCAAAAGCTGGTGTGACACTGGCCTATCTATGATAAATCCAGTGGATTCCAGGTCTGAGATTTGGTATCACTTTTGTGTTTTTGAAATTGGCCTGTTTCTGCAGCTGCTCAGCCGACACTTCCCCCTCACACCAACTTCAGGCATTAAAATTTATAATATACAAGTTTTCAATCTTGTCCCTTTGATCTTTTTTGCTTTTGAATATTATAAAAAGACATCAGTATAAATTTCTGTCATCAACATAAAAAAAACTCCACATGGAAGCTTTAATATTTATCATTGAAGATGCAGTGAGAGGCAGCCGTGTACTGTGTACGTTAAGTCAAATTTAAAAACTCACTTACTATCCTGTTTCCTGCTTTCTACCCCCCTTTTCTATTACATTTCTTCTTCCTACCTATCTTATGTTTTTATTTTGGTCCTCATGCTCTCATTTTATGTTGTAGGGTTCTTGTATTGTCTGGGTTTCTTATGACAAATAAAATTGGTCTTCAATTCGGAGGCCTTGTTTTGAACTGAGCTTTTGTTTTTATTGCCATGTGCTGATGTTCTTTGCTTTGCAACTGTTTGTCAAAGCACTTTGTAAACATCTGTTTTTAAAAGTGCTATAAAAATAAAGTTATTATTATTATTATATATGAAATGTTATTCTTATATTTAAGAAACACAGGGGCAAAAAATAAGAAACAGGTTTCAATATAATGCACCAAAACTTCAACAATGATCAATAATGATAATAATGAAAAAGATCTTTTCAGAATAAATATGAGAAATGAAAGTAAAACTGTTGTATTGGGGTGTAATGTTATGGCCAGTTGGTGTATGATAAACCTTTAAATACTCCTAAAAAACATAATTTAAAAGAATTTGACATTTTACAACCAAATATAATCTTTTATTATTAGGTCTCATTTTTGGGCATCACAAATTGGGGTCCAATTTGCGGCTCCTGATCAGTTTCACCGTCTGATTTAGATAAATCAATCTTCACTGAGTAAATCTATTATTGTCTGAGCGGGATCACATAGGTTTACAAGCTCACATGCCATAGTGGCAGAAATATGATCCCGATCAGCCATGGATCTGCTGGGACACCCAAACCCAGAATCCCTGAACCCTGAACCAGGAGCAGCTACGTGGCACACACCCCAAAACACACCGATGTTAGAGGCTTCTGAGAGTGACACTGTCCTTCCTGTTTACATAAAAACGACTCTTCCGCAACTTGCGTTATCATAGATGCTTACAGTCTGTTTTTATTCAGAGATAAAACCATCATGTGCAAAAAAACTGGCTAAACTTTTAGCCATAGGTGCTAGCTAATGCTAGCTTCGTAGTACAACATTCACTATTTGTCAACTTTACGCAGAGCTTTTAAATTCAACGCTATTCCAATACACAACCAACATAAATAACTCCGAGAATTTGTGTTACATTTCATGCTGTGACACGATGCGAAATAAAAGATGCTCTAAGTAAGGACAAAACTCACCATCGCTGATGTGATTCAAAGCCACATCACACTTCCTGCTCCGGGGACCTTACGTAATGTAAGAGGTGACGTTTGGGTGACGCAATGACGTACAGGTCCGCTGATTGGTTCAGGAGCTCAGGGCTTGACGGTTGAATCGACAGTCAGGAAAAGAGTCATCAGAGAGCGGCAATGATTTCAGTGTCAAACAAAAGTGCTTCATCCGGACCACGCTGTAGTTAGCCGGTTCAGTAACGTAAGTTTTTAAAGACGTTCATTGTTTCATCCACTCATACATTAAGGCTAAATCACACTAAGACCGGCTGCTCTGTATTGTGAGCAGGGTGGACTCAGTCTGTTCAGGACTCGCCCTGCAGAAATGTCCATGATCCCCACCAACAGTAAGATAACTCATCCAGACATGAATGCTGAGATTTACTCTAGCTTGGCTGTAAACATTAACGAAATCTGACCTAAGGTTTTATGAGAAAGAGAGGGATGTATGCATTTCTTTTATATTGTAGGGGAGAGTGGGGTAAGTTGAGCCACCCCCTGTTGCTTGGAAATGGTCAAAGAAATTGATCATGTGACCAAATATTTAGGAGATGGGCGTCAATGCATGGAGTCTGTTAAGGCTGGAAGCACATTGGTGAAGGGGTTAGACATTTAAAGCTACAACTAGCTACAACATGAGGTCAAAAAACCTTGCTTAAAAGTCCACCATTTTGGCTTAGAGGACTAATAAAGTCATCATAGTAGTTCTGGGGTAAGTTGAGTCAGTGGCTCAACTGAGAAAGTAAATAAGTCTGATGAGACGATCAGAGTTTTAGTTCAGATTGTTGAAATGTGTAACTTTTTCTTTCCAAAAAACACAGCAGTGAATGTTCTGAATCACTTAAAGCACGGGTGTCAAACTCGAGGCCCGGGGGCCAAATCTGGCCCGTGGGACAATTATATCTGGCCCACAAGATCATATCATATTTGTATTTTTATTTGCCCACCAGTATAAAGTCTGCAGATTTCCTCCAGGATAATAATGTGAACTTGTAAACCATTATTTAAGATATCCTTAATAAACCACAAAAATCTGGGAAAGTTAAGAGGAAGGAAGATTTGATAAATAGTCAAGAATGTGGGGGAAAAATCGTGTTGGATTGGCTTTAAGGGTGGGAAATAGAAATAGATAGGACAGATACTTCTTGTCTGCCTTAGACATCATTGTGAAGTAGCGCATTAAAAAAGACTCCGTCTTGTTCTGCATCCTATAGAGAACTGTTACACATCCTCCCCCCTCAGTGTGACGTAAGATTGAAATGTTTGTGGTCCACTTCTCTCCGTTTTCACAATGAAGTCCCCTCCCTCCAATAACCAGCCACAGCAGCATCTTGACTGCATTTAAACCATGTTTCAGAAATCCCCCTCGACCCCTCTTTCCCAGACACTCCAAGAGAGCTCTTCATGTAAGAAGAAATCTGTCATATTGTAAACCACACATAAATAATGCTTTGCATATTTGATGCCAAAAAGTGGGGACGAATAAAAAAAGAGTCTTGGGACTGAGCGTCTAGTTTTGAGAAGCAAGAGATGAACGAGTGACGGATACAGATTTCACTGTATGCGATCGATCGAATGATTTTTGGTTCACTGACCCACTTTGGTCACGTTTCCTGTAGTCAGATTGTTTGATCTTGAAGCTCCTGTGTAGGAGAAAGCATGAGGAGAAAGTGCAGTGAAAGGGCAGTGAGTGGACAGAGTGGATTGGCCTAATTATCTGGGTCTATTATAAGATGCTTAATTGCTTTTCCTCCCCGTTTGGGAAAGAGAATCTACAATTATGGACTCTCTTTGTCACCCACTTTTAAAGAATTTCATAATACAGTTTCTTGCTATTTCAAATGTATCAGTGTGATGAAATGTCCGTGAAAGGGAGGGAGCGAGGAAAGCGGATGAAGCTGTGTCAAAGCTGTAGCGAAGCTTTGCCTGATGATTTAAGCCGGTGACTGTTTCTGACGATGGAGTTTGACTTAACGGGAAGACTTCTGGATGGATTTGAAGGTTGTTTGCAGCTCTCCATTCCTGACAGACAGCAGTGTTCATTTAATTGGACAGTCCTTCTGTCATTACCAGAGGGTCATCGTCCCTGCACAACAGATGTTACAGTTACTAATGAGTAGCTGGGCTCACTTTATGGGGTTAAAGTTGAACCCTTATGCTCCCACATCTTGCTCAGCCCCTTCGTCCAGCCACACCCCTTCTTACGGCACAAAGGGTCAACTTTAATATGCTGCAAGGTTCTTGGTGCATGTGCGCATCTGCAGAGAGGGCGCATGTGTGTGCCTTTCAGATCTCTGCTGTATGTCTTATTTCAGGTGACCTTGACCACCTGCTCTGTCAGCATGTATGATGGGAATACAAAGAGGGAATACACCGAGAAGTGCTGTCACGTTCTAACTTATAGCACTGTGTCCAAAGGCGCTCATTTTCATTTTTTCAACATGTCCAGCTTGGCTAACTGCCAATTTAGCTGTCCTTTTCCTTCCATCTCCACACACTTTGCCCTGTAGTTAAGCAGGGAAGAAATCCAACTCACCTCTCACTTCACGTGGAAGCAGTAATCATACGTTCTGGCTTGGACATCCGTAATCAAGTAAAAGTTTCTCAAGCCTTGTGAGAAGAGAAGAGAAAGATTTTGCAGCCAGTAAACCAAGAGGACATCTCATATTGTAACGTCTTGTGTAATTGATCTGTTTATTATCATCTCTTTCTGACCGGAGACTGAACTTTTTTTTAATACTTTGGCTTTTCTTCCCCAAAACCTTATGACCATGAGATGAGGAGTAGACCACAAGACAACACAATCATGCAGAATAATCTGCAATTCATAATATTTCTGAACCTGGACTAAAGAAGATATTCGTTAAGAAAGATATAAACTCTGAATCTTGGACTAAATGTAGGCGCTGGGGAATCTAGACAACAACTGGGGCTGTTTGGTAATATTCTTTTATTATCTTTAACAGCGTGTAATTACCTTGCTGGTGGTCGAGAGGCCGCATTTCCACACAAAACCTGCCAAAACCTGTTAATCTCTGTGTGGCTCCACTGACTCAGAGAGACCCCATTAGAGACACTCACTGGGATGTTTATGAGCAAATCCAAGCAGTAAAACAATGAGGCACATTGATGAAAGTGGGGGATTAACACAGCAACACCAAACTGGATTTGCTGAAGGGAAATCTGCTGAGAGGCCGTAGGACTACATATGAAGTATCGGCTTTAAAGACATCATGATCCAATGTGCTTATTCCTGGCCAAAGGTTTCATGAAGGCACATTGGCAGTTACCTAATCTGACATCTATGTTTTCCTGCAGGTCATGAGTGGTACAGTCCGACAGATCTCTGTGACTACTGATCCAGACACCCCCTTTTTCCTGCGAGTGGACTGGGCCGGGGACCTGGGTGCTGGTTTCACATTGGCTCTGACTGATGGCAGCTCAGCATGGATCGGAGAGGGTAAAATTTCCAAAATTGTACAAGAACATGTTGATATGTGGAGACTTGGAGAGTGAGGATATATCAGTGATAAATAGTTTACATGAAAATATTGATTATTCCTTTTCTTAGAGCGTACAGAGAAATGCTGATGACAGACGGCCTGTGATGAGTTCAAAAACTGATCCTGCTGATCGGACTAAATAAAAAAAACTTTTTCTTTATCGCAAAAGTTTTTATTTAGGAGTTGCTTCTTTAAACTTGGCTAGTGTTGTAAAAAAAAAAAAAATTAGAATCAAAACTCTTTGAATTTATTTTAGTGTCACACGGTTAATGATATTTGAAAGTGACTAATTTCTTTGTCATTTTAGTGGAAATCTAAATACCAACCAACTAGTCTTCATTCAAGAAAACACTCAGAAAACAGTGAAAATTGAGCGCATTTTCTGTATCATGTCTAAAAACAAGGCTGTCATGTTTGATCGGTTATATGGCAGTTCAACCAGACACAGCTTACACACAATTTAAAGGGATATTCTGGCGTAATATTAATTTAGGGTCAAACACAGCGTAACACCGAGTTAGACACCCCCTCGAGAAATGAATGTTGCCGACCGCTTGCTTCTCTTGTTATATCAACTTTTATACCAAGAATATTTATGATCATTTCTTAATGGAAATTCAATCAGACCGAGACGCTAAGGCAGAAGAACTACCGCGTCTGCAGTGCAAAATGATTAATATGATGATTATTACTTCAAGGAAATTATCAAGTAATGATCATAAATGTTCCTCCTTGAGCTGCGTCACCCCGCAGCAGCCCGTAATAGACTGGCCTGAGGTCTCGCTACAAACAAGCGCCTGCTGGAAGAGAGTAGGTGAGTTGTATTTAGTCTCTTTGCTAAAGAAATCAGAGAAAGTTAAAAAGATGTTTGGTGGCTAGTGCTGTGGCTGGGACCCTTTATGTACTGATGATGAAGTTAGGTGCTGTTCTGAGCATTATTTGTGGTTATAAAGTGGTGTTTTGGTTGAGGTTTGTTTATGGCTCTTCAGACCGCTGTGTATTGCTATTGTGCGGTCGTTACTAAAGTTGGTATAACTAGAGAAGAAGGCAGTCAGCAACATTCATCTCTCGAGGGGGTGTCTAACTCAGTGTTACGATGTGTTTGACCCTAAATTAAGTTTACGCCAGAATATCCCTTTAATCTCCATTTTCCAGGTCCAAATACTGCCAGACACAGTTCTACAGGATCCTGGTTGTCATCTGTGCTTGCATACATGCAGATTGTATCTTTCGTATCGTGTCGTGAAAGTATTAACAGGAGCTGCAGCTCGGTCAGTGGTTGTGCTGAGACCCAATATATAACCAGAATTTCAGTCTTACAGTTATGACGCAGTAATGTTAATAACTTGATGAACTGACTTAATTCTGGGGAAGACTAACGAGGGTGTTGACGTTCAGATCTTAAGTTGACTAAACACTCTTATCTTGAGTCACAGTATGTTGCAACATTCTTGTAACCTTGTGCGTCATGTGCTGTAATTTCAGGCCAGATTTTTCAAAATTAAACACAGATTTTTATTAACTTTTGAAGACCTACATCTTTTATTCATTGATGGGACTGGATGGTCACCTGGCCTGCTATTAGATCGTTCAGACCCTGTAGGCACCTGGCTAAAACCCTCCTCATCATATTGTAACTGTTGGTCCTTTAACCAGAGGGACAGCAGTGACCTTGTTTCATTGTCGCTCTTCGCTCCTGTGCTGCAGCTTACAGGTGTATAAAGTTGATTAAACTACAAGGCTTGTCTTTGTGTGCACTTTCAGTGTGTAGTATGTGTATGTGTGTCTGTGGGTACATATGCACATGAGCACATTTCCCTGGAAGGACACCTGGAACATAACAGCTCCTTAGTTTTCTATTGCTGTCCATCTGCGCAGTTGACAGGCAGAGATGGGGCTGTGACAGCTATGTGCAGCCTTCTGGGTCGTCAGTGTTTCTGTGTTTGATGTGTTAATTGGGACCCTCAACCAGTGTTAGCAGCTGTGCAACAGCTGATGACATTCCCCCTTGGTTTCTCTGCATGCTTCCTTTCAAATCAGCTGTCACGTGCTTCCAGGAATTACCACATAATTAATGTTTTTAAGTTTGTCTTTGCAGCCTGCTATCACCTTTTTAGCTTCTCTCAGGTTTCACTCAACTGTGCAACTTCAAATTTGTTCAAAAATGCCTTCTTTGTGATCAGTTTCAGAGGACGAAGTGACGAGGGAAGCGAACGATTTGGAAGTCACGAGAGAAAAATATGTGGAGGATCTTCTTCGGGCGCTAGCAGGAGGAAATGAAGGAGGCCGAGAAGAAGGACGGCGAAGGGGTGACAAGGAAGCTTATTCTTTCTGCCTCACTCCAGATCATGCTCGTCTCTCATACCTGAAGATCTGTAATGATATTTCGGTGAGCAAAGGCTGGATGTGGATTAGATTTCACTTTTATATTTCAGTTATGGTCCAGGAAACAAAATCGACATGTTTATAGTTTAAAAGTAGTCAAATTGACATGACTTTTGCCAACAAGTTGAACAATCTTTGACTGAAACATGGCAGCTATATGTGCTAAAACTCTGGCGTTGTTGCTCAGCGTCACATTGTATAAAAAGTCACCAACCTGCCAAATCAAATTCTTGACTGAATTAGTCAACAAACACGTCAAAGAGTCATTCAAAGATTTGTTTTGAGAAGTTGTCAATCATCCTTAAATGCAACATCACCTTGCTCTTCCCTCAGGTCCCTCTCCCCTGAGGATAAACACATCTTGACAACATACAGACAAATAAAAAGGAAGTCTTATTTTTTACAGGGGGGCTGTTGAAAAGATAAGGTTTATAGTCTCCCACATTATAGCAGAATTAGAAAGACTCTGTTGCCTTCAGGCGTCTTTGGAATAAAACCAGATAAGAATCATTTGTTACCTGTCGTCCAGGAACTGCAGTCGTGAAGTGGCTTCAGCTCGTAAACATGTTCTTTAAAAGTGAGTGAGAGATTGCTCCTGACTAATGCAAACACTCACATTCACTTATAAATTAAACTGCTCTGATTTAACACTCACAGACCAAATAATGAAATATCCCAGATGCAGGTATCAAACACTTTATCCTGGGGTATTCTTACCAAAGCTGACAGGGCTGATGGAGTACAGGTCACAGTGTTTTCAAAGGATTATGGTGTTAGTCTTCTAAACTAATAGAGGATGCTGTTGCCTCCAGGGAGCAGGTCACTCGGGGTCCTGGGACTGCTGTGCAGGTAGAGGAGACCAGAGGGTTAGGAACACTTTGGTGACTATAAAAGTAGATTTATGGACGGGGCTGTCCTCATATAACAATGTTGAACAACAGCTGATTGAGGCCTTTTTGTCTCTTTTCAAACTTAGACACCTCCTGGTTTTCTTTTGTCTCTGTGAGTGCATGTCGGGTACATAAATGAGCCTCAGTGTGTGTCAGTGTCCGGACGTGTTGAGACAGACCTGTTATCAGTACTTGTTTAACGACTATTTGTTTTGACTGAATGTGACTTTGACTTCAATCACTTATTTAAGTTGTGTAATAAGAGAAAGAAGATAGAATTCAAATAACATAGAGGTAGGGCAACATATAGAGAACTTTGCTAAACCCCGGTCTGTATGCATGTGGTCATCCAGGAATAAACGAGAAGATAAACAAACATGGAATCAAGAGCCATTGTTTGACTGATGTAAAAGACCATCGTTTTCTTCTGTTCAAGGGTAGGCGCTGGAAAAGTCGTAGCCTAAGGGAGCAACAAGCCCACACATAATGACTGACAGTGGTCTTGTATATCCAGGCCCCAGAGTGCTTTTTAAAAACTCTATCCATGCTCACACTGTTGCTGGCAGTATTCATCAGGGTTCGACTATGTGTGTGGTAGAAACGAGGGATCCTAAGGGACTATTTTCATGAAGTGCAAACTTCCACTCTTGTCTAACACCTGCTTCTTTTCTTTTTTCATTTCTTTTTCTCTTTTTTTTCGCTCTCCCTTCTTCAGCTCTTTTTTTTTTGTTCCAACACATCACAGAGGTTGAGAAGTGGAACATATTTTCTCTGCGGGATAATTTGAGGGTTCAGAAATGACCAAAAATGAGGCAGGTTTCCTTTAGGAGCAGAAGAAAGGAGGCTGGGGACAAAACAGGTGTTGAACTTAACCTGACATTAATATTTTATGAATATGACCCCTGAAGTTGTAATGATGGATGTAATTTGGATGTTTGTAGTTAAACTGCTACTAAGCAGGTGTCTTACCTGGCATAGTCAGACATTATCTCCTCCTTAATGTCAGTTTAAGCACCAATCTGTCATCGGCAGAAAAAAAATTATATCAGTACAGACGGGCAGGTGACAACAGTTGATTTTCTTGACCTTTGAGCATTTTGCATGATGGCAACACATTTACTTCATTAGTTTTTCAGTATTCAGGTTAACCAGGTGTATATATGTCTCAATTTTTTGGAAACTTATGCTGAAAATACCAAAGTTTGACCAAAATATGGATAATGCAATAAGGAAGTTGGGTTTGGTTATTTTAGCGATTTCAAGCTGTTAGCCACTGCAGTGCCAGGTCCCATCAAATTAAATTTCCCCTGCACATTATTTTGAAAGAGCAGGATCACACAACTCTGCGCACAGAGCCTGCCAATGTGTTTATAATCAGTTGAAAGAAATACTAACAACCCAGTGTTTTTTTGCCCTCGAGTCCACTTGTGATGGGTTTAGCTAGACAGTTATCCAGCACTGGTTCAGGGATAAAACAAAGTGTAATAATGACCGGTCTGGCAAGGTTGGACTAGGCTTTTGAGAATTTTATACCAATCTTTCTCTGAGCTGCACTCACAGCTTAGTTCTTCTTCAATAGACCAGAGAGATTAGGAGGACACTGATTCCTGACAGTTGTGGTAAAAGAAACCGCAGGATTCTGGCTGAGGCTTGGTGGATAAATGTGACACTGATTGTTTCCATGTTTTCTGTTGCCAAAATGAAATAGTGTTATTGGTCACCGGGGGTTTCAGCTGCACAGTGTGACGCCAGCCACAAATTTTACTGGAGTAGTCTATGTTTTCTTTTTTAGATTAAATCATCCCAAATTTCGAGGCGTGATATTGTACAATATCTTCAAACAATAATGACACAGGATAGTTTAAAGTGCAGGGATTAGGAATAATATGAATTTGGAAATATAAAACAGCATTTTAACAAATTGGGATATTGCAATAGAAAACGTTTTACAACAGAAATGCTGTAAAGTGCTGTAAAATTAAAGTTGCTGGCCAAACATGCAGTGAAATATGGTAAACAAACTATTTGGTCATAGTTTTGGCACCGTGGGCAGGTGTCGCGAGAAAAATTAATCAGTATCGCCATTGAGCTGATCAGACGCTGGAAGCAGGAAAAGCTCTCAATGAGTTCACTTTGGACCTGATAATATATAGTGGGCTAACACCAGCAGAAAACGTAGCACCTTAAATCTTTACAGTCCAGGGAAAACTCCACTTTAAGTTAAGGCTGGGCGATAAACCGAAAATTTTCCTATACCGAAATTTATGACAATAACCAACATCATTTTGCCCATGTCAATATATTCAGTGTCAAAAAACAAATAAATAAAAGTTGTGGTTTGGATGTGTGTAGGTAGGGTATGGTTTCATGTCCCTTTAAGATGCTGTCCTATGTTGGAGACGTGACTCCACCCCATCTGGTCCGTAACAAAGATGGAAAGACAGGTGAGGAGATGGAGTACAGTACAAAAGTTGTAGCGACTGAAGCGGCAACTGAAGTAGATAAAGTTAATGTGGAAGGGAATGAGCAGCTGGAGTAGTTATCGTCCATTTATCGCTATCGAGGTGAACTGCTCAGTATATCGTGATGTTGATTTGAGGCCATATCGCCCAGCCCTACTTTAAGTACCTTTGACTCCCTACCCGAGCTCCAGACTGTTGGACCTTGATAACCCGTTGACATGTACTATCGTCCAACCAGAGGACTTCTGATCCCTGAACAACTCTTTAGCTCTTTTCTTCTTAACTCCATAATTGTGACTGTGTGCACTGAACTCAACTGAGAGGTACACGATAATCACTCAGTTTGAATAGTGATTAAGTCATTCTCTAAATGATATATCTCACTTTTTTAACTGTGGGCCATTATTCTTAAAATTATCAAAGAAAAACAAAGTTTACCTGAGCAGAGCCTAAAATATATTTAATGTTGTTGAAATACTATATGAAATGTTGTCACTGTAGATAATGTCAAACTATGTCGTGGTATTCTGAGTTTTTGAGATGCACCTGTTGATTAACCAAAAGCAGTCTGAACAAAATGCATTTAATGGGATTTCAGGACAAAAAAAAACTCTGCTGTCATTCAAACTTCAAAAGCAAAACTGCAGAAGTTGTTTATATGCTTCTCTGACTCGGCTAATATAGTACAGTTGTTCTGCTGTTAGTGTCTGGAAATTTGTTGCACAAGTGGCTGCCAGATTTTCTCATCCGGACCACATGAAAGAGTCGAATACACCAACACATTTCTCCTGCTGTCATCACCTTAAGCTCCACAGGGTTGTTTCTTACTGAGCCCAAGTTTACTTTTCTGATGTTTGCGGGATCAGAGTGAGTTTTCTTCAGTTTTTCCTCTTTGAAAGGATTAATTTTGTCATAAAGCAGAGTGAAATCAAGTGTTTAACTACAGGTCCTCATCTGCTCTTAAGTTGGATCAGGGTCTGTGTTTGCAGGAACATCGATGTTATCATTGAGACTTTCTGCAGTTGCCTCTGACTTCCTGTTCTTTATCTGGACTCACGCCTCTGCACGGCTGATGCCACAAGCTGATCCCTGTACAGTGCCCACACTTCCCATACTGAGGGACCTTGCCTACTCTTGAACACTGATTCTTTGTCATCATGCACTCACTGCTCACCCACTCGTTTCCCTGTCCCCTCTGGACAGAATAATCATCAGGATGAGAAAGAGAAAGGACCGACCTGCTCACTGTTTTCCTATCGTTGTTATTATAAATTCAGTATCGGTGATATAACCATCGTGAAAAGTTGATTTTTGTTGCTCAGAGGACATAGATAAAGGATCTTTCCGTCTTTTAGGTGGTCTTTCCTTCCTTTTCGTCCTCTAATGTAATTTAATCTGCCTTGATCTTTTAATTGTCTCAACGAAGTTAATCCTGTCGGATGAAAATCATTAACTGGTGTTTGAAGCTAAAACAAGCTTTAAACAATTTGCTCATTTTGCTTTTTTTTTTTTTTTTTTTTGGACCAAACACACTGCAGAAAAATGTGGAAGTGGGTCAGGCACCACAGACAAACAGTCTGACCTCCCACACCATGGCGAAGGCTGGCAACAGTTTGGAGGCTGACCTTTCACTTTATCTCTGAGTCTCAGGAGGAAACAGAAGCTCAAGAAAATGAAGCTTTTTCTGCTATTACCATGAGAAAATGATCGACTGAGGTGAAATTTCTGTCACTTACAAACGACAAAGTCACTTCCTGTCAAATCAGTGGCCGTAAAAACGCTGTTTGACCAAGTTCATAGATTTATATCTTGTGTAGTGCATCCTTCCTCTTTCCACGCTGCACACAGCAAAGTAAATGTAAACTTTGGTGAGTTGGAATTTATATGTTTACAGCAGAAAGTCTTCTGAGAATCTGTGAAAGTAAAGACAGAGAAACATGCCATCTTTTGATGCCTGAAGTAGAAGCAGAAGAAAGTGTCATTTCCCAACATCGATCCAGTAGATAATGGTTTTTCTTTCAGCAGTTTAGATCACACGGGTGTTTTAAACAGGTAATGACATGTTAACAAGCTGCTCAGGATGATTCATGGCGTTAAACGGTGTCAGCAGGTTGAGTTTGCATAAAAAAATTACAGCCATTATAACAGATCAGGGCTGGTAAAGTAAATGTAGGACATTTCATTCTTCAAAGTGTGCAAATATTAGTGTAGTCAGCATGTCAGAGTCCTTAGCCTTCACATTATCCTTTCTCACGTGGCTGATTTACTGCTGACTGACTTACCTGTGGAAGAACAGGAGAGATTTAGGCATTTAGGAGGAGTTCAAAGCTTTCACAGTTGACATAAAACCATTGTGCAGCTCTGCATGTGTGTATTCAAGTAGAAATGTGCACTTTATGGTTTGTCCCTAAAGTTGTCACGATGAGTAAGCCAAACATCTTCCACTCTAGTCCCACTGATCTTCCCATTCATGGTAGACTGTCTTGCCCAAACGTTAAATTACAGCTCTGCCAACTTGTCAAAGACTCATGTGGTCCACTGTCCCTTTAAATCCACAAGACGGGTCTGTAGTGGATCACTTAGACATCCTAATGTTTCTTGGACTTTTATGAGTTCTCAGGAAACTTATCCTCTTTGGATCCCGGGTGGTCTTCTCTGCATCTTGATCCTGTGAAGTGGACTTTTGTTTAATCGTCGATTTCCGTGCTGTGAACAGAGTGGGTGTTATTTTCGCTGACACTGAAAAGATTTTTTACAAATTTTTCTTTTTTAATTAAGTCGGAATCCTAAAGAAGAGTATCTACAGATTCAAAAATCAGTGCTAACAAAATTCGGAGTGAGAGAAAGAGAATACCGAAGCAGAGAGGATTGATGGAAACAGACAGGCAGGCTGTGGGAGTGATGTGAAGCGAATGTCCACTCACTGAAACATGTTCAGGTTCACCGGTGGAAGAAACAGCTGTGTGGCCTGCCGGGACAGCATCAGCCTTGGACAAATATGACAAGCATTTTATGAGAGCTTTTGAAGATGGCTGCTTTATTACAGTGGGTCTGCGACCTCGGAGAAGCTCAGTGAAGATTTAGCACCACATCACCTTCTGGTTTCCCAGCGCGTCAGAGCAGCACCTGTGTGTTTGTGTGTCTGTGTGTGAGTGTGTGTGAATGCCTGTGCCTGCGCCGGAGAGTCTCCAAGGCAACAGGCAAACAAAGATTGTCCTGTTTTTGGAAAAAATGTTTGTCGTGGCAGCTTTGATAAGCAAACACATCCTCCAGGTTGAAAGGTGTTGCTATGTCTTGTAGTGTTTTGGATGTCTCTGTTGTTTGCTGTAGATGCTGAAGTGTTTTCCCCACTTACAAACGGAAAACTCTGGGGAGAATAAGAAAAAATTCACACATCAATTAAATGTGGAGAAAGACATCTTCTATTTTGTGTTTTCCGCTGCCTTCTTCAGCGTTTGCTCAGTGACTTCATGCCAAACTACAAACCAAATGAGGAATGTTAAATCACACCTGAAGCCTGCCTGTGATTCCAAAAAGTCACAGTCAAGCACCAGAAGGGAAACTGTGTGCTCACCTGCATAGTTTACCGATGACCAATGAATTTATCCCGCACAGAAAGAGCTTCCCTCTTCAAAGAAAATGTGATGTAATAAAGTTGCACCTCGTTATTGCGGAGCTTTAGAGATGAGGAGAAGGTGTAAATTCTTACCCTGATATACTACTTTGGTTTGAGTTTGAGTTTGACCCTGTACGTCCTTTTTCTGAATCTTCACTCATGTCTGTTTTCCTGTGAGATCTTAAGGTACTCATGGGGCAGCTGGGAAGTGTAGTCTTAAATCTGTCTTGTTGTTTCCACCCGGTATGTAATGCTTAAAGAGGCCACGCTGAACATGTGTCGTGAATCAAGAGGGACCTGTAAGTGCAAGAGGGAGAATGGTAGAGGATGGTGGTCATCCTACTTCACTTAGGAAAATGCAGAACTGTATTTACACATGTATCGCACATTATTTCATGTGATTCTGTAGCTAGAGACGGTCATCCAGTGTGAATGAAAGATGGAGCAACTTCCCTTGTACACAAAGTGCAGTCAATTTCATCTCTGAATATACTAAATTCTTCTCTTCATTCCTTTCCTCCCCTCCTTTCTTCAGGTGCACTTGGGTTCTGTCGAGCTCCAGCCAGCTCCAGACCCTTTGCAGCTGAACCGGGAGATGATTGGCCAGTCCCTAAAGCACAGCATGAAGCTAGAGTTGGAAAACGGCCAGCTGCTGGAGGAGAACCGACGACTGAAACGGGAGCACCAGAGGATTCTTCGAGAGTAAGAATGAGGGGAGGACACCCGCCCTGTGTTTTGTTCAGATGGATTAGATGTTTAGGAAAAATCCTGCGGTGAGGAGCAAATGTCAAATTCAGACGGAAAATACCCCTACAGATCCAAATCATTTCCTCAAGATGTTCAGCGCTTATTTTTGTTTGTTGATCATCTTGTTTGCATGCAAACTCTCTTTGCGTTTAAGTTATTTTGCCAGCTGTTTATATGCGCAGCAGTCACCCAGTATGACATCACCACTGGTTCGAGAGTTTGGAGGGTTCCACCCAGTGTTGCAAAGGAGGCTTACAATTTCTTGGAACTCACGTCAGATGCTCTGCTTGTATGTCTTTTCATTTTATACATCCCTGATGCTTGACCTCTTGACCATCGTTCATTCGTGTCGAACAAACGGTGTTTGGCAAAGGATGGAGGAGGAGGGGTGAAAGCATTAACATTCATTCTTGCAGAGAGGGGAAAACAAACACGAGCGTTGCATTTGAATGTTTTTAACATCTTCTCTGTATGTGTATGTTTGTGTAAAAGTGGATCTATAAGTGAAGATGTGCAGGTGGTAGTCTGTTGGCTCTTATAGATGCTTATGCACCTACTGTTGTGTTTCGTCTTTCAGACTGGAGAAGCAGGTTCAAGATAAGGAGGTCATGGAAAGGAAATTGTACTCGCGGTTTGTGATGCTGCTGAATGAGAAGAAGGCGAAGATCAGAGGCCTGCAGGGCACCCTCCGGGACCTCCAGAGAGAGCAGGAGGGGAGACAGAGGTCAGCTGACTGATCTGATTGGTTCTCTTGAACTCTGTGGTTCTCTTGCATGATTGGCTAGCTTTGCATCGTAGCTTTATGATGGCAACATGTATGTGTGGTCATTATCAAAGGCGAGCTATGGCTACTCACTGTAACTAGAATATATACTGCATTTTTCGCACTATAAGGCGCTCCATTAATGAATGCATCTATTCGCGTCTATTTTCATACATTAAGGTGCACCGGATTATAAAGTGCATTAAGCCAAACAAAACAGTCAGATAAGTCAAACTTTATTTAACTCATTCAATAACTCCGCGAGGCCACGGTAGCTGCAGTGCTCCGACAAGCCAAAAGGATTTGAAGTGCGCCTTATAGTGTGAAAAATAGGGTATATATATTTATTTAACATGCTGTCTCACACAAATACGCTGATTTTCTGTAAAAAATGCTTCATCCCTTCAGTGACGATGAAGCTGCTCCTGATGAAGATGGCAGTCAGAGTAGAGCAGCAGAATCAGTCCAGAGTTTCCATCCATCTCAGGAGGCGACTATCCTTATCACAGGTGTGTGTGTTTGTCTTGACCAGTATTTTTTTGAACATGTTAATATAAACCACTAACAAACCCATCGCAAATACATAGAAAATTTAATTAAAACAACAATTCAGATATGCCAAAATGAAAAATTAAAGGTCTTCATCCTGTCTGGATGATGTGTTGCAACAGTAATATCGCTTATAAAAACCAGATTGAAACATCCCTAATTTCACCGAATAAAAAACAAAGGATTTTCTCCAGAGGGAAGGCAGGACCCGAGAACGAGCTTCAGAAGATAATGAGAATTGGCATCTAGCTTTGTGTTTCTTAACCAAACAAATGTGCGCGAGTTTGATACTAGAATGAGCTTTGACTTCATTCTGGTATTCCTGTGCATTGAATGAAACACACAAATATACACACAGACGCCATATGTTAGAGGGATCAGGGTGTGAATGTATTGAATTTGGCTGATTTTCCCTGTTCCTGGTACTAATGGTGACTTCATAGGTCAAGATGTGACTCAGTCCTGATGCTCTCTCTTAAGTGTAACTCTTGAGTTTTAGCTTTCCTTGAACTGATTTTACTGTCTAATAAACCTGACAGTTGAATGTAATTGATTATGTAAGCAGGGGGTTTTAACATCAACTTGAAAAGCACACACAAGCCGAGTGTATACCCTGGGGTAGGCAGGTTCTGGGAAACACTCGTCAGTGAGTCATAAACCCACCCAGAGAAGAGAAGTCTGCTGTGATTGCTTCAGCGTTGCGGACCATGAGGTGGTCTTCCCCTTCCTGTGATATGCAGAGCAGGCGTGATGTCACATCTGCTGAGTAATACCCCTCCTGTACGACAGCGGTGCGATCTACTGGGATGACCTGCTAATCGCTCGCTCAATGGTCCTGTTTGTGTTACGGCCAAGCAAGAGCTCCCCCGGATAGCACAATACAGTTGCAGAACTCGCTGATGTTGCAGTGCCGTCATCAGGCTCTCTGGTTTGGCTCTTGATATCTGCACTTTCTCTTACTCACACACACACACACGCGTGCACACACACACCCTGCCTTTTACACACCCATCCTGGCCCCAGTGAAGATGGATGGAAGTTGTAGATTGCTCCGTATGAGTCTTGGCTCACTCTTTGCTGTTTGCAGCCCAGAAGGGTTTTACAATACTTTATTGTGTTTTGAACTTGTCAGTGAAAGTCACCTGGCACATTTCTCTTTATCTTTTAGCCTTGATGAATTTTCCCCATGTGTCCTCCATATTCTCAGCTTTCTAACATTATGGGTGTGTTTGCTCTTACTGTTGTATTAAACCCTCTGAGCCAGCTCCAAAATGAAGACGTCCCTGGTGTTTCTCTTCTGGTCATAATCTCCAAAACAAACCTGATGTCGACGGCTGTTATTGTAACCTGATGGCTTTTTAATGAATTGTGACTCTTTCTTATTTACTGTATTTTGTGCAGCTTTAGTTTGGTAACCAGAGCGACTTTTTAATACGAGAAAAACATGAAACATACAGAAAATCTTCGTGTTTGGACATTCAGTAAGCTTACACAGGATGAATTCAAGTAAACGCCAGTGAGTTTTAGACATTACTGACATTTACTGTATTCAATTTTACTCCACACCCATTTGGCTTTTGCAAATTTTGACCTGCTCTGTAAACTGTGTGCACACACCAAATCAGATTTAATTTGCATATAGAAATCAACCCAGTCTCCCCTGACAAAGTGGGTTATACAATCCCTGTTTGACATGCTTGGCCCTAGTTGACCCTCATGCCTAGGGGTGTTTTTATATCGAGGAGGCCTGATAAGAGAGAGTAATGACAGAGGAGACTAAAGACAAAAGAAGAGGCTCTCTTCTCTTTTTTTACCCTGTTCCCTCCAGGTTTTCCTCCTCCTTGTAAGAAAAGGCGCATATCAGTCACTGAGAGGTGCCAAGATGAGAGATTGAGATGGAAGAGAAGCGGCAGGCGGGAAAATGTTATTGATGATCAAAAGAAAAATGACAGAAACTTCCTTCTTAATTACCAAATAGATGATGATACCAGGCTCAGTGTTATCTCCTGCCTTAGAAATGTTATCTCCTTATCAAACAGCTCATCAGGTATTTATTGCATCTAACACATCTGCTCAATCTGTAGATCTTGCGAATTCAAAGAGGCTAGCAGCTGTGTTAAAGGGCAAACAGGTGTGTGAGTGTACCTGTCCGTGTATAAACGATTGCATCCAAGGGGAAAGGGTCCTGTGTGGAATGCAAGATCTCCATCCCCGATAAAAGCTCGCAGGACTCTTGGTGTGGAAGTGTTGGGGGGTCAGTAAAGGTTATCTCAGGCAGTATGTTCTGAAACCGACACGTGCTGCACAAGAAGACTGAGATAAAGAACTGGGTCCTCTTTTATGAAACCAGCAAAACAACCCAGAACATTTAGAAACAGACTCAACATCACGGTTGTTAAACGCTGAGGGGTGTTTCGAGGCATTTCGAGGTCAGTGTTCAGAAATGTAACCAGCATCTGGTTTCTTTGATTTACAGTAGAGCATTTATTTTAAAATGTTCGTGTTGTATTCAGAGTAGGCCTGGGAGATTCGGCAAAAAAAATGCTCATGATATATTTTGTCATATCGTCCGATCCCGATAATTATCGCGATTTTCTTTAAACTGCTAGTTTTAAAGCATTATTTGCTCAACGTCACTTTGGAGATCCCCGAACCACCGCCACACACAACGTTGAATGACTTCTCAACAATAACATCTTCGGAAGATGACTCAAAGTCCATGCTTGGTCATTCTGTGGTCATTCTGTTTACTTCTCCAGCAACTTACAGAAGTGAGCAGGAAAAGCTCGACTCCGATTGGCTGTTGTCACGCACATTTCCACTATGTTTGATCTAGTAAATATGCTCACAGCTGATCACCGTGATCGAACTGAAATTTATCACGATCATCGATCACGATCACATAATCGCCCAGTCCTAATTCAGAGTAGGGTGACCATACATCCTCTTTTACCCAGACATGTCCTCTTTTTTGGGGGATGTCCGGGCTGTCTGGTCTTGTCCGGCTTTGTCAGGAAAGGCTAAACAATCCTTCAAATGTCTGGGTTGTTGTATGGAAGTTTTGAGTTTGTGTCGCGTGGACTGACTGAGTTAGAGGCGCGTAAAAGACACTCGATCCGACCCAAAAAATGCTCAAAATTAACTTTGTGCGACTCTGTGACTCCGCCCCCGCGTAGTCGTGTCCTCTTTTTGGGAATACAGAACATGGTCACCCTATTTCAGAATGTCAAAGGAGGGTTTTATCAACAGCTCTATGTTTGTGTTTACCTCTCACTGTTTTGCACACAGGTCGTAACCTGGTGGGCCAAGGCATCTCTTTTGATTGCACTTTTTCTGATGATGATGATGAAGACGACGACCAGCCTAGACGGAAGCAGAGAATTGTTCACATGCCGAGCCCGCCGGAGTCCTCCATACCCCAGTAACATTACAGGTTAGTCACATAACCAAGGAGACCCACACATCACCATATTTGGTAAAAACCTTGCTCTTGCTCACGGTTTCCTCTAAATTACTTTAATTTTTCGGTCTGTGAAGCTGTTTTGTGCAGCCCGTCTCAGCTCGTTGATTTAGTTAAACAAAACAAGATATTTCAGTTCTCTAGAAAGTAGGAATTAAAACAGTGTTAACATTTTTGACCAGGGGCTCCAGACTTCAGTTGAGTAAGAAGTTGCCCCATGAAGCTGTGAACCAAAGTTTAACAACGTGCAAGCTAATCATTTCAAGAGTTTTATGACCTTGTAAAACATTTTCCTCTCAACTTTCATTCAGTAATTTTGTGCATCCAGACGAACTACCACAGAAACAGATGTAGGGTTCCCTTGATAAATGTGAATGCCCCCATCAGACGGTTGAATCACCAATTTTTTTGTCATAATCAGGCACAGAAAAAACTCCAAACATGCAAACTCCATTAAACATTCAACTCCACATGCTTCTGCGTGGTTATTTCTCCTCGTCTCACAACCTAGAAGACAAGAGAGTCTCCGCTTCTGTCAGGGTTTGGCTCTGCATAGGTGTCTCCTCAACATCTGGCTTAAAGACACACAATGCGGTGACGCCTGTTCACATTTAACAGCTGCATGATTTCTCGTGACTCACTGAAATGGGCTCAGACTAAAACTGCATCTTGTTTTACTTCATGTGATAGTTGAGTTCAGAAAATAAGCTACCAATTTTTCTTTTTTTTTCTGTTTTTAAAACAACCCTGAAGACTAACACCAGTTGCCTTGCGTCGGTAATATCAGCCTTCAGTTATCATCACATTTCCAGTCTCATTTGATCACCTCTCCTACATTTGTTGTAGTGACACTTCCTTTAAGTCTTAAAACATCATAACATCCTCCCACAGCTTACATCTGGGTGTTGGCTGTCAAATAAACAAGAAATTACTGCAGTGTGGTGTTTCTCTGTTCGACTAAGCAGCGTCTGAACTCACTTTGAGTTCCAGACAGTTTGTTTGCACCATTTTACCTGATTTTCATGCATTCATAAGTTTGCTTTCTCTTTAATATAACTCAGCCTTGTTTCACACCTATAAATAGTATATGCATGCAAACTGTAAAATATTACATCCTCTATGTTTCTGGTTTCACTGCATTTCTCCATCCAGTCTGTTTACTTCTTCCTCTCCTACTTCTTGTCTTGTCTCTATCCTCCTCCTCACTGAAGAAATGACATCCACAACTATCATGTACATGATTAAAGCCTTAAATTGTAGGTTTTTTAGGATGAACAGGGTCTTTTGAGGTTCATTACAGCTGTGTGGTAAGCTACTTTCAGCCTGTCAGCCCTCACCTCGGTACACAACACCAAAACAGTGACAACCAGGCAACAGTGTCTTGGAGGGATCCCCAGATTTGATGCCAGATTTTGTTCCAGATTTGTGCAAACAATTTCCTCAAAGCTGGAACATGTGCATGCTTTCTGGTTTGTTTTAACTGTGATAATCACCTGCGTCAGCCACAATAAGAGCCTTGCAGCTTTTTTGTTGCCTTTGGTAGATGATAAGAAGAGCAATTAATGGTGCAGTATTTTCCAAAACACTCCCGCAAAGATGTCGCCTTCGGCCAAGGTGCTTTCGTGGTTTTGTGATTATGTAGTCATGAACTTGAGTGAGCTACTGATGACTTGAGGATTACTGTAGATGATCTGGATCAGGACCGTGGAAGCAATTTGCCTGCCAAGCTCTCTTCACTCGCTCCTCGTGTGACTTAAAAAAAGAGTAACAACTACTGAAGGACAACAGGTTACACCCAGAAAAACAGGGTGTCACCGCAAAGGAACCAAAGCCGCTGAGTTGCCACTTATTCATCATGTCTTACTTGTGTTTTTGTGTCTCTTTTCATTACGAATACAAACTGAAGACCGCTCTTTCATCCACTTTCTAAACTGGTATTTTGTGTGTGATGATTTGACTTCCCTTTTCTTTCCTTATTTTCGGCTGTCCTCTTATTTTGTAGATGTTCTGTGGACCAAACCACCTGAGGGGCGTTTCACAGGGGGGTTAATAGGATTGCATCTTCACCTCCTCACCTCTTCCTCTACCTCTGCTGCCACTTTTAGGTCCTGAGGTCATCACAGTGTGTCTTCACACTGACAGTAATGAACCCGTGAAGACTTATTCAGGGTCTCCATCTGACCATTCTACCTTTGACTTTTGGACCTTTCTGCTGTCCTTCATGATTTTGATGATACTTGTGCATCTGCTGAAGACCACGGGCGGCCGCCAGGATAATCCCACAACACGCGCTTGTTGGTTGTGTAATCCCCACAGGAATGTCACACATTTTCCTCTATACAGCCCATCACCCAGGCATTTTTTAAAAAGACGACCCGATCAGTCCCTGAAGACGATTTACAGAGAGGTGAAGAACAAAAAGAGAGGGAGGATGAGCGAACTATAACGGTTTACACAGAGCATTTTATAGTATGATTAATACTAAAGCTCTCTAAAACATACCGGTTTATGTTGTGCCCTTATTTTGAACCAAACTTGTGATTTGGATTTCTTATTTTAGACGTGCTGAAAATCTGTATTTTTTGCCAAATGTGATAACTACTGTTAATACATTGATACTTTTTTCTTAAAGCTCTTATAAGGAACTTTCTGATTGTGTCAACTTTGGCGCCCCCTGTGGAGTCTTCGCTTATCTTGTCCTATTCATGTCAGAGTACCGTCTCTTGACCAAAAACTAATCCTGCTGACTTTTAACAATTAAATCTATTATTTATTCTAATTATTTGTTGCAAATTTGTAAATACAGGGCAGTTTCTGCAGCTGCTCGACTGACACCTATCCCCTTGCACCATTTTCAGGAATTAAAAATGACAGTGTACAAATTTCCAGTCATGTCCCTGGTGATCTATTTTGTTTGAATGTTGAAAAGCGTCAACATGAATTTCAGTACATTTCATCAACATCAAAAAACTCCTTAAAGGAGCTTTAAGTTAAATGTTTCAAAACCAGGCACACAAATTTCAACTCAAATTTCAACACAAATAAACATCTATAACCATATTTTTTTTCTTTTCAACATTTTGTAAAGCTTCACAGTTTTACCAACTATAAAAGCATTCATCCTGTGAGTAATGATAACAATAATAATAATATTTAACGATAACAATACAATGTTGTATCCACAATGTGAGAATAATGCATGATTCTATTTTGAAAGGTTGCAACACTGGAAAATATTTGATTATTAATGGAAACTATAAAAAAGTGTCTTGAAAGATTCATTAGTGCAATAATGTTCATTTGAATTTTAATAAATTGGAGCCATAATTTATTTGAAAATAGCACTAGGGTCAGGCAATCTCTATTGATTTATTTTTGTGTGTCTCAATTAACCTAAGACCAATGAGAAGTCAAGTTTGAATTGTTGTTTGTTACTTGAATCAACACAAATCCTTTGCTCTGAATCGGTAAATTATGAGAAAGTCTCTGCCAGTTTAAAGCGATTCAAACATGCTCATTCAGTGTCTTAACCATAGACTGTATACAGGATAGAATAGTATATTCAGTCTATGGTCTTTACACATGACAGCAGTTTGAAATAATTCTCTGAAGCAGCTGTCTGATTTTTGGTGGTTAATACCTTCTAGTGAGAGAGCGATGAAGACGGTGTGCACCTGAAATTAAACAGTCAGTCGCTTGCTTATCATCATCGTTCACTTATTACCTGCACCTGTTCAATTCCCGTCATCAAGGGAAATGACTGGAGTCTTCCTGCTGGACGACTGCAGCGCAGAGGGGACACAGTGTGGTCTTTGTGTGGTGTTTGGCTGAGCTCTGAACTCTCTGCTCACAAATGTCTGAAATTTTGATAACTGAGGATGTAAGTGTATTCAGTGACAAACTATGAGACACACTGTTCAGTGCGACACTTTGCTCATCTGTCAGATATAATAGAGGACTTTGTGTATCTGTGATTTCAACTTTGATTGTTGCTGTGTGAGTTGGGTTCAAATATTGCATTGAATTCTGTTGGTGCAATAAAAATATACAAACCCCTTATTGAACTATTTTGAATCTTTCCTTTTTCTTTTTTTTGTTTTTTTTTACTGAATCTGTTTTTATATAATGTTTTTTTTATTGGTGAGGAGTTGCCTTAACTGATCCTCCTTTTGCTGATACACAAAATTACCACGTTTAATGCTGAAGGCTGCACACAAGTAAAAGTAAAGAAGCAGGCAGGCTGTTAGAAACCACGGTAATACAACCCAGTGCACTCCATCGCTATGTTTGCTGCTGAAAAAGGACATAATTGAGATTAAAGATTACAGCATTAAAGACTTGTTTTACAAAAGCCACGTTCACTATCTGCAGCAAATAAGTTGAGAACCATCACTTGAACCTGGTGCTGACTTGGCATTCAGTTGTGTAGTCTTGTCTGCTTGTTTGCAAGTTTTTTCAGTGACACAGAGTATCTGCTTTGTCTCAGTCCATTCATTAAAACAGTCTTTTGATCAGTGTGAATAACTCATGGTTTCTCTTTGAAATATTGGGGTTAAAACTGATTGGCCTCATTGTTGAAATTAAAGCAAATGCTCAGCAGCTTTTTGAGAGGATGGTAGCTGAGCATTAAGTGTGTGTCAACGATGACCTGGCACATTAACAACAAGGAGACTGTCCCTTTTTTTATATTGTGACATTCAGAGACCGGTTGTCTCTTCTCCAATGAGTGACTAAAACTATTAAATATTTGAGGGTAAGGTTTTTCACTTGACTTCTAGCATGTAAGATTTGAAATCTCTCGTGTCGTGTCAGGATAAATAATGACGTTTGTGGGTGTGTTAGCCTGTGTCACCAACACATATTTCATACTTGAGCATGAGCAGAAAATGCCATAGAAACATGCTGTAGGTCACTGTACAATAATGTACAGCAACCACTCGTGGATTCCTCATGCTAAATACGCCACCCAAGAGTTTAACAGATGACAAAAAAAGTGTTTCAGCGCAGCTTTACCAAAACATCATTTATAATGATAATGGGAACCAAAGAAACCAAAATGACTTTTTAAAGTTGACGTGATTTTCTCCCATGTCTGGGAATGCATGAAGTCATTATCTTGACTTCCTCTTGGTCAGAGACCAAAGAATCAGCAGGCTGTCCGCATTGCTGTCTGTTGTGTTGGCCTCATTGTAGGGAGGCTTTCTGACTGTCTCAAACCTCTTGTGGGTTAAACTTCAGTGAGAAATATGTCTCTCTTGGGAGTTTTACTATAGGGGCTAAATGAAATGTGTCAAATCTGACACTTAACCAAACCTAGTTTGAGTGATTGTCGTTGAGTCCCAGAGGTCATGTGTAGGCTGATTACAGCAGAAGTGATGAGTTCACTGGATTAAATGCTTCCATAATTGTGACATATGTAATATGCTATTGGTGAAGATTTGTGACATGGGATGTGTCTTTCTCTGGTAAAGAAACCATTTTCTCCCTCTTTCTCTCACTCACTTCTTTTGCCTCATCTCCTTTGCCATTTCGTATTGTGATCTCCAGTGGGATCCAATCAGCTGCTTCTTGTCAAATTCAGACATAATCTGTTCAAGTAGTTTACAGGATTTGTCAAAATTGTAAGGACAGAAGTGATCGAGACAATGGTGTTAAGGGATGAGTAAATATGTAAAGCATGTTGATGGCTCTGACTGGAGGCGGGACAAACCTCTGTATCTCTGTGACACTCCTTAGACAGCCTGGCAGTAGACCAGCTGTCGCTGCTGAGGCTGACAGCTGCCTCTTGATTGACACCTGGTGCCTACCTGATTGACACCTGGGACTGAAGTCTTCAGACAGTCGTGCCACTCGTGCAGTCCCCCTTGCAAAGTCAGTGTGAAGTTATTCTGTCTCTCTTGGCCCTTTCAATTATTTTTATGCTGTTCGGAAGTTGTAGAAACAAATGGGGGTGCAGCAGGGGAGAAGAGCAGCACTCTGCAGCTGCTGACTGCGACATTGACCCAAAACATCTATTTTCATGGCTGGCAATGAGTCAAACAATTTTCTTTGGTTGTGGAAAAAAAATGCATGATTTAATTAAACATAAAAACAATGATTATCTATGGAACCTCCTTAGTGTTGTATTCTACATCCTCTTTTCCAAAAGAGCCAGTAGAGTTTGAAGCCATTAGGACCATAAAGGTTAAATATTTTCTTATCAGAGAATAAAACTTTCTTCCACCTTTGAATGTCCCATGTTTGGTGCATCCTTGCAAAGCTCAAATGGGCAATTTTGTGGCGTTGAAGGAGGCTTGGCCTTTGAAAACATTTTTGTTTTTGTAGCCCTTCCCTCGCAGATGTCATCTGATTGTAATTGAGCTGCAGTCAACACCTGTAATGGCCTTAATTTGGGACGAGGATCGTCCCGCGTCTTGACGGACACACATTTGGATCCTCCGGCTCAGCGCTGGTGAGATTTTTTGGGGTCTACCACTTGATTTTTTTGTTCCATAACCCTCCGGATCTTTTAAGAAATGAAAAATGACTGTCTTACTGCGTCCAACCTCAGCAGCAATGGTACGTTGTGAGAAGCCTTGTTTATGCAGCTCAACAATCCTACCATGTTAAAAGGCAGTGAGCTTTTTTGCCTTTGCCATGAAGAGATGTTGACAGTGTGGCTGCTTGACCAGAAATGACATGGAATCCAAATTTTCGCACAGATTTGGGCTTTTAAAGGCTGTGGTCTTAAACTTTTGATCAGCTGATGAACAGCCTATTTCAGTTGAATTGTTGTTTTCAATAAATTGCCTGCTCAAAACTTTTGGTCTCTTATTCCCATTTCTTCTTATTGCATTTTGAAGCTCTACTAAGAACCGTCTTGAGGTCCAACAGTGCTAAATATCAATTCTTGCAATTTTTTAACTGGTCTTAAGATTTTGATCAGGAGTGTATGTTAGAAAGGAAGGGACTTTAATAATTCAGTAGGTTAATTCCTAAATACCCAGTGCAGATGTTAAGTACCAGCAATGTGGGGATACTAATATAGTATTATAAATGTTCAATATTCTCATTACCAATCAGCATCTGCACCTTTTTCGAAAAGTCTTGAACCAGGTGAGATCTGTTTCTTTTAATAATGACAGTTTTACATGTTTTTTCCCCTCAGACAGACAAAATCCCTAAATATATTCTAAATAAAACAAGTCAAACTCACACGATCTGGTTCAGTCAGTATAGATAGAACTAAAATTGGTTCCTGTGCTGTCCTTTACCTCTCTTGGCCTCTCACTAAAGCCAGAGGGATCAGCCTCGGTGGCCTGAGGCCTCTACTCTTGGCTCCAAAGGATCAAGGTCTGTGACGACTTTATCTTCTCGCATGCTTTACTACGAAGAGGAAGAGTCACTTTAAAACACATATTCTTAAATTAAGAATTATTTTGCTTTATCATCAGTATCTATATGTGTCAGATTGGAAATTTTTAAAATTTCATCCAGAAATGCCAGGATGAATAATTTTGTAAACTTATTGTTAACTGGATGTTGTCTACAGCTGTATTAACATGCACAAATGAAGCCTTTAATTATTGTTTATACTTTATTATTTTCTATACTGTAAAATCTAAGCGAGGGAAAATGTACTGTATGATAAAAAAGAAAAAATCTGATGAACTTCTGTCTTACAAATTGTGGTTTTCAACAGGTCAGATCCCCTGAAGCTGAAGAAATTTAATGCCCGTTTTATGTTGTCTGAGATGGCATGGGGCCGGAGGTAGACCACCTTTACAGGTCATGTGATATGTGGATCATCTTGAGGCCTGCACAGCGGATCACTAGGTTCAAACACTCTTTGACTCATTGATTTACGGGCACTGAAAGGCAGCAGGACTCCCGCAGTTACACATACAGCAGAGTTTTTTACACAGCGGTAAGTGACTTGCAACTTTCAACTTAACGATGACTCAGTTAAGACTGTGTGGCAATGAAATGATTAAACAGTTCCCGAATCTCTGAGACTGAGTGGTCGTTAATTATTTTTGGGGTCAGGTGGCAAATTCCTCTCAAAATTAGGTCAGTTTGAAATCTTTGTCACACTTTTGGTGAAAACCTGTTTCCTGCAGTTTTGACACCTGATCTGTCTTTGTCAGTCGATTATTGATTGCAGCACTTTGACATTTCCCCCTATGTTTCTACTCTGAGTTTGAACATGATCATCGAAACGCTAATGCTGATGGTTTACTGTTATGTCTGCTTTTTTTTTTTTATAGTTCTTAAATGCAGACTAACTGACAGGCTGTACATGTGGAATAGGAAACAAGTTAATTTCAGCCTTCCTTGTCCGTCTAACCTTTGCTTTCCCACCGTGTCTCTTTCTCAGAGTCCGGCTGTCTAGACCAGTCCAGCCTTGCAGAGGGAAGATGCACTGTGGGTAACTGGTGCTGAGGCCTGAAATGATTACAATGCACACAGGTAGGGAAAAGGCACCTAAGACTTTTTTACTAGGGCCCTCAGGCTTCAGGGGCAATTTTCTCTGTCAGAGGCTTATCACCTCTGCTCCTGCTCTCAGCTGGTGTGAGCGTCTTCAGAAGGCAACGCCATGATCTTGAACAATTAGTCCGGCCCACTGGAGTTAGCAACCAGACCTACCTGTCAGTTTTGATTAATGTGGAGAAGCTGTCGTCTTTTAGAGGTTGCCTTTAAGGAACACTATAAACACTATAAAAAGGGTCGTATTTCAAGTGTGGTGACAAAAGGACTTTTTTTCTGTCACCCCTAGATGTATCTCGGTTTAGGTAGATTAAGAGTTGTTAACGAGTCATTTCTCACCCTAAAAAGTTGTAAGTGACTTTTACAATGTCATATAGTTTTTTGTTTGAACAGATGGTAAAAATCTACACAGAGATGAGTTTATATTCAACATTTAAATATGAGCAAGGCCTCTTTAATAGTTTTCCCCTACGGTAAGTAAAGTTTCAACATCAGATTAAATGAATTTCATTGTGAAACATGTTACTATGCCAGAGGAGCAGACTGCAATCAATGAGCGTGCACATGAACCAACTAAAACATAATGTAATAATAAAACAATAAAACATATTCATACTTAATATTTTTATGTAATGTAATTTTGCATAGAGGTACATTATACCTCTAGATCCACAAAAATATCTTTTCCAACATGTCACAGTCTGCGTTCACTCTTCTGCACATATTTAAATTTCTTACTGTCCTGTTCACACAAATCAGAAGACATGTGTCTTATCCCACACAACTGGGAGTTATAATCACTGCCAGACAGAAGATTACCCACCCCACCACAAACACAGCCAGAGGCTCACACACACACACACAGACACACACACAACCCCAGCTCACTAGGTGTAACCCGTCTTCCTATCTACAGTAGCCAATGGTAGTGATTACCAGTAAGAGCTGATAAACTGATCCAGCCTCCCCCCTCTCCCTTATGGAAAAGCCCATCATGGAGGTTTCAGTTGACCCCTGTTTGCCAATCACCTCTTGCATCAATAATGAAGTATATTTTTTATATTACAGGTGTGATATTACAGTATGAAATGGCATATTTCCAAAGGTTGCGTATGAGGTTGTTTTCCAAACACAAAATTCATCTTGCAAACACAAACCAAATTCTAATAAAGATGTGTTTAAAATCAAACAGCGTAAGTTTAATGTAAGTGCATGTTTTCTCTGCCAGTCATGGGATCAAATTAGGATAAGATCTCCAATAATGGTCTTAGAAAGGGAAAATCCCCTTCAATATGAACAGAAATGTGTTGTTGGAACAAACAGGAGGCTGTGACTCAAGATCAACCAGAGACATATTTGCACCACCCCGTTTCCATTGCGCACCCTTGGACATGTCTGGTGCGCTCTACATAGGGCATCCACCAGAGACGTCAAAGATAGTCGATTATAAACGTTGCCATAGCATCAAACCAGACAATTATTGCACTCTTTACTTAAATATTTACATTTCTAAAAACTTTTTTGTATGTTTGCTCTTATTCTAAGACTTAAGATTTGGCAAACGAAGTGGAGATCTTCTCACACCACACAGGCAGATGTGTTACCTGTACAAGCGACCCACGTGATATGAGCAGAGTCTGATTGGAGAAGGATGTAGCTCTCAGGCACAGGGCCAAATTAAGTTTACCTCCTCCCCCCCAAAGGTGTCTCATTCACTTTTCGGACGGGCACTCTGCCCCTCCTCTCCCACACTGACGAAATAACAGTGTGCGTTAGGCAAAATTGAAATTGTTGCTTGCCAGCACTTCGCTGTTTCTGTCGTCCCGTTCAGAGCCAGGATCTTCTGGAGTGGGACTCTGCAACTCTGGAGCATCAAAGAGGGGAAGGCGCACCGGGGAGATAAGTCCTCCTGCGCCCATTTGGAGTGGACATATTTGGGCACTTTTTACGCACGCATGTTGAGCACTGGGACTAACTGGAATTAAGGAGACAGAGCGATTTTTGTGCAATTTATGGAATAAAACAACTTTAAATGTAAGTATTCAACTTTTTTATGTTGTACTGAACTTAATATTAGCATTAAATTGCTCTTATTCGATAGTTTAGTGACAAATGTGTGCCTTTTTTATAACGATGCGTCACATTTATTAATAAAATGTAAAAAAATGACATTTTTCAAGTGGTTTAGTTAAACTTTTCTAACTGTCTCCTATCGGTTTAACTTGAACGCACCCAGTCAGTGATGCCCCGCTGTCCTCAAATAACCTACTCTGCTGTGTCCCGCTGCAGCGCGGAGCAAGTGAATTTTTTAAAACCAGAGCAAAGAATTGGAAATTACTCCACAGAGTTTTAGAATATACACATTTCAAGTTGAAATGATAACACAATGACACCCCGTCTGGAGATGTTTGTTACAGAAGCATTGGCAACAGGTGTTTCTATGGGAAATATTCCAGAATCGGCACCAGAGTCAGACTTTGTTCAGCTCTTTTAACATTCTCAGCGACAGCTCAAGTGGTACTTTTTGCTTATTAGAGGGTACTGAACATCCCCGAGATGCACAAAGCAACAGGATGTCAGAAGAAATGCATAAAATAAAAATCTACTTTGAAACTCATGAGTCGAGCTTTTTTCCCAAATTCCTCGAAACCATTCTGCGAGAGCACAGCAGCTCACCAGACTCCACTGTTGTTCCAGAATATCTTTTTTTATCCAGGTTAGAAGTATACATGCAGAAGCAGATGTCAAATAATCAGACCTGGGATTACTTCTCTCACTGACTCCCTCAAGTCTCATTTCATTAGTTTCCACTGGGGTGGGTCCGTTGACTCAGGATGAAATTGTGGGAGTGCTGGCATTAAGTCACAATCATACCCACCCTGACATATTTTAGAAGAGGACCTCTTTTCATCGCCAATTTCCATTATAACATGAGTGTCTCGTTTTTACAGCTTTCAATTTGCTGCTCCCACTGCGACCCACCACTTGTGTTTATACAGTGGGGTGGAAATGAGGACAGGGGGCTCACTGCTGAAAAAAGAAAAGAAAAAACCTCCAGGAAGCTTTTTATCTCAGCTCTGCCACCCACAATTTCAAAGAGATGCCTTAGTCATTGGCCTTAACTTCGCCTCTTTAATAGGAAGTCATTCAAAAGATTGTGTATGGTCATACACATGTATCAGATAAATCAAATATTTATTGTGTCTAAATGTTTTCCAAAGAGTCAAAAAGAGCGTCATGGCATAGCTGTCTTATTACTTTTTTGTATGTTTATGGTTAATGTTGAATAATGCATCTGAAATATGTGTTTTTGTGCATGATTTTAATCTAAATCTATATTTTTTGTATTAATAATTTCACTTTAAAATGTTTAATGAGGATCAAAACCTTAAAACTGAGACCTGTGCATGATTGAAATGCATCTTATCTAAAAATCTAAGTGAGCTAGTATGTGCTTTCATGGAACACTTCGAACACTGTGAATTAACCCTGAAAAATCAACATAAAAAGGAACGATTTTATGAGTTTTTGAATAATGCACTTTTATTTTTTTTTCAACAGATGATACTAAATATAAAGCATATCCTGTGGTTATACTGTCTCTGTGAAGCTGCGACTGCAACAGGTAAGTCTGAGTCTGAGTCATCTCTCCCTTTATCTTTTTCCATTATCTTACTTACTTTCCCTCTATCCTGCACTCCTTCTCTCCACATGTCCATCCCACTGTGTTGCAACCATTCACAGGTCATTTGACATAGTCACAACTGAGTGGCGTCTGTACTTGACTGCTTATCTGCAGCAAACTGACTCATGTGTCAGTGGTGCCTCACAGCATTAAGACTTAACTCTGCTCTTAAGCAAACGGTGATAACCACTATCCACTTCCCACCTTTACTCAATGGTGAAGGTAACAGCGTTGGCCCCTAAGGCCCCTCTGGCCCCCGGCTCTCCGGCTCCCCCCGGGCCCCTTGTCCCTTGGCCTTGTCTCTGGGTATGGATGGACACCTTTCAATTAGTCAGGAAACAACAGCTGGTTTCACCCCTCATCCTAATAAGGCCCTCTGTTAAAGCACACACACACACACTCATGCCTCTGGGGCTGTCCCACCACTGTTTTCAGAGCATTCCCTACATTGTTCCCTGTGAGCCCCTACCCCCCAACCCACCCACATATGCACACACACAAAAACAGGCAAAAAAAGCAAAAAAGCTTAATCATCTTCCTCACCACAAGGGCTACATGTGATTCAGCCTGTTGCCATTCAGTTGTGTCTGGCATCCCCTCCTCTTTGCAATGGCGTGAGGTGAAGCTTAAATAAATTGTGACTGTTAACTTTGTCTGATTTGGCTGTAACCTTTTTCTTCACTCAGGATGTAGGAATTATTGTAATATCACCACTCTGTGTTTCAATGCAGCTGAAACATTAAGAATAGGGAGGATTCAGAGATGCAGGTTCTTCTCCAGTGCAGACAACATTCAGTATTTCGCAGCTTTTTATCTTTGTTTGTTTTTTCTCTTACCTGCCACCATCAGTTTTTGCTGTTGTAGGTAAGGGGGAGATAATTTCAAAGGAAAAAAAGCATGTATGTAAGCAGTAGTGTGAGGTAATGCAAGCATGATTTAAGAGTTTATTCAATTATCTATACCTCCATACAAACATGCTGTATACACTACATTCTGTGTAGCCTATGTTCTCACACCCATCGTTTTGAGGATGAGGTTTGACTTTCCAAGAGCTATTTTCGGGCCATGATGCGTGTTATTTTTTATTAGGCTGGTTGCAGTTGTCACACCCTGTCAATGTAAATGGGTCGCGCAGTTAAACAGGGTCTGCTTGCGTCTGTTAAAATGAGATCAAATAGGTGTAACATGTTTATGTAGAATAATACCATCAAAAAAATCAAAAGTGAATGAATTAATTTACAGAAAATGAATTAAATCTTTTTCATTTTGCCTTTCAGCCCACAACGCATTATCGATAATCAAACCAGTCACTGGGTCCCTTTCGGGGAAGGTAAACCTTCCCTGCTTCTTCTCCATCATCCCAACCTCAGCACCGGTCATCAGCTCCAATGCAGACTACTTGCGGATCAAATGGACCAAAATAGACCGGGGAGTAGAATCCACAGTGTTGGTGGCACAAAATGGGGTTATCAAAATAGGCTCAAGCTACAGGAACCGCGTGTCAGTGCCCAGCCACCCTGAGGATGTGGGCGATGCCTCACTGACGATGGTCAAGCTGCGTGCCAGTGATGCAGGCACTTATCGCTGTGAAGTCATGTACGGCATCGAAGACACCCAGGATACAGTTAACCTCGATGTCAATGGTAAGAGACAACTTCTGAATGTAGAGGGGGGATAGACTTAATAATGGTGAAATGTGATACAAGTGTTGATAGACATGTAAACGGTATAAGAGAACTTTGGGCGCCTTCTGCTTACTTAGTAGTTATGCAGGCTAACCACAGTTTTTAGGTCTTATTTTAGAGGCGCTCTCAAAAAGAGATCCCTGTCCATTCCAGGAACAGCAATATTTTACTTTAAATGTTGTTGAATCTTACTCAGAGCCAAAATGTGAATCCAACACAAGAATAGACGAAAGGGGTGTCATTTAAGGTGCCGCTTTTTACTCTCTTTAAGGCACTCAGAGGATGTTATCTTTCAACAGTATTCCCCAATACCCTTCATCAAATGTAAACAAGTGCTAAATTATATATAAGATAATGCAAATTACTGCTGTACCTCCAGGCCAAAAGTTATGGTCTCCTTGGGGGGTGGGTTTAGGGAGATGTTTCACTTTAGAAGTATTCTGGGAGCTATAACTCATGTTTTGGGGATGTAGAAAACATGGGTGGGGTGGGGGGATGCTGGGATAGTTTTGGTTTTCTCTAGTTTACAATCTGCACAACCTCTTTTCCAACTATCTGCAATGTTAATGAGGACTATCAATCATATCTTCTGCGTATGTTTACTGTCCACAAATATGGGGATTTAAGGGCCATGGCATCATCTGCAGCTTTCTCGTTCATTTGTGGTTAACTGCATTGAGTATTTCGTTTATCCTTTGGGTTTATTGCAAAGTTCATCCTTCCCAAAGAAGCTGAAAGACCCAATTAGCCAGTTATGGTGTGTGCTTTATAAGACATTGCCATAATTTATAGCTGGGAAATTACCCTGATGAGTCCCAGATTACTTTGTTCATGTTTCCATACAAAAGTTCATTATGTTTGGATGACCCCTCTAAAACTTGTTCGTTTGTTGTCCAGGTGTGGTTTTTCATTACCGGGCAAGCACCAGCAGGTACACTCTTGACTACCAGAAGGCCATACAAACTTGCCAGAATATCGGAGCAACCATTGCTACATCTGATCAACTGAAAGCAGCCTATGAAGACGGCTTCGATCAATGTGACGCTGGCTGGATTGCAGACCAGACAGTGAGGTGAGCGTAAATCTTCGACGGAGGATTTATCTCTTTTAATTTAAAACTAATATCCAGTGATTAACAATGTCTGATATAAGCTAGATTACATAACAGCTGTTTGTTCTTCTCTCTGTACAGATATCCAATCACAAAGCCAAGACAGGGCTGCTATGGTAACCTAAAGACCAAACCTGGAGTGAGGTCATATGGGACCAGGAAACCTACGGACACCTATGATGTTTACTGCTATGTCGACAAACTCGATGGTAAGTTAGCCGCAAAATTAGTCTTTTCTGCTTCTTCGAGATGAGGTGTCATTTAGAGGCACACCCTTTGGCTGAAATTAGGAAACCTCTAAATTATTGCAGTGCCAGAGCAAATTGCTTTAGCAGATTTTAACAACACTGTGGAAATGCACTCACTGTTTTATTGAACACTGTTTTGGTGACTATGTGTGATCTTTTATGTGTTTTCTTGCGCCAAACAAAACAACTGTTTGTGTTGTAGACCGGGTGCTAAGAAAAGGAGGGGAGATTTTTTTTTTCTTCTTATACACTACTGTAGGAATCAAAAATTATTCTCACTCTGGTGGTTTTTGAAGAAGTAGCCAACAAAAATGTGATAATTGGGGTTTTAAATGTCTTTGGCATCCCTTTAGGAAGTCCTCCATTCTCAGCCAACAGCTTGTCTGTTTATTATTTTGTCTTTTATTGCTGATGGACTCAACTCTAGCATGTTTGTTTCTCTTTTTTTGATCAACAACATCCCTTTTGACGGATTATAACTTGAGTCAGCCACATATACGATAAGATAAGACACAAAGAACTTTATTGATCCCTGAAAGGAAATTTAAGGGTAACTGGCTTATGCAGCTACTCATCTTATCCTGGGTTTGGTTTTTGTCCAAGTCCGTCACATAACCCCAGAGTGGTGCATGAAGGGCACACATTGTACCCCACTTAACTGTGGTTAATTGTGTATTTACTATCGATTTTATGTAATTAACTGTGTGTTTACTGAATTATTGCCATATGTTAATTGGTGATTGTTGAATAATGAGTGAGTTTCTAGTAACAGAGATTCAAAAAAGAGAGAGATAAAGATGATATTCTTTAAAGAACTTAAACCTGAAAACCTCTATTGTCATCATATTAGTTCTCGTAACAGACTATTGGGACACCATGAAAACAAAGTTTTGATTGGTAAAATGATAGAAATTGAAATGAAAAGAGAGCGCTCATGAAAAAAAACCATTAAAGTGTACCAAGAGAATAGCCCACACATACATAAAACGCACAATTACCAATCATAATATGGTTGTCACTATCAGTATATTTCAAACAGCAGATATTTCCAGATGAAAATACCGTGTAAATCAGGGAATTTCAGTGGTTGCAAATGACTGACCCTGTTATTGAACTGGGTGGAAAGTATCTCCTCATCTAAATGTCATAGTTAATCAAACAGATCAAACCAGCATGGGATACATGAGTCGTTACGCCCCAGACTAACTGAAAACATGTAGTCACTCACTCATCCCCTTATTTTTTTAATGGTTTCAGTTAGGCTCTTTCTCTCCGCAGTCTCTCAGTCACATTGTTTGTAGACAAACACTCATACTTGTAACTGTGATCCTACTGCTACCTTTTCGTCCCTTTCGAGAACAAAATGATGGAGCACATTGAAGGTATAATCTCGCTTGAGAAAAGAGAACAGACACATTCATTCCCTGGTCAGGCACATTGTCTGCATTGCTTTCCCACCTCAGAGTAAGAAAATGAATCAACTACTGTTGTCCTAAATATGACTGGTGGGAGATGTGTTGGGTCTGAGCCTTGCACAGCTGTGACTTTTGTCAGCTGATTCTGTGCCAAGCGTTTTCTGAAAGGTCAAAATGGTGTACAAATCTGTTCAGGATTACACTAAATGACAAGCTGTTTGGATCTCCTTTCACTGCGAGTTATTTGAAATAGGATATGTTGTGACCATGCCATTGTTAGTAATGTAGCACGTATTTATGCCAGTGCTTTGGAATAGACGGGAATTTAACCATCTGCATTGAGTGATTCTCTTGCAAACTCATAGCTGTGCGTTTTGTTAAGTGGTTGTTGCCCTTTGCCCTCTGTATTCCAGGTGAAGTTTTCTATGCTCCGGTGACCCGTAAAATGACTTTTGAGGAGGCCAGTGAGGAGTGTACGAAGAGGGGGGCCGTCCTGGCAAGCCCCGGTCAGCTCCATGCTGCTTGGCGACTCGGTCTAGACAAGTGCGACTACGGTTGGCTCTCGGATGGCAGCGCACGACATCCCGTAGCAGTACCCAAGATGAAGTGTGGTGGAGGCCTGATAGGTGTCAGGACCATGTACCGATACAGAAACCAGACCGGCTTCCCAGAACCAACCAACAAGCTTGGAGCATACTGTTTTAAAGGTAAGTCTGGGGGTACGATTACAGTGTGTCTCTGAACCAAGTGTTAGTTGGATATAGCAGGACATGACCCCATTTGGTTGTAAGGGTTTCAGACACAAATTGAAGGCACAGACCATTCCCTGTCAAACCCAGGCCTTCACTGCAAGGAGCAATGATCTCATTTCCGACTCTCCTCTGCTCCTCCACCCTTTGATTTTCAGCTCTTTTACTCTACCGTACACATTTCCAATTTTGAACCTGAGCAGCGTTTGAAATATTTATAACCTGTCCTTTCTTTTCCCTATTGTTCTGTTAACTCTGAGTCTGTTTTGCCTTATGATTGCATAGTTTCAACGACAAGAACAACATGAAAAAAAGCAGAGGAATAATTATCTCATGAGTAGCGCGTTTTATGTGCCAGACTAGTCGAACAGATTGCAGCGTCTAGCTGACCTCACTGTCTCACATTTGAGTTTCCCACCCATTTCTGTAAAAGGAAATTAGCCAAAGGGAAAGTAAAATGATGGTCGTAGACTCTGTTTTCTTTGAAAGTAATAGACATGGCACATCTTATTCTAATGGGGAGTTTATTGACCAACAGTTTGCAGGAGAGTTTGTGAACTGTCAGTGTCTGTGTGTTTTTTTTCCCTTTATTACTTACAGCTGGGCTAATCATGGCTCCCTAAGCCGTATCCTTATTCAACCTCAGTGTTGATGTGAAACGAACCAAAACAGTTTATGTACTCGAATGCAGTTGAAAATACCCCAATTCTTCATTTTAGATAAGTCTATAAACATGTGTTGTTTGAAATAAACCTGCAGAGCCAGAGTGTTAGGAGTGTTGAAAATTGATCATCATTTACCAAACACAAATGATCAGCGTGGGATTTTCTAAGGTATGCACTGAAAAGACTCTGTTGCAAACTGTGTTAATCACCGATTAAAAATAGCAGCAAAATAAAAGTTTGGATCCTTATAAATTGTGACACTTCACGCTCGACTGATAGTTGGCAGAATAAGTCCAATCCCTCCAAATGTGTGTTCTCGACCAATCAGTGTCCAAGAGGCAAAACCGAATGACAGTTGACGATTGCCATTTAGAGAAGCGGCAAAAGTGACTAATACTACACCTGTCAGCCCTTTTAGTCCCGCTATCTAACTCCCTTTTTCCTTTCACATCTAATTTCCGCCGTCAGAGTTTGCCCTCTGTCATTCTCACTTGTACTTATCAGAGCAGACGTTTGGATAATGGACAAAGCTACAGCCCAACTTCTAAATCAGTCATCCTCGGTGACCCCTGACCTGGCCTTTCCATCTTTACAAATGAGAGGTTGGACAGATAAGCCAGCCCCTGACTGCCCATTTACTGCCCTAGAGCTATGCTAACTCTTGTGGTGATAAGTCCACATGGAGTTCAGAGGCCACACAAACAGGCCACCCTCACCTCCTGCTTTGTGTATTTCATGTCAACTCTCTCAGTCTTGTCGTATTTACACCCCAGCCTAAGTGCCTTTTAAGTACCCTGATTTGTTTGGCCCCAGTCCATCTTATTCAGTTTTTTGACTCCTATTAATATCCCAGTTACACAATATAATGAAAACCTTTGTCAGAAAGACTACACAGAAGTACAGGCAGACAGGAAATTGATACCAAGAGAAAAGAGAGATAATTTTTGTCTCAGTATCAGTAGCAGCTCAAAACCATCGGTGAGATAATGCACTCTTTCTGACAGCAGCAGCTCCTACTTTTCCTGGTAGGGAAAACGTGTCTCACACCTTACATCAGAGATAGATTCCTGAAAAAAAGAGGGTGAGTACGTAATGGTCAGCAGCTGGCTTTAAACAGTTTGTCTGCGCCAGTGAGGAAAGCTTTCTGGGGCTCTAATGCGTCTCTTTATGCCTGTGAGTAAAGGAGAGATCATGGGAGGACAGAGGGGTGGGGATGTTGAGGCACATTCAGGAGGAAACTGAACTGAGTTTAAAAGGATTTACTCATTATTGGAAATTAGGAAACACTTCAAAAGAAGCCGTTTAAAGACCTCCAGTTGTATAGAAAAAGATAAAATCAGGGTCTGCCTCTCAGGCTTCTCAGGATTTGATATAACTAAGTGCTTATTTAAGTAAACTACTTGGTGAAAGACATTGCATCGGGTACAAGGGAGGCCAAACATTGTCAGGGCGACTCTGGCAAACACAACACTACGTTGCTGAAAGTTTATAAGCTGTTAAGTTGGTTTGTTACAGGCAGGTGAATCCATTCAGTGAAATCAGAGGATGTTTAGGACTCTTTGAAGGAGCAAGGAGCCCTTTGTGTCAACTTCAACCAAACTGAAACACTTTGGAAATTCAATGATTTTCCATAAACCCACGGCTAGATATCTACTTAGGCTGGTAAGCTGGGTTACATGCCAAAAATTCCCCCCAGGTTAAAGCTTTGTTTCATACGTAGCATTCATTCTACTGTGTGCAATAAAGTAAAATTAAGTGCAAGCCGTTATCATGACATTGCACTACAGTTTCCGATAAACATAAAACTCTGGGACTCAATGTTGACGGTTTTTGCTGCTGTGGTTTCAGCTGTCATTTCAAACATAACCTTAACCCTAACCCCAAGACAGATTAAAAAAGCAAAGTTTTGGTAGTTCATGTTGTAAAATCTTGATGATAGCTAGTATGTTGCAAATGCATTGTAATCTTGCATTCTGGTTTGAACTTATCGATCATAAATAGACTTAATATTGATTCGTGTGCTTTTGTGGTTATTCTAGGAAGAAGATGGGTGCTCAACCAGACTTCATTTATTGACATGTCTGTGGCAGTAACCACCACCACCATCAGCAGCTCTTCTACCTCCACCCCATTATTGGAGAGTAGCATCACTACCCTTAGCCCAACATCTAAAGATGTCTCAGAGGCAGAAGAGGCTCCAGACTCTTCAGTTCCATCTATGTTTTCTACCAGTATGGCTCCACCACGACCCACTCCGACAGGCCAAGAAGAAGAGTTAATCACCACAGTTGCGCCCACTATCAAAGAGGAGCATGAGGATGTTGATGAAGTCACAGCTCCACCAGATTTAAACATTGATGACTTTGTAAGTCCACATGCAACCGATGCGGTATTTGTTCATCAGCGCGGTGACGCATTTTCAGAACCCCAAAGCACAACAGAAAGCAGATATACCACAGAGTCAGCGTCCAAGTCTGGGGATGACGAGCCAGACGATCACTCTGTAATTGAAATCAACACAATCCAACCTGATGTCCCCAAGCCAGATGAGTCTGTCATTACAGAGCCAATGTTTGCTGAGGGGAAGACTGAGGAAACTATTTTGGTTTCTGGGATTCCAACCGCTATATCCTCTGACTACACTGACACGCCAACCGATTCAACTGAACTAACCAGCGAGGAAGATACCAGCTCCTCTGATTCAACACCTTCACCAAGTGACCCTTATTCAACAACATTATCCCCAGATTATGGACCCAGCATTGATGATATCGACTATGGATATGTAGTAGAGGCTCTGCCGGGTTCTAATACATCCCAACAAGATCTCTTACCAAGCATCCCAGACTCCACCACTGTAACTGAGACAACAACACTCCAACCTGGCAGTGTGGACGAGTTAACTACCACAGGGCCACCAGAGAGTACCAGTAGGACTGCAAAAACTACACCTCAGATGCAAGCTGTCGAGATACCTGGTACAACAACCACCGCCATACTAATCGACAGTGGAACCTCAGCCGAAGATTTGACGGCATCAACAAGCGTACATGTCTTTGACGAGTCTACCACTCAGCTGCCAGAGCATGACAGAGACAACCTGACCGAGGCCACCACTGCGGCAGAAATTGGCACCGAGTTTTTTACGTCTGCTCCCGTAGTTTCAGTTGTGGCTGAAAAGACGACAAGTCCAGGATCAGTGGTCCCAGATGAACAGCACACCACCATCATACCAGCACAGAATGTATCAGGTAAGACAAACAACCAATACATGAGACCTTTGAAGGTCATTTGATGTTTTTTTTTAATCAAATGCAAAGATGCTAATGCAGATATGGTTCTGAAATAGAAAAAAGCCAGGTCTTGATGTTGTTCGATCACCATGATAAAAAGAAATAGGTATGAAGGTTGTCACACTAGTTTTGCTGTTGATTCTAAGACAGTTAAATCTTTTGTTGGTATTGTGTGTGGCTGCTTAACTTCCATACAGTAGCACTGCATTGGCTGAGAAATGGGAGAGGGGGGGGTGTTAAACTGTCCAAGGTCCTGAAGTCAAGTGAGAGAGAAATTTGATCCTTTGCCAAAAACAGCGGAGTGTGCTGGGAGCAAAACAATATGAGCACAGATTCTGCATTTGCATTTGCAGAAAACTCAGAAAATTCACTGTAAGCGTGCATATTTTTGACTCTCTAGCCTGTATATTTTTTAAACATTAGGTTTATCTGTCTGCACGGTTTGCATCAGACTCTACTTTTTCTGCCCTTTGAGATATCTTATATGCAGTTCATAACACATTGATAATGCAGCTTTTGTGCTATAACACCTGAAGAAAACCTTTGAACACCCAATACTTGGTCAGGGTTACATCACTGGGATGGAGGTGATTAGCTTGTGGTAGTGCTGAGGTGTTACAACTCTAATAGTGTCCTTCAGCCTGACCATATTATTGGATTGGGTTTCTCTTAGTGTCCTCCCAACAGTATATGTAGTTTTTTTTTATGGGGTCCAAGTTGGCTTGTCTGTCAAACTCAGGTGTATCACAATCGGCAAACCCTTTGGTAGCAGTTGTGGTGCTGCAGGTGCAAAGTCCTGTTAAAAGAGATTGTGTGCATTTCTGTAAGGCCTGCAGATAGGAGCATTAAGATTTTGGTCTTGATAAAACACAGTAGACCAATATCAACGGATGACACCTTGGATTCAGAGCCTCTCCATTCTGCCTCCAGACTCTCTGACCTTTATCTCCAAGAAAAATGTTGATACTCGTTTTGTTGAAAACTGTGGTTGGTTCTCTATGCAACTGTGGTCGTGTCAGCTGAACTAGCCTGAGAGATACGCAGTATTCAAATATAAGTTCAAAAAAAATTATTTGTCCCCTGGGATCAATTGGAGGCACATCAAGCAGCAAGTAGACGATGTAAAAACGGACAAACAATCAAGTAAAATAAACAATTTTATAAGTAATGTAAAAATAAAATAATAATAAAATGAACAGAGAAATATTAATATATAAAAAATATTTAGAAATATTTGTACCCTCTGAATAGTGTTTTTTTATTCTGATAAACCCAAATATTCAGATGTTTTGAAATTTAAATGAAAGCGTGTTTATCAAAACTGAAATTGAAAAAGTACTTTAATATTATGAACTCGTAAAAACTTTGGGGTCAGGCTGTCCTGAATTTTCAGAAGGACGCTCAGTGTGTCAGAATGGCAGAGACTTGTTTGTAGTGTTCCCTTCTTGTTGCATTTGCATTTTAAATCCTGTCATCCCACTAGTGCTTCAAAAAGTATTATTCTTTTTTCAATCTAAATTGACCATTGTCCCTAAGCCACTTAATTCACTGTCAAGGTTAGGTGCATGACTATTATAATGTCAACAAGATTAAATTGTGCATATACAAGCAATTACAGTTTGTGAGGCCTCGTGTTTACATAGTGACTCATTTGTTGAGGTCTTCTCAAATGAACAGAATTGAAGTGTTTCATTTTCCTGTTCCCTCTGGCGCGTGTTTATGTGTGTGCTTCGTGTGAAATTATGCTGAAAGACTTGTTTGCCTCGGGGCGTCTTCAGTCAGTCCAGCTGAGCAGATGTCCTTTAAATAATCATAATGCTGACAAGAGAGAGCAGTTTGGTTAAAAAGAAAGAAGGGGAAAAGGAAAGGAGGAAAGGAAAGACTGTTGTCAGGGAGTGAATATAGAGTTAAATAATAACTTGAGCGTTGTAGAGACAAAGCTGTTGAACCCAAAGTATAAAAGCATGTAAATTTGGGATATTTGGGTGGCAAGAACTGTCACGATGGGACATAAGTCTTCTATAAAGACAGGCTGATGATGGAGGGAAGGGTCTGGTGAACTGGAAAGGATACATACAGTAAATTGGTCATTGGTTTAGCTTTTGTTACAAGGTAGATGTATTTTATCTAAAAGTGCAGGTGTTTATGAGCATCACTATTTCTGTGTTTCTCAGTTTATTTGCTGCAAGTACACGTTTGGCAGCTTGCATGTTGTATGGCAATAAACTACTCTGTGTGAGTGAAAGAATGAAATACAGAAAGATTCAGTTTCTTTGAACATCACATGTTTTTATTCAGCACATTATTATTCATTAGGACTATTACTCCCCCTTCTGTGTGCGTGTCCCAGCTTACTGACAGCCAGGCTGGCAATAAAAGAGTTGAATTGGCAGACTACCTGAGTAAGCATGCCTGTTTTCAGCATAGACTGGACACCACCAAAAAACCCTGATGTCATTGCTAGCACAAAGTCTCCCCTCTCTGTGAGGACAGCTGGAGGCTGCCTGACTAAAGTGAGCGATTATTGCTACTTTTACTGCTACATCATGGGATGTGGCTCGGCTGAGACACCCTGGTCTCTTTCTGTCCGCCCACTTAGTGAGGATAGAATTTATAAAAATCAAAGTTGAACAGACCAAGTGTGTGGTCTGTTTGCATTTTAAAGGAGAGCACATTATAAGGATGAAAAAATTACTTGCCATGTGTTGCTTATTTATCGAAAACAATGAAATGCACCGTTTCCAAAGAGTTTATGCAACATGCTTTGACTTATAACATTTACTCTCAGCTTTTCGACCATAAAAGTCACAGAACCAGCAAGAATACAAAGGAAGAGAGAGAGAAATAGAATTAATTCTGGAGTGTGGACTATCTGGTCTGTCAGATGGGGCTGTTGCCTGAGTTCCCATGCCTGGCTTGGGGGATGAACAGATGTCTTTTTGCAGAGATGAGCTGGTGCAGGTGTTCCTATTTGCAACCAATAATCTTTCCAGATCACCATTTGTGGGAAACGCAGAGAGAGGACAAGGGGCACAGAGAGAGAGAGAGAGGGAGAGAGAGAAGAGAGAGAGAGAGGGAGAGAGAGAGAGAGAGAGAGAGAGAGAGAGAGAGAGAGAGAGAGAGAGAGAGAGAGAGAGACGGGCAGGGGTAGTGTTTTCATACCAACAGGTATAATGTAGCTGTGTGTGTTTTTCTGCACTTTGCTACATGATGCAAAAATGTACTAACAATTTAGACCTATCTTTGGATTAACTTCTGCTCTGTTGTTTGTCTTATGAGCTTTATGCTTTTGCTTGATTCCATAACTTTTTTTTTTTTTTTTACAAAGACATGCACAAAATACTAGTGCATATTCCTTTTGAAACTAAAGTTACATAAATCAGAGTAATGAAGGTTAACAGAATATCATTTTGAGAGATGGAGGTTTGTTGTTTATAAAGTTTGAGGAGCAGAAGTTGTTTGATTTTTTTGTTGTCTTTTCAATACACCTCCCACTATAAACACAGTAATACATATTTTCTATAAATACCTAAACTGAAACTTCATTTGAAATGCAAAGGAAAATGGTGATACGTTCAGGTAGCAGAGATTCTCAACAATAACATACTATACTGTTGAAATAAAGCAGGATAAGATTTGTTAATGATGAGCACTACATGTCAGGGACAAGGCCAGCATGGGCAACAATGTCCTCATTGGACACTAAAACCACCTGGACCTAAGAGGTCCTTGCAGGATCTTTAACTTTGAACTAACTCGATTTTAGTTTGACTTGGCTTAACACTGAGTATCAACACCTCTACACTAAACGAAGGGATATTGTATAATAGGCAGGTGGTTATGTCAATTTTCAATTCCAGTTTTCCTACTTCTTGGATTCTTATTTTGCTTTTTAACCGGATATAACTAAAGCAAAAAAGTGTCAAATCAAAAATAAACTTATCATTATAAATAGTAAATTATAACTCTGTTTTAACCTTTAAAAACTAAAATTTACAATGATAGTTATGTTGAAAAAGAAAACTAGACTGCTTCCAGACTCTTCATGTTGACATCTATGCTCTTATTTAGCTTTTTGGGGACACAGTTGACTCAGCTTAAAAAATAAATGAGGCAAATGTCATTACTTTTGACCCTGTAGCTATTGTCACTATCCGTAATGATCGAAGTAACCTTGTAGCAATCAGCAACTTTAAGATATACCCAACAGCTCTGCTTCTATTGTCTGGGTTGTAGGACAGGATCTAATATTAAAAAAATACAAAATGCAAAATTGATTGTTTTCAAAGGCTACAGTAAATAAATTGTTGTATTGAAATTCAATCACATACTGTTAATCTTACTGTTTTTCTTCTCATTTTTTTTAGTTGAACAGCCTCTACAGCCTGAAGATTCACAGACTTCTACTCTACCGGTTGATCATCCAATTCCCTCCAAAACTGATGGCGAGCACATCCTGCAGAGTGGAGACCCAGATTTGTACTCTCAAACTGCTGCAACCATCACTCCAACTGTTAGCTTTATCAGTGAGGTCACATTGCAGCCAAAGAGCCTAGATGAAAAGGACGCCAGAGGTACCCAGGTTTCGATGAATGTGACAACTTTGGGAGCAAGTGATGAAATAACCACAATATTTGATTATAGTTTGACAAATGTTTATGTTGATGGCTCCACACTTACATCAACGGAAAGCCAGGATGTTGATGAATATGACACTAGCATTACAATTGTTGAATCAACACCTCCTCACTTAGTCCCTGAGGTCAGTGAGCTGACAACAGGGGGCCCAACACATACAGACATAACCTCTGTAACAGCATCAGTAGAGCAGGATATGGCTTCATCAAAAACTACTTCCACAGAGGGGATCAGTGAAATCTCAGCTACCTCTGTTGACCCTCTTGTCAGAGTAACTCCAGCTGAGCCAGAGACAACCAAAGCTACCAAAGAAAGTCTGACAGTAAAGGCTGAGGAAACCACCACTGTCATCAGCACATCTGTACCAGGAGACACAGACGAGTCAGAGAGGACTTCCATGAATGTTAAAAGTGAGTCAGAGGTGACTCAGACAGAAACGTCTGAGTATCAATCTGTTACTTCTTCAACCAAACTTGACTCTGGCAGAGATGAAGCTGAAACCACAGGAGAGACAAAGAGCACATCTGCGACTCTGACAGCTGAAGATAGAACTTTATCTACATTGCAGACTGTATACCCTCCCTTCTCTGATGACAGTGTTGGAGAAATATCAACATCAACAACAAGTGACTCACAGAGCTCAACTCAGTTTGTGGAAGGAGGGACTGGGACCCGGGGCCCAAAAGAATCTGCCTTCAGCACAAGAGCTTCTTTTGTACAAAGTGGGTCTTCCTCTCCTGAAACAAGTGAAGAGACAAAAGCTACTCCTGCTACGCACAAGGAAAGCACTGAATCATTCACATCTATAGCATTTACCAAGTCTGAAACTTCACATTCTACAGTCACAAGTATGGAAGCAAGTACAGAAAGCCAAATGCCTTCAATCTCACAAACAGAAAAACTGCCATATGATGCTATGCCTACAACAAGGGAGGTGAGCTCAACTGTACAAACATCCAACTTGATTACTAGCCCACAATCACATACCTCTGGAGGAACTGAGATATCAAAAAAAGATTTGGTTGCAACAGATGAAGCAACGGAGCAGATGATGGTACAATATACTACTCTAATTCCATCAACTACAGAGCCTAAACAAGCATCTGTTCAAACCCAAACAGAGTTGAAAGAAGAAGATGAAACATCTTCCATCCATGATTCCATTTCAACCACTGCTTCCCCCTTATATGGTGCTATTGATATGTTAAAGACTACAATAGCTTCATTCACTAAATATTTAAGTGATACTGCGATTCACTATACCATGGCTCCTACAGCTTCCTCTGTGTTTACAACAGATGGGACAACAACAAGTAAGACTGAAGAAACACTTACTGTAAAAATGACAGGCTCATCCTCAACACCAACAGAAAGAGAAGCAGAGGAGAGCTTGGGGAACCATACAACAGAGGTCTCAAAAAAGGAGAGCATGACTCCTACAGCTTCCTCATTGTCAAGCACGGAGATGCCAACAGCACTGCCTGTCACTGGTCAAGACAGCACTGCCATTGAGGGTACAGAAGGTCCATCAGGAACATCAACTTCTGGGACAACAAGGACTAGTCCTTCATTCAGTGGATCAACAACAAAACCTGAGACTGCATCTTTCTCTGTCACCTCGGGTTTTGAAGGTTCTGGAGACAGCACCTCCAGTATCACAGATGAGTCCCTTATTCGAGCCTCTACTGTCCCTTTCACCTCAAGCACAGAGTCACCATCAGTCACAGCAAGACAGGAGACTGACACAAGTGACACCTCTGGGACAGATGCAACTGCTGCTTCCACACTTTACAGTACTGAAAAACCAACTGTAATGTCAACTGAAAAAGATGAGACTGCAACCACAAGCCAGACTGAGACAGTATCTACCACACAAAGGACAAGCTTATCCTCTACGACAGCAGAAACAAAAGCAGAGGTGAGCTCAGAGGAAAACACCACAGAGATGTCCACAAAGGTGACCATAGCTTCTACAGCCTCCTCATTGTTAAGCACAGAGACACCAACAGCATTGCCAGGCACTGGTCAAGAAAGTGCAGAAACAGGGGGTACAGAAGGTCCCTCAGTAACACCAATTTCTGGGACCATTAACCAAAGCTCCCTTTCCACTTCAACAGATGAGGATGGCTCAGATGGAAAAACATCTCCCATTGCCACCACAGCTTCCCATGTCACAACTAAGTTGTCACTCTCAAGCACTGAATCTACTAAAATATCATCACCTGGGTCATCTTCTGTTACTTATGATGATGAGAAAAGAAGCTTCAGTGATGGGACTACAACAATGCAGATCAGTCTGTCATTCACTGAATCAACCACAAAACCCGAAGCTGTATCTTCTTCTGTCACCACTGGTTTAAAAGATTCTGTAGACATATCAGATATCACGGATGAGTCCCTTATTCCAGCCTCTACTGTCCCCTTCACCTCAAGCTCAGAGTCACCATCAGTCACAGCAAGACAGGAGACTGAAACAAGTGAGTCTTCTGGGACAGCTGTAACTGCTGCTTCCACACTTTACAGTACTGAAAAACCAACTGCAATGTCAACGGAAATACATGAGACTGTAACCACAAGCCAGACTGAGACAGTATCTAGCACACAAAGGACAAGCTCATCCTCGACAGCAACAGTTACAAAAGGAGAGGAGAGCTCAGGGGAACAGACAACTGATGTGTCCACTAAGGTGAACGTGGCCTCTACATCCTCCTCATCATTAAGCACAGAGACACCAACAGCACTGCCAGGCACTGGTCAAGAAAGCACATCAACAGAGATTACAGAAGGTCCCTCGGTCACACCAATTTCTGGTGAAATAGGGACCAGTCCTTCATTAAGTGAATCAACAACAAAACCTGATACTGAAACTTCCTTTGTCACCACCATGGTTGAGGGTTCTGGAGACAGCACTTCAGATGTCACGGATGAGTTGCTTATAACAGCCACTACTGTCCCTTTCACCTCAACCTCAGAGTCACCATCAGTCACAGCATCACACGGGACTGAAATTAGTAGGACATCTGGGACAGCTGCAACTGCTGCTTCGTCACTAAGCAGTACTGAGAAACCGACTGCAATGTCAACTGAAAAAGATGAAACTGCAACCACAAGCAAGACTGAGAGAATATCTACCACACAAAGGACAAGCACATCCTCAACAGAAACAGAAACAGAAACAAAAGCAGAGGTGAGCTCAGAGGAACACACAACTGAGGTGTCCACAAAGGTTACCATGGCTTCTACAGCCTCTTCGTTATTAAGCACAGAGACACCAACAGCAGTGCCAGGCACTGAACAAGACAGCACATCAACAGAGAGTACGGAAGGTCCCTCAGTAACACCAATTTCTGGTACCATTAAGCAAAGCTCCATTTTTACTCCAACAGATGAGGATGGCTTAGTTTTAAAAACAGAGGAAATTTTCACTACAACTTCCCAAGCTACAGCTAAATTGTTACTCTCAAGCACTGAATCTACTCAAACAACATCACCTGTGTCATCCTCTGTTGTTTATGATGATGAGAAAAGAAGTTTCAGTGATGAAACTACAACGATAAAGACCAGCACATCATTTAGTGAAACAGTGACAAAACCTGAGACTGCATCCTTCCCTCTATCAACGGGTTTCGAGGGGTCTGGAGATAGCAGTTCAGTTTTCACTGATGAGTCTCTTATACCAGCCACTACTGTCCCTTTCACCTCAAGCACAGAGTCACCATCAGTCACAGCATCGCATGAGACTATAACAAGTGAGACTTCTGAGACAGCTGTAACTGCTGCTTCCTCACCTTATAGTACTGAGAAACCGACTGCAATGTCAACTAAGCTAGATGAGACTGCAACCACAAGCCAGACTGAGAGAGTACCTACCACACAAAGGACAAGCTCATCCTCAACAGAAACAGAAACAAAAGAAGAGAGAAGTTCAGTAACACAGACAACAGAGGTGTCCACAAAGGTGACCATAGCTTCTTCAGCCTCCTCATTATTAAGCGCAGAGACACCAAGCGCACTGCCAGTCACAAGTGAAGAAAGTGCTGCAACAGTAGTCACAGAAGGTCCCTCAGTAGAATCAATTTCTGGAACAACAGGGACCAGTACTTCATTCAGTACATCAACAACAAAACCTGAAACTACATCTTTCTTTGTTACCACCATGGTTGAGGGTTCTGGAGATAGCACTTCAGATGTCACAGATGAGTCCATTATCCCAGGCACTACTGTCCCTTTCACCTCAACCCCTGAGTCACCCTCAGTCACAGCAAAACAGGAGACTGACCTAAGTGAGACTTCTGGGACGGATGCAACTGCTGCTTCGTCACTCTACAGTACTGAGAAACCCACTGTAATGTCAACTGTAACAGGTGAGACTGCAACCACAAGCAAGACTGAGAGAATATCTACCACACAAAGGACAAGCTCATCATCAACAGAAACAACAGCAGAGGTGAGCTCAGAGGAACAAACAACAGAGATGTCCACCAAGGTGACTGTGACCTCTACAGCCTCCTCATTATTAAGCACAGAGACACCAACAGCACTGCCAGTCACTGAACAAGAAAGCACGTCAACAGAGATTACAGAAGGTCCCTCAGGAGCACCAATTTCTGGTGAAATAGAGACCAGTCCTTCGTTAAGTGAATCAACCACAATACCTGAAACTGCATCTTCCTTTGTCACCACCATGGTTGAGGGTTCTGGAGACAGCACTTCAGATGTCACGGATGAGTCGCTTATAACAGCCACTACTGTCCCTTTCACCTCAAGCTCAAAGTCACCATCAGTTACAGCATCACACGGGACTCAAATTAGTGAGACGTCTGGGACAGCTGCAACTGCTGCTTCGTCACTAAGCAGTACTGAGAAACCGACTGCAATGTCAACTGAAAAAGATGAAACTGCAACCACAAGCCAGACTGAAACAGTATCTAGCACACAAAGGACAAGCTCATCCTCAACAGAAACAGAAACAAAAGCAGAGGAGAGCTCAGTGGAACATACAACTGAGGTGTCCACAAAGGTGACCTTGGCTTCTACAGCCTCCTCATTATTAAGCACAGAGACACTAACAGCACTGCCAGTCACTGAACAAGAAAGCACATCAACAGAAATGACTGAGGGTCTCTCAGTAACGCCACATTCTGGGACAACAGGGACCAGTCCTTCATTAAGTAAATCAACAACAAAACCTGAGACTGCATCTTTCTTTGTCACCACCATGGTTGAGGGTTCGGGAGACAGCACTTCAAATGTCACAGATGAGTCCATTATCCCAGCCACTACTGTCCTTTTCACCTTAAGCACAGAGTCACCATCAGTCACAGCAAGACAGGAGACTGAAACAAGTGAGACTTCTGGGACAGCTGTAACTGCTGCTTCCTCACTTTACAGTACTGAGAAACCAACTGCAATGTCAACTGAACCAGATGAAACTGCAACCACAAGCAAGACTGAGAGAATATCTACCACACAAAGGACAAGCTCATCCTCAACAGAAACAGAAACAAAAGCAGAGGTGAGCTCAGTAGAACACACAACTGAGGTGTCAACAAAGGTGACCTTGGCTTCTACAGCCTCTTCGTTGTTAAGCACAGAGACACCAACAGCACTGCAAGGCACTGGACAAGACAGCACATCAACAGAGAGTACAGAAGGTCCCTCAGTAACACCAATTTCTGGTACCATTAAGCAAAGCTCCATTTTCACTCCAACAGATGAGGATGGCTTAGTTTTAAAAACAGAGGAAATGTTCACTACAACCTCCCAAGCTACAGCTAAATTGTTACTCTCAAGCACTGAATCTACTCAAACAACATCACCTGTGTCATCCTCTGTTGTTTATGATGATGAGAAAAGAAGTTTCAGTGATGAAACTACAACAATAAAGACCAGCACGTCATTTAGTGAATCAGTGACAAAACCTGAGACTGCATCCTTCCCTGTATCAACGGGTTTCGAGGGTTCTGGAGATAGCAGTTCAGTTTTCACTGATGAGTCTCTTATACCAGCCACTACTGTCCCTTTCACCTCAACCCCTGAGTCACCATCAGTCACAGCATCGCATGTGATGGACACAAGTGAGACCTCTGGGACAGCTGTAACTGCTGCTTCCCCACTTTATAGTACTGAGAAACCGACTGCAATGTCAACTAAGCTAGATGAAACTGCAACCACAATCCAGACTGAGAGAATATCTTCCACACAAAGGACAAGCTCATCCTCAACAGTAATTGAAAGAGAAACTGAGAGAAGCTCAGTGGAACACATAACAGAGATGTCCACCAAGGTGACCATTGCTTCTACAGCCTCCTCATTATTAAGTACAGAGACACCAACAGCACTGCCAGTCACTGAACAAGAAAGCACATCAACAGAAATCAAAGAGAGTCCCTCAGCATCACCCTCATCTGGGACAGTAAGGTCTAGTCCTGTATTAGATGAATCAGCCACAAAAACTGAAGCTGCATCTTTCTCCGAGATCACCACCTTTGAGGGTTCTGGAGACAGTAGTTCACATATGACTGATGAGTCCCTTATATCAGTCACTACTGTCCTTTTCACCTCAAGCACAGAGTTGCCTTCGGTAACAGCAAAACAGGAGACTGACACAAGTGAGACTTCTAGGACAGATGCAACTGCTGCTTTGTCACTCTACAGTACTGAGAAACCAACTGCAATGTCAACTGTAACTGGTGAGACTGCAACCACAAGCAAGACTGAGAGAATATCTACCACACAAAGGACAAGCTTATCCTCAACAGAAACAGAAACAAAAACAGAGGTCAGCTCAGAGGAACACAAAACTGAGGTGTCAACAAAGGTGACCTTGGCTTCTACAGCCTCTTCATTGTTAAGCACAGAGACACCAACAGCACTGCCAGTCACTGAACAAGATAGCACTGCAATACAGGTCACAGAAAGTCCCTCAGTAACACCAATTTCTGGTACCATTAAGCAAAGCTCCATTTTCACTCCAACAGATGAGGACGGCTTAATTTTAAAAACAGAGGAAATGTTCACTACAACTTCCCAAGCTACAGCTAAATTGTTACTCTCAAGCACTGAAGCTTCTACAACAACATCACCTGTGTCATCCGCTGTTGTTTATGATGATGAGAAAAGAAGTTTCAGTGATGAAATTACAACAATAAAGACCAGCACATCATTTAGTGAATCAGTGACAAAACCTGAGACTGCATCCTTCCCTGTATCAACTGGTTTTGAGGGGTCTGGAGATAGCAGTTCAGTTTTCACTGATGAGTCTCTTATACCAGCCACTACTGTCACCTCAAGCACAGAGTCACCATCAGTTACAGCATCGCATGTGACTGAAATAAGTGAGACTTCTGGGACAGCTGTAACTGCTGCTTCCTCACTTTACAGTACTGAGAAACCAACTGCAATGTCAACTAAGCTAGATGAGACTGCAACCACAAGCCATACTGAGAGAATATCTACCACACAAAGGTCAAGCTTATCCCCCTCCACAGAAACAAAAGCAGAGGAGAGCTCAGTGGAACATACAACAGAGATGTCCACCAAGGTGACCATAGCTTCTACAGCCTCCTCATTATTAAGCACAGAGACACCAACAGCACTGCCAGTCACTGAACAAGAAAGCACATCAACAGAGATTACAGAAGGTCCCTCAGGAGCACCAATTTCTGGTGAAATAGAGACCAGTCCTTCGTTAAGTGAATCAACCACAAAACCTGAAACTGCATCTTTCTTTGTCACCACCATGTTTGAGGGTTCTGGAGACAGCACTTCAGATGTCACGGATAAGTCCATTATCCCAGGCACTACTGTCCTTTTCACCACAAGCACAGAGTTGCCTTCAGTCACAGAAAAACAGGAGACTGACACAAGTGAGACTTCTGGGACAGAAGCAACTGCTGCTTCCTCACTTTACAGTACTGAGAAACCAACTGCAATGTCAACTAAGCTAGATGAGACTGCAACCACAAGCCAAACTGAGAGAGTATCTACCACACAAAGGACAAGTTTATCCTCAACAGAAACAACAGCAGAGGTGAGCTCAGAGGAACAAACAACAGAGATGTCCACAAAGGTGACCATAGCTTCTACAGCCTCCTCATTATTAAGCACAGAGACACTAAGCACACTGCCAGTCAGAAGTCAAGAAAGTGCTGCAACAGGGGTCACAGAAGGTCCTTTAGTAACACCAATTTCTGGGACCATTAAGCAAAGCTCCATTTTTACTCCAACAGATGAGGATGGCTTAGTTTTAAAAACAGAGGAAATGTTCACTACAACTTCCCAAGCTACAGCTAAATTGTTACTCTCAAGCACTGAATCTACTCAAACAACATCACCTGTGTCATCCTCTGTTGTTTATGATGATGAGAAAAGAAGTTTCAGTGATGAAACTACAACAATAAAGACCAGCACGTCATTTAGTGAAACAGTGACAAAACCTGAGACTGCATCCTTCCCCGTGTCAACTGTATTTGAGGGGTCTGGAGATAGCAGTTCAGTTTTCACTGATGAGTCTCTTATACCAGCCACTACTGTCCCTTTCACCTCAACCCCTGAGTCACCATCAGTCACAGCATCGCATGTGATGGACACAAGTGAGACTTCTGGGACAGCTGTAACTGTTGCTTCCTCACTCTACAGTACTGAGAAACCAACTGCAATGTCAACTGAAAAAGATGAAACTGCAACCACAAGCAAGACTGAGAGAATATCTACCACACCAAGGACAAGCTCATCTTCAACAGAAACAGAAAGAGAACCTGAGAGAAGCTCAGTGGAACACACAACAGAGATGTCCACCAAGGTGACCATAGCTTCTACAGCCTCCTCATTATTAAGTACAGAGACACCAACAGCACTGCCAGTCACTGAACAAGTCAGCACATCAACAGAAATGACTGAGGGTCCCTCAGTAACACCACATTCTGGGACAACAGGGACCAGTCCTTCATTAAGTAAATCAACAACAAAACCTGAGACTGCATCTTTCTTTGTCACCCCCATGGTTGAGGGTTCTGGAGACAGCACTTCAGATGTCACTGATGAGTCCATTATCCCAAGCACTACTTTCCCCTTTACCTCAAGCACAGAGTCACCTTCGGTCACAGTAAAACAGGAGACTGACCTAAGTGAGACTTCTGGGACGGATGCAACTGCTGCTTCATCACTCTACAGTACTGAGAAAACCACTGCAATGTCAACTAAGCTAGATGAGACTGCAAGCACAAACCAGACTGAGAGAGTATCTGTTACACAAAGGACAAGTTTATCCTCAACAGAAACAACAGCAGAGGTAAGTTCAGAGGAACAAAAAACAGAGATGTCCACCAAGGTGACTGTGACCTCTACAGCCTCCTCATTATTGAGCACAGAGACACCAACAGCACTGCCAGTCACTGAACAAGAAAGCACATCAACAGAGATTACAGAAGGTCCCTCAGGAGCACCAATTTCTGGTGAAATAGAGACCAGTCCTTCATTAGGTGAATCAACCTCAACACCTGAAACTGCATCTTCCTTTGTCACCACCATGTTTGAGGGTTCTGGAGACAGCACTTCAGATGTCACGGATGAGTCGCTTATAACAGCCACTACTGTCCCTTTCACCTCAAGCTCAAAGTCACCATCAGTTACAGCATTACACGGGACTGAAATTAGTGAGACGTCTGGGACAGCTGCAACTGCTGCTTCATCACTAAGCAGTACTGAGAAACCGACTGCGAGGTCAACTGAAAAAGATGAAACTGCAACCACAATCCAGACTAAGACAGTATCTAGCACACAAAGGACAAGCTCATCCTCAACAGAAACAGAAACAAAAGCAGAGGTCAGCTCAGAGGAACACAAAACTGAGGTGTCAACAAGGGTGACCTTGGCTTCTACAGCTTCTTCATTGTTAAGCACAGAGACACCAACAGCACTGCCATTCACTGAACAAGAAAGCACATCAACAGGGATTACGGAAGGTCACTCAGTAACACCAATATCTGGTGAAATAGAGACCAGTCCTTCATTCAGTACATCAACAACAAAACCTGAGACTGCATCTTTCTTTGTCACCACCATGTTTGAGGGTTCTGGAGACAGCACTTCAGATTTCACCGATGAGTCCCTTATATCAGCCACTACTTTCCCTGACATTTTAAGCAAAGTTTCACCATCGGTTGCAGCATTGCATGACGCTGAGACAAGTGAGACTTCTGGGACAGCTGTAACTGCTGCTTCCTCACTTTACAGTACTGAAAACCCAACTGTAATGTCAACTGAAAAGGATGAGACTGCAACCACAAGCCAGACTGAGATAGTATCTACCACACAAAGGACAAGCTCATCCTCAACAGAAACAGAAACAAAAGCAGAGGTGAGCTCAGAGGAACACAGAACTGAGGTGTCCATAATGGTTACCATGGCTTCAACAGCCTCTTCGTTATTAAGCACAGAGACACCAACAGCAGTGCCAGGCACTGGACAAGACAGCACATCAACAGAGAGTACGGAAGGTCCCCCAGTAACACCAATTTCTGGGACCATTAAGCAAAGCTCCATTTTCACTCCAACAGATGATGATGGCTTAATTTTGAAAACAGAGGAAATGTTCACTACAACTTCCCAAGCTACAGCTAAATTGTTACTCTCAAGCACTGAATCTACTCAAACAACATCACCTGTGTCATCCTCTGTTGTTTATGATGATGAGAAAAGAAGTTTCAGTGATGAAACTACAACAATAAAGACCAGCACGTCATTGAGTGAATCAGTGACAAAACCTGAGACTGCATCCTTCCCTGTATCAACGGGTTTCGAGGGGTCTGGAGATAGCAGTTCAGTTTTCACTGATGAGTCTCTTATACCAGCCACTACTGTCCCTTTCACCTCAAGCACAGAGTCGCCTTCAGTCACAGCAAAACAGGAGACTGACACAAGTGAGACTTCTAGGACAGATGCAACTGCTGCTACCTCACTCTACAGTACTGAGAAACCCAGTGCAATGTCAACTAAGCTAGATGAGACTGCACCCACAAGCCAGACTGAGAGAGTATCTGTTACACAAAGGACAAGTTTATCCTCAACAGAAACAACAGCAGAGGTAAGCTCAGAGGAACAAACAACAGAGATGTCCACCAAGGTGACTGTGACCTCTACAGCCTCCTCATTATTGAGCACAGAGACACCAACAGCACTGCCAGTCACTGAACAAGAAAGCACATCAACAGAGATTACAGAAGGTCCCTCAGGAGCACCAATTTCTGGTGAAATAGAGACCAGTCCTTCATTTAGTGAATCAACCACAATACCAGATACTGCATCTTCCTTTGTCACCACCATGTTTGAGGGTTCTGGAGACAGCACTTCAGATGTCACGGATGAGTCGCTTATAACAGCCACTACTGTCCCTTTCACCTCAACCCCAAGGTCACCATCAGTCACAGCATCACACAGGACTGAAATTAGTGAGACGTCTGGGACAGCTGCAACTGCTGCTTCGTCACTTAGCAGTACTGAGAAACCGACTGCGAGGTCAACTGAAAAAGATGAAACTGCAACCACAATCCAGACTAAGACAGTATCTAGCACACAAAGGACAAGCTCATCCTCAACAGAAACAGAAAGAGAAGCAGAGGAGAGCTCAGTGGAACATACAACTGAGGTGTCCACAAAGGTGACCATGGCTTCTACAGCCTCCTCATTATTAAGCACAGAGACACCAACAGCACTGCCAGTCACTGAACAAGAAAGCACATCAACAGAGATTACAGAAGGTCCCTCGGTAACACCAATTTCTGGGACAACAGGGACCAGTCCTTCATTCAGTAAATCAACAACAAAACCTGAGACTGCATCTTTCTTTGTCACCACCATGTTTGAGGGTTCTGGAGACAGCACTTCAGATGTCACGGATGAGTCCCTTATATCAGCCACTACTTTCCCTGACATTTCAAGCAAAGTTTCACCATCGGTTGCAGCATTGCATGAGGCTGAGACAAGTGAGACTTCTGGGACAGCTGTAACTGCTGCTTCCTCACTTTACAGTACTGAGAAACCAACTGCAATGTCAACTGAAAAAGATGAAACTGCAACCACAAGCAATACTGAGAGAATATCTACCACACAAAGGACAAGCTCATCATCAACAGAAACAGAAACAAAAGCAGAGGTGAGCTCAGAGGAACACACAACTGAGGTGTCCATAAAGGTTACCATGGCTTCTACTGCCTCTTCGTTGTTAAGCACAGAGACACCAACAGCAGTGCCAGGCACTGAACAAGACAGCACATCAACAGAGAGTACAGAAGGTCCCTCAGTAACACCAATTTCTGGGACCATTAAGCAAAGCTCCATTTTCACTCCAACAGATGATGATGGCTTAATTTTAAAAACAGAGGAAATGTTCATTACAACTTCCCAAGCTACAGCTAAATTGTTACTCTCAAGCACTGAATCTACTCAAACAACATCACCTGTGTCATCCTCTGTTGTTTATGATGATGAGAAAAGAAGTTTCAGTGATGAAACTACAACAATAAAGACCAGCACGTCATTTAGTGAATCAGTGACAAAACCTGAGACTGCATCCTTCCCTGTGTCAACTGGTTTCGAGGGGTCTGGAGATAGCAGTTCAGTTTTCACTGATGAGTCTCTTATACCAGCCACTACTGTCCCTTTCACCTCAAGCACAGAGTCACCATCAGTCACAGCATCGCAGGAGACTGAAACAAGTGAGACTTCCAGGACAGATGCAACTGCTGCTTCGGCACTCTACAGTACTGAGAAACCCACTGCAATGTCAACTAAGCTAGATGAGACTGCACCCACAAGCCAGACTGAGAGAGTATCTGTTACACAAAGGACAAGCTCAACCTCAACAGAAACAGAAACAACAGCAGAGGTGAGCTCAGAGAAACAAACAACAGAGATGTCCACCAAGGTGACTGTGACCTCTACAGCCTCCTCATTACTAAGCACAGAGACACCAACAGCACTGCCATTCACTGAACAAGAAAGCACATCAACAGAGAGTACAGAAGGTCACTCAGTAACACCAATTTCTGGGACAACAGGAACCAGTACTTCATTCAGTAAATCAACAACAAAACCTGTAACTTCATCTTTCGTTGTCACCACCATGTTTGAGGGTTCTGGAGACAGCACTTCAGATGTCACAGATGAGTCCATTATCCCAGGCACTACTGTCCTTTTCACCTCAAGCACAGAGTCACCATCAGTCACAGCAAGACAGGAGACTGACACAAGTGAGACTTCTGGGACAGCTGTAACTGCTGCTTCCTCACTTTACAGTACTGAGAAACCAACTGCAATGTCAACTGAAAAAGATGAAACTGCAACCACAAGCCAGACTGAGACAGGTCCCTCAGTAACACCAATTTCTGGGACCATTAACCAAAGCTCCCTTTCCACTTCAACAGATGAGGATGGCTTAGTTTTGGAAACAGAGGAAATGTTCACTACAGTTTCCCCTGCAACTTCTAAGGTGTTACTCTCAAGCACTGAAGCTCCTACAACAACAGCACCTGTGTCATCCTCTGTTGTTTATGATGATGAGAAAAGAAGTTTCAGTGATGAAACTACAACGATAAAGACCAGCACGTCATTTAGTGAATCAACAAAACCTGAAACTGCATCTTTCCCTGTATCAACTGGTTTTGAGGGGTCTGGAGATAGCAGTTCAGTTTTCACAGATGAGTCTCTTATACCAGCCACTACTGTCCCTTTCACCTCAAGCACAGAGTCACCATCAGTCACAGCATCACACGGGACTGAAATTAGAGAGACGTCCGTGACAGATGCAACTGCTGCTTCCTTACTTTATAATACTGAGAAACCGACTGCAATGTCAACGGAAACACATGAGACTGCAACCACAAGCAAGACTGAGAGAGTATCTGTTACACCAAGGACAAGCTCATCCTCAACAGAAACAGAAACAAAAGCAGAGGTGAGCTCAGAGGAACAAACAACAGAGGTGTCCACCAAGGTGACCATAGCTTCCACAGCCTCCTCATTATTAAGCACAGAGACGCCAACAGCACTGCCACTCACTGAAAAAGAAAGTACATCAACAGAGGGTACGGAAGGTCCCTCAGGAGCACCAATTTCTGGGACAGTGGGGACCAGTCCTTTATTTAGTAAATCAACAACAAAACCTGAAGCTGTATCCTTCTTTGTCACCACCATGGTTGAGGGTTCTGGAGACAGCACTTCAGATATCACAAATGAGTCCCTTGTATCAGCCACTACAGTCCCTGACATTTCAAGCAAAGTTTCACCATCGGTTGCAGCATTGCATGAGGCTGAAACAAGTGAGACTTCTGGGACAGATGCAACCGCTGCTTCCTCACTTTACAGTACTGAGAAACCAACTGCAATGTCAACTGTAACAGATGAGACTGCAACGACAAGCCAGACTAAAACAGTATCTACCACACAAAGGACAAGCTCATCCTCAACAGCAACAGAAAGAGAAGCAGAGGAGAGCTCAGTTGAACATACAACTGATGTGTCCACAAAGGTGACCGTGGCCTCTACATCCTCCTCATTATTAAGCACAGAGACAGCACTGCCAGTCACTGAACAAGAAAGCACATCAACAGAGATTACAGAAGGTCCCTCAGGAGCACCAATTTCTGGTACAACAGATACCAGTACTTCATTCAGTAAAGCAACAACAAAACCTGTAACTACATCCTTCTTTGTCACCACCATGGTTGAGGGATCTGGAGACAGCACTTCGGATGTCACTGATGAGTCCATTATCCCAGGAACTACTGTCTCTTTCACCTCCAGCACAGAGTCGCCATCAGTAACAGCAAAACAGGAGACTGAAACAAGTGAGACTTCTAGGACAGCTGCAACTGCTGCTTCGTCACTCTACAGTACTGAGAAACCAACTGCAATGTCAACTGAGCTAGATGAGACTGCAAGCACAAGCCAGACTGAGAGAGTATCTGTTACACCAAGGACAAGCTCATCCTCAACAGAAACAGAAACAACAGCAGAAGTGAGCTCAGAGGAACAAACAACAGAGATGTCCACCAAGGTGACTGTGACCTCTACAGCCTCCTCATTACTAAGCACAGAGACACCAACAGCACTGCCAGTCACTGAACAAGACAGCACATCAACAGGGAGTACAGAGGGTCCCTCAGTAACACCAATTTCTGGGACCATTAACCAAAGCTCCCTTTCCACTTCAACAGATGAGGATGGCTTAGTTTTGGAAACAGAGGAAATGTTCACTACAGTTTCCCCTGCAACTTCTAAGGTGTTACTCTCAAGCACTGAAGCTCCTACAACAACATCACCTGTGTCATCCTCTGTTGTTTATGATGATGAGAAAAGAAGTTTCAGTGATGAAACTACAACGATAAAGACCAGCACGTCATTTAGTGAATCAACAAAACCTGAAACTGCATCTTTCCCTGTATCAACTGGTTTTGAGGGGTCTGGAGATAGCAGTTCAGTTTTCACAGATGAGTCTCTTATACCAGCCACTACTGTCCCTTTCACCTCAAGCACAGAGTCACCATCAGTCACAGCATCACAGGAGACTGAAACAAGTGAGTCTTCTGGGACAACTGCAACTGCTGCCTCCTCACTTCACAGCACTGAGAAACCCACTGCAATGTCAACAGAAACAGATGACACTGCAACCACAAGCCAGTCTGAGGATGTATCTGCCACACAAAGGACAAGCTCATCCCCCTCCACAGAAACAAAAGCAGAGGAGAGCTCAGTGGAAATGACAACTGAGGTGTCCACAAAGGTGACCATAGCTTCTACAGCCTCCTCATTATTAAGTACAGAGACACCAACAGCACTGCCACTCACTGAACAAGTCAGCACATCAACAGAAATTAAAGAGAGTCCCTCAGCATCACCCTCATCTGGGACAGTAAGGTCTAGTCCTTTATTAGGTGAAACAGCCACAAAAACTGAAGCTGCATCTTTCTCCGAGATCACCACCTTTGAGGGTTCTGGAGACAGTAGTTCACATATGACTGATGAGTCCCTTATATCAGTCACTACTGTCCCTTTCACCTCAAGCACAAAGTCACCATCAGTCACAGCAATGCATGAGACTGGCACAAGTGAGACTTCTGGGACAGCTGCAACAGCTTCTTCCTCACTTTACATTACTCAGAAACCAACTGCAACGTCAACTGAAACAGATGAAACTCTAACCACAAGCCAGAGTGAGAGGATATCTTCCACACAAAGGACAAGCTCACCCTCAATAGCAACAGATACAAAAGTAGAGGAGAGCTCAGGGGAACAGACAACTGAGGTGTCCACAAAGGTAACCATGGACTCTACAGCCTCCGCATTATTAAGCACAGAGACACCAACAGCACTGCCAATCACTAAACAAGACATCATTGCAACAGAGAGTACAGAAGGTCCCTCAATTACATTCACTTCTATGACTGTCAAGCCAAGCTCCCTTTTCAGTCCAACAGATGAGAATGGCTCAGTTCACGAAACAGAGGCCATGGTCACTCCAACCTCCCATGCAACAGCTAAATCATCACTCTTGAGCACTGAAGCTCCTACAACAACACCTTATGTGTCATCCTCTGTTGGTTATGATGACGAAAAAAGAAGTTTCAGTGATGAAACTACAACAATAAAGACCAGCACGTCATTTAGTGAATCAGTGACAAAACCTGAGACTGCATCCTTCCCTGTATCAACTGGTTTTGAGGGGTCTGGAGATAGCAGTTCAGTTTTCACTGATGAGTCCCTTATACCAGTCACTACTTTCCCTGTCACCTCAAGCACAGAGTCACCATCAGTCACAGCATCACAGGAGACTGACACAAGTGAGACCTCTGGGACAGTTGCCACTGCCACTTTGTCAATTCACAGCACTGGAAAACCAACTGCAGTGTCAATGAAAACAGATGAGACTGCAACCACAAGCCAGTCTGAGAAAGTATCTACCACTCAAAGGACAAGCACATCCTCAACAGCAACAAAAGCAGAGGAGAGCTCAGGGGAAATGACAACTAAGGTGTCTACAAAGGTGACCATGGCTTCAACAGCCTCCTCACTATTAAGCACAGAGACACCAACAGCAATGCCACTCACTGAACAAGATAGCACTGCCACAGTGGGAACAGAGGGTCCCTCAGTAACTCCCTTATCTGGGACAACAGAGTCTAGTCCTTTATTCAGTGAATCAACAGAAAAAACTCTAACTACATCTTTCTTTGTCACCTCCATGGTTGAGGTTTCTGGAGACAGCACTTCAGATGTCACAGATGAGTACCTTATATCAGCCACTACAGTCCCTGACATTCCAAGCAAAGTTTCACCATCGGTTGCAGCATTGCATGAGTCTGAGACAAGTGAGACTTCTGGGACAGCTGTAACTGCTGCTTCCTCACTCTATAGTACTGAGAAACCCACTGCAATGTCAACTGAAACAGATGAAATTGCAACCACAAGCCAGACTGAGAGAATATCTACCACACAAAAGACAAGCTCATCCTCAACAGAAACGGAAACAAAAGCAGAGCTGAGCTCAGAGGAACAAACAACAGAGGTGTCCACCAAGGTGACTTTGACCTCTACAGCCTCATCATTATTAAGCACAGAGACACCAACAGCACTGCCAGTCACTGAACAAGAAAGCACATCAACAGAGATTACAGAAGGTCCCTCAGGAGCACCAATTTCTGGTACAACAGATACCAGTACTTCATTCAGTAAACCAACAACAAAACCTGAAACTGCATCCTTCTTTGTCACCACCATGGTTGAGGGTTCTGGAGACAGCACTTCAGATTTCACTGATGAGTCCATTATCCCAGGCACTACTGTCCCTTTCACCTCCAGCACAGAGTCACCATCAGTCACAGCAAGACAGGAGACTGACACAAGTGAGACTTCTGGGACAGCTGTAACTGCTGCTTCCTCACTCTACAGTACTGAGAAACCAACTGCAATGTCAACTGAGAAAGATGAAACTGCAACCACAAGCCAGACTGAGAGAATATCTACCACTCAAAGGACAAGCACATCCTCAACAGAAACAAAAACAAAAGCAGAGGAGAGTTCAGGGGAAATGACAACTGAGGTTTCCACAAAGGTGACCATTGCTTCCACAGCCTCCTCACTATTAAGAACAGAGACACCAACAGCACTGCCAATCACTAAACAAGAAAGCCCATCAACAGAGATTACAGAAGGTCCCTCAGGAGCACCAATTTCCGTTGAAATAGAGACCAGTCCTTCATTAAGTGAATCAACCACAAAACCTGAAACTGCATCTTTCTTTGTCACCACCATGTTTGAGGGTTCTGGAGACAGCACTTCAGATATCACAGATAAGTCCATTATCCCAGGCGCTACTGTCCCATTCACCTCAAGCACAGAGTTGCCATCAGTCACAGCATCACACGGGACTATAACAAGTGAGACGTCTAGGACAGTTGCCACTGCTGCTTCCTCACTTTACAGTACTGAGAAACCCACTGCAACGTCGACAGAAACACATGACACTGCAACATCAAGCCAGTCTGAGAAAGTATCTAGCACACAAAGGACAAGCTCATCCCCCTCCACAGAAACAAAAGCAGAGGAGAGCTCAGTGGAAATGACAACAGAGGTTTCCACAAAGGTAACCATGGCCTCTACAGCCTCTTCATTATTAAGCACAGAGACACCAACAGCACTGCCAGTCACTGAACAAGAAAGCACTGCCACAGTGGGAACAGAAGGTCCCTCAGTAACACCAATTTCTATGACAAGTCAATCAGCAACAAAACCCATTACTGCATCTGTCTTTGTTACCACCATGGTCGAGGGTTCTGGAGACAGCACTTCAGATGTCACGGATATGTCTATTATCCCAGGCACTACCTTCCCCTTCACCTCAAGCGCAGAGTCACCATCAGTCACAGAAAAACAGGAGACTGACATGAGTGAGACTTCTCGGACACCTGCAACAGCTTCCTCACTTTACAGTACTGAGAAACCAACTGCAATGTCAACTGAAACTGATAAGACTTTAACCACAAGTCATACTGAGAAAGTATCTACCACTCAAAGGACAAGCACATCCTCAACAGCAACAAAAACAAAACCAGAGGAGAGCTCAGGGGAAATGACAACTGAGGTTTCCACAAAGGTGACCACGGCTTCTACAGCCTCCTCACTATTAAGCACAGAGACACCAACAGCAATGCCACTCACTGAACAAGATAACACTGCCACAGTGGGAACAGAGGGTCCCTTAGTATCACCAATTTCTGGGACCATTGATCAAAGCTCTCCTCTCACTCCAACAGATGAAGATGGCTCAGTTTTTAAAACAGAGGCCATTATCACTACAACCTCCCATGCAACAGCGAAGTCATCACTGATTAGCACCGAAGCTCCTAAAACAACGTCTCCTGTGTCATCCCCTGTTGTGTCTGACGAACAGACAGCAGAAGTCTCCACTGTGGTTCCTTCAGCCTCCTCCTTGTCAAGCACAGAGAAGCCATCAGCATTGCTAGTCACCAGAGAAGACAGCACTGCAACAGAGGGTACGGAAGTTCCCTCAGTAACTGCCTTTTCTGCATATTCTAATATTCCTCATCTTCCACACAAAACCTCTCCAACAATTGTTCTGCCCAGTGTCACTGCATTTACCTCCAAGGAAACTTCTACCTTCATTGACATGGAGAATTCTGGTTATTCAAGTGGAGAGAATGATTTGGAATCAAGTTCAGATGGATCTGGTGCTGACGATTCCATTGAGACTACTAAAGTCCCACAGCATGAATTTACAGTGGCCACTGATGAGACCGAAATTGATGAGTCAGAAACCAAATCTGCCCCATCTAGTTTTACACCCACAACCCAGTCCTTTGTGCATTCCACCAATGAATTAATTTCATCAACTAAAACCCCACTGATGACAAGCACTGATAATCATATTGATGAGCAGGGCAGTGGAACCACCGAAGATGACACTTCAGGTGATGAAGAGAGATCAGACACTGACTCTTACAGTGAGTCAACTGCTTTTGTTCCAGTCACAATTTCTTCTTTAATACCCACTTCTAAAGCAGCAACAAAACAAATTACTGTGGATTCTTCAACTGAAAATTTAACAACAAGTTCAGCCCTTACATTTACAGAGGGTGTAAGGTCTGGTCACCCAACTCCCGAGATTTTTACCTCAAAGCCATCAGTGATAGAGACAGTGTCATTTGGAGAAGCAACAGGTGAAACAGCAACCTTTGTTTCCATTACACCAACCTTTAGTGAGATGTCCTCACAGGAGGTTGAAGTTACTGTGGATACAGAAAGCCCCAGTACTTATGATTCCACAGAGGCACCTCTTTTCAATGCAAGTGAAAATGCTGTTAGTGGGGTTGAACATATAATGCAATCCTCCCATACAACTACATCCCCCTTCACAACTGGTGCATCAGTAAGAGAACACACAGTTGGTGACTTGATTACAATGAGTACTAGCAGTAAAGAAAAGCATGATGTAATCACAGCAGTGCCCACCCCCATCCCCTCAATTGTTTATCATGGTGTAACAGACCAGCAGGTTGTCATCATCCCCTCAAGTGGTAGCCAAGCGAAAACTGACTCAACTGAACAAACACCGACCATGGTCTTGCATAGTTCTAAACCATCACCAAGCAAAACTATCATATTTACAGAGGAAACAAATAATGAAGATAACCTTTTTTCTACAGTTACAGAAATTATGAGGGAAAGTAGTCCCACCCCTGAGGATTTCACCAAAGATGATATTATTGATGTAGATACTATGTCCATGGTACCCTCCTCTCCATTTTACCCCACAGTCCAGACAGAAGAAGTTGGGGGTGTCACAGCAGTTACGATAGCACAAAGAATCTTGGTATCAGAAGAACCAGAGGGGTCAGGGATTTATAGCACGACTCTTACACCAGGAACTTTAAATGCAACCTCAAAACCATCAATTCTTGAAGGTACGTCTAGTGAAGAGACATCCACTGAAGAGATAATCACACCACATGCCACCCCAGCTACTACTATGCCCACAAAATCAAGTTCTGAGGAAATGTTTTATTCTTCTACACCACATACAGATCTCCTCATTGACACTACAACTAAACCACTCCCAGATCTTGTAACGGATGTTATTGAGCTCAGCACTTCCTCGTCTTTCCCATCTCAAACCTCCACTGAAAAATCTGATACAAGCTCAGTCACACTGGTGTCCAGTGAGGAGTATATGGTCAGCACCGGAGGGGAAAAATCCACCTCCTCCCCACCCACAGCCAGAACTGTTACAGATCATGGTAAAAAAGAAGAAATCTTAAGTTCAGCCGTTTCCTTACCAACCACCATACCTTCAGTTTCTGTCACACCACAAGATCCAGTGTCCACAGAACCTGGCAAAGCAAAGCCAAGTAGTGATAAGGCTGAAATCTCAGAGAGGACTTTAGTATCATCTGAAGATGAAAGTACAGCATCTAAAAAACAAGGAACACCCACAGCATCTTCACTCTTGAGTACTGAGACTCCAACTGTTGCTCACGGAGAAACAACACAATCAAGTGTGTCAAATGCTGCTTTAAGTCTCCTTAGTACCAGGAAGCCAACAGTCACATCTGCTTCTGAAGCTACTGGGAAAGACGTTTCAGATTTTCATACTAATGTGACAGAGCCATCTACAAAAAAATCTACTTCCTCATCACAGATATCTTCTTCACAAAGCACAGTGAAGCCTGATGTCATTATTAAGTTTGTCACCACCTTTTCTTCAGAACCAGATACAACACCATCTGAGGTTTCCTTTCAACAGGCCAGATCTGAGATCACATTCACTCACCATCCCAACATTAACATCTCTGAGAGAACGGTCTTGTCAACAACCAGCCAAATGTTACCCAGTGAGGAGACAAGCAAGCATATGGATCCTGATGACCTGTCTACTCAAATTGGAGTTAGAACCACGCCACAAGAAGAAAAGACATCCACAGCACCAAGCCAAGCACCTGTAATGACAGAATTTTCAACAGATGCTGGAACCAGTACAAGACAAGATAATGAAGTATTTGAAACCTCTACTGATGTTGCATCAGGTTCGCATGAAACAGACAAATCAGAACACACTGATCCTTCTGCAGGTAGTTCAACTGATCCAACCCCAAAGACAACATCAACACCATCTTCAATGCAGACAAAAACAGTTCCAACATCAACTGTGTCTTCACTGCTCAGTACTGAAACTCCATTTGCGGTGGCCACTTCAGGTGCGAGCTCCGGGCTATCTGAAACTGTATCTGCTTCTTCAGAAGATGGCAAAGTTGAGCCAAGTACTGATCAGCTTCCAAGCAATGAAAGGACTGAACAAACTCCAGATACAGAACCTTTCTCAGGAGGTTTTGGCACAGATTATCCACCTGATTATGACTCTTTCAACCCCAACCTTTTAGAAGGAGCCCCAAATACCACAGCAAGAGAAGAAACAGTTCTCGTTATAACACCACCCGTTGTTTCTGAAACATCTGAGAGCCATCCTGTTGACTCAGTGAGCAGTACTGAAAGTAGCTCAGAAGAAAGTAAAACAAAATCACCTGGAGTGGCAGCACAGGCCATCACTATCTTACCTTCTTCCTTAGCTCCCATCAGCGTTTCATCCTCTAGTTCTGAAAGTGGTTCAAACAGCAGCAGCAGCTCAGAAGAAAGCATATCCACAGCGGGCACGGTCAAACCTGATAGTGATAAGGTTGAGAGCGTAACCTCTGAACATTTGTCTGACACGACAAAGTCACCCTCCGTTATTGTCAATGCATCTGTGGGTGGGATCCTAAGTTCTGAAAGCACCTCTGTCAGCTCTGAGAGTTTATCAGGAGAGATGACAACTACTAGGACCCCAAATCTCAGCAGTATGGAGAATCAGTCCCTTTCCCCAGATGAAATCAAGACAGTGTACAAGATGGATACAACCACAGCATCAAAGATAGAGTCTGTTAGTCAGGGAGATGTTTCTCCTCAGACTGAATCATCCACGAGCAGCCAGACAGAGTCCACCACGACAGCAGCAGCCCCAGAACAAAGCCAGCCAGATGTTGGAAATGTAGCTACTACTTTATCATCACTTTCTGAAGAGGATAATAAACCGGACAGTGACATTCCTACCCTTCCATCACCCACTGAAGGAGAAACACTACAGAGAGCAGAGGAAACAACTGTGCGGCCTGACATAGGATTAGGGCACACTGTTGTTGGCGAGACATTTGAAATTCCAGGTACAGTACTCTCTTTAAATTAATTTAATAACAATACAACTGAGAGTTTAAGAATGGCTTACCTCAAAAAATCTTTCCTGATTTGTTGTTTTTTAATCTCTTCTCAGAAGGTAACTCTTGTTCAGAAAACGTTTGTCTGAATGGCGGATCTTGCTTCCAGAGTGGAAACATTTATTCATGTATTTGCGCTCCTGGGTACAGCGGTGATCGCTGTGAAACAGGTAGGACATCGTGAAGAAAAAAGTTCTCAAAAATGTGCTACTTTACTGTTAACTATTTAATTCATCCAGATTATTTTAGTGTGGTATGGGCTGCCTTTTTCTTAGTCATTCTATGTGTCTCCGATGTAGATGTTGATGAGTGCCAGTCAAACCCTTGCCGTAATGGAGGTACATGTGTTGATGGGCTGGCTTCCATCACATGTGTGTGCCTCCCAAGCTACACTGGGCTGTACTGTGAGGAGGGTAAGTTTTTGGTCTATTTGATGAATCTTCCATCATTAATTTCTGAATAATTTAGACTATACTGATAAAGGTTTTCGGTGTTGTTAGCTTTTCAATGTGGTGAGTGCCAGGACCTACAGGTAGTGATCTAAGTTGGTTGTTTAATGGGTCCAAAATGTAGTTTTGTTTTGTTTCTAGCCCAATGGTAGTGCTAAAAAAATCATAAACGGATAATAATAGGCATGTTTTAAGTATACCAGAAGTTTTAAGAAAAACATGTTATGCTGAAAGCAGTTTGTCATCTTTTTCTTTGTTTACATTTCTTAAATGTGTCCTTCCAGTGTTTACTTGGGGAATATGTTCAGAGATTGTCTGCAGTTATTGATAAATAGCAGGTGGATGCGCAATTTTCAAGCCTTTTTTTTAAATGAACAAAAATAAAGAATACCAATGGGTCAATTAGAGGAAAACTTTTTACATCTGGTGGAAGTATATCATATTGAAGTTTAATAATTTTCTCTTATTCCTCCTTCAATAAGACAGGAGTCTTTTAGGTTTTTATTTTAAGGTTTAGCAAATATTTAGCAAATAAGCCCTATGAGGGTAATAATCAGAAGAAGGAAAAAAACTATTGCAGATCTCGTATGTAATGATGTATTTTGAATGATAACATGAACTATATCGGGCAAGTAGCATCAGATTTGGTGCGCAAATTGCTGCTGTCATGCTAGCTTTCAGTTGCATTTGTGAATCACATCTAATCTATGAGGTTTTCCAAAAGTGTTCCTACCACATAATAAATAGTATCTACACAAGGTGTTCCTAGTAAAAAGTTGATAAATATTCCCCAAATTCCCACACGACCAAACTTTTATCTAAGTTTTCCAGTTCTGCCCTACTTTCACTTCAGTCGCAGTAAAGCCAGACATCATGTTTCTGGGAGGATTTCTCATGATCTATGTCTACACCCTAAATTGGTCAGGATCTCTCATGAGTGACTCACACTCAGACTCAGCTGCTGTCTTTAAGACTTGCCAAGAGACAGGAAGAAAAAAGTAACTTGAAGAGGTACAGTTTAGGGAAAGGGTTTTTTTTTTCTGTTAACTTTTGGAAACTTGATTGAGGAAGGGAACAAAAAGTCGTGTACACTTAACATTGATAGTGTTGAGATGAGACTTGTATCAGTGTCTAATTAGGATACTTAACATTAACCTGAATCCATTACATTAATCTTGATCGTTGTCTGCATTTTAAATCAGATTCACAAATGCATATCAAGTTTCCCATTATTGTTTAAAACAAATGACCTTCTCAGCATGATAACTGCATCTTTAAGTCATCAAACTAATGTGGTTTATATTTCCATTATGTTTGTGTCCCATCAGATACGGAGACATGCGACTATGGCTGGCACAAGTTCCAGGGCCACTGCTACAAGTATTTCCCACAAAGAAGAAACTGGGATACAGCAGAGAGAGAGTGTCGCATGCATGGGGCTCATCTCACCAGCATTCTTTCCCATGAGGAGCAGCAGTTTGTCAACCGTATGTTAAATTACACTTGAAGATGGATGATCTTTAAAAAAAAGTGTGTGTTTTAGGTAACTTACATGTTTGTCTTTCTTTTCACATGGTAGGTCTTGGACAGGACTACCAGTGGATTGGCCTGAATGATAAGATGTATGACAGTGACTTCCGCTGGACTGATGGCAGGCCCATGGTGAGATAGGTTGCTTTCTCACATATTTTTGTCTTAACAAGCGTGGCAATGATATACTGTAAATATTTGGATATGATATGGATGACAAATGCAGTCATCTAGGGAGGGTAATTCTTCTCCCAGCTCCTGGTGAGATTCTCATGACGTACTTGTCTCTGCCTCATATCGCTACACCCTGGTGGGTGACCGCTCTGGTCGTAAATCTGTTGTAGAACATGCTGTTTAGTCAGTATCAGCCCAGAACAATAACCCATATGCAGAAGTAATGCAAGGAAAACCAAGACTTGTTTGAGTGAAATATGTCATTTAATAGATGCAGTTCAAAAGACAGCACAGCAGCGCTTACTTCAGCGATTATATCTTCTTGAGAGTTTTCACTAGACAGGAAAGTGCCATTTGAATGAGTTGATGTCCTCACATCCATGGCAATTCTCCTGGACCAGATATGAGGGAGATACAGGGCCAGCCTGAGCCTTTAAAGACAAGAACACAAAATTTTCTTGGCTGAGAGATTGAGGGTTGATGTGGGTGTGTGTGATACTGTGTAGAGGGGACATGCGTGGACAGGTATGATCTGCACCCCCCTGACTACCCCCACATGCACCAGAAGGTCCAGCCAGCAGGGCCACCCGAGGGGTAGGGCCACCAGGCAGGCAGACACACAGATGGACAGCACCTGTGCTTGAAAGAAAAGGTTGATAGAAGCGGCCTGGGGAGTCTGGCTGGGTGGTCACCTCCAGTGGATCAGAGTATAAAAATAAACAAGACTGCTCTTAAAATAAGTATCAAACATTTACCTTTTAAAATTTTAAAAGAAAAGCTATTAATACTTATCACAAAAGGGCACAGGAACACCAAAGTTTTTTTTATTTTTAATTTTTATTTTAAAGTGTGGGTGATCAAAGTTTGTTTGATTATTTTGAGGAGGATGCAAGCCTGCTGTGTAGTTGACGGGTCACTCATTTGTTCACTAGGAGTCAGCAGGAAGTAGCTGTGTATTTGTTAACCATAATGACAGAGTAGCAGAGCCTTGGGGCATGATTGGGTGAGCTGGGGAGGGGGGTCATGGCTTTGAAGGGTCTGTTTGAACCCTGAATGCGCTGAAAGACTGCAGGTAGCATCAGTTCCTGGTTGAGTGCCCCACAGCAATACAGCTGTGTGTATACTGTATCAGTGTGTCAGTCTGCATCTGTGTGTGTGTGTAGATGTTTGTGATTATAGAATTACATGTGTAATGCCTGGAATGGTGACAGATAATATCACACTCTTCTGACTTAATGCCCTCTGGTCCTGTTCTTGTAATATTCACAAGCACTTGACCTATAATGAGTACCAAAGTAGGGGGTTATCAGTAAGTGAGTCATCAGAGATTATTGATAAGAGATGGTCTTAATGGATTAACTTGCTGAGAACCTTAATGTAACTCTCTTTAGTTATTTATAGAAATCCCATTATTGAAAATCAGGGACTCAGTTTTAAAGATCTTTTCAGAGAGCCACAGGTCATAATTTTAAGACTGATTAAGTGTTGACTTGGTGAATACAATATCGACCAACTTCCCAGTCTTTTAAGCAAAAATTGAATCATTAACCTCTATGTCTAAAGATCGGAAAGCACTTAGAAACCAGATACTATTTAGCACCATTCAAATAAAACAGCTAAAAACGGGTTCATAGAGTCTGCAGGTAATCAGTATTGAGTTAATCTGGTGAGCACTTGCAGAGCCAGCACCACCAGCCTTTGGTCCTCTTCACAAATTGATGTCCATATGCCTGTACTGTTATGATTAAGTGATTGTTCATCAGTTAAACTAGATACAGCCTCCATATAACGTTGTCTCCATTTTCTAGATCAAAATACCGCCAAACCTTGCCAGGCTAAGACATGCCTGCTGTTTTCTGTTCTTGTCTGTTGATGAGCGTTATAACACAACATTTTCTAGCGTTGACAGGAGATACAGCCCCGGCTAGTGGCGGGTGACTGAGCTGCAGCTTAGACACAACATGACCAGCATTTCAGGCCTACAATGACAAAAATAGCTGGCCAGTTTCACCGATTAGAAAGTCTGTTGTGACAAGATTTAATCACTTAGTCAACTCAAACCACACATCCTACTGTGTGCTTTCTATATAGGTTTGAACAGATGCATTTAGTTGAAGGTCAATTTCCTCTCAAGGTCATAACACCCATCATGATGTCTCCCTCTGCTCTTATTTCAGCAATATGAGAACTGGAGGCCCAACCAGCCCGACAGCTTCTTCTCCTCCGGTGAGGACTGTGTCGTGATGATTTGGCATGAAGACGGCCAGTGGAACGATGTGCCTTGTAACTACCATCTCACCTACACCTGCAAGAAGGGAACAGGTAATAGGACGAATAATTTCTCACCAAATTGAGCACAAGAACCACACCTGTGAAAGACTTTTTACCTGAGAAATTCTTATTCTGGTGGTATTATCACTCTGTTTTTAGTGGCCTGCAGCCAGCCCCCTCTAGTGGAGAATGCACGCACCTTTGGGAAGAAGCGTGAGAGATATGAGATCAACTCATTGGTGAGGTACCAGTGCCGGATAGGCTTTATTCAAAGACACGTCCCGACTATTCGTTGTCGTGGGAACGGACAATGGGATGTTCCGAAAATTAGCTGCATGAACCGTAAGTACTCAGATTACTGTTTGAAATTCTCCTGATTTATGACCTCTAAAGCACTTTCACTGTTTAAATCAAATGTCTGATTTTCATCGACAGCATCAAACTATCAGAGGACCTTTATCAGACGACATCATCACAGTAGTCTCTACAGCATCAACAACTTGAAGAGATGGCCAGATGAGGCTTTCCGCTTACAGCTTTACAGAGCGAGGAGAGACAGGACTGAGCATAAAAGGAAAAGAAAGTGACTGCCATACGAAGTGGCACAGCTTCTTAAGACGAGGACACATGTTTAATGCTTGTGTGGAAAGATGAAAAGGATTAACGGGACAAGCACAAGAGGAAACTCATGAAAGAAAACCAAGAGGAGAGTTGCAGTTTTCTTGCATTTTGGATGACGATGGAGCCTTATGAAGTGCCTTTTAATAGAGTTATATTAAAAAATGACTTTCATTATCCAAGGGCACTGTTTTTATAACAATGCCAAGGAGGATCAGATACTTTCAGCTGGCTACTGGAAAATCAAAAACTACACCAATTACTCTTTTTAACTGTAGAAAAGTTTCTATTTGCGCTGAGCTTCATAGATAATACAGACATAACTGTTGTTTCTCTATTGACCGTGCTGTGTTAAAATCACCATAAGTGTTCCTTATTTCTAAAAAGAAACATTGTGAGAATATAGCGCTTAGAAATCCATTGTGTTGTCATGTTGTTTCAAGCTGGACTCTCTTTGATTTCAACAATTATGCGTGTATCTGCATCTGCATGTTGAAGTCCTCAAATTTCTTACTGTTTGTTTTATGTCAAGAGATCCAAAATGGACATCTCAGAGCACAAGCAGAGGCACCAATGGCAACCATGGATTATGTAAAGACTCACGGTTTACATTGATTTTTTTAATCATCTAAAGCATGTCAAATGTAAAACTTTGTGATCTTTCTTATTTTTTAGGCCTAATCAGCAGAAATACAGTTCTTCAGATTTCATATTTATGTACAATGAACTCTGGGGACATTTCATCATGTCACTTCATTTACTACAGTAGACTTTTCTTGTGGTGGCAGCTCTCAAAGTACAAAATAACCCTCTTTCATAAGCTTTAGACTTTACCGGATTTCATCAGTGTCTTGTTAGGATAAATGTTTGTAGATGGATTCACATTAAGTGATCGCTTTTATTTGCAAATCAACAGTTTGATGTGCCCACTTACCGACAGGTGTTTATCCTTTAAGAAAATAGATGTCTGTCATTTTTTCAATGAAAGAAGGGATGCGTGTCGCAAGTAGCCTGTGCTTTTCATCGTATGTGTCTTTATTTTATATCTTCCAACCATGTACTACAGCATGTTTACAATAATTGTAATGCTGTACGTAGTAACAAACCAAAGACTCTTGTGCTTTTATGTTGTGCTTTTGCAGTAACCTATGACGATTTTCTTCTGTAAACTTTACATATCTGTTATGATGGTCAATTGGAATCGAGCATTGAGAGAATGTATTTTATGAAACAAACAAAAAAGACTTGAACGTAACAGCTGTTTAAGAAGAGTTGAGTGTAATTTATTTTCAAGCTGCTCCTGATCTCCTCTCTTGGTTTATACTTACATGTAAAATATGATGCTGTCAACTGGCCTTTGTGTATTTGTGTTGTATGTACAACAGGAGACCGGCCTAATCACAGACTGTTTAAAAGGGAAGATGATCAAATGAATTTATGTCTTTTTATACCTTTAATGCCAACAGTGGACCAAAGAATACAAAAGGCCCCATCGGCTGCAATAATGATCTGTTACTATAACATTTTTTTTTTAATATGTGGATGGTTTTGTGTGTCTCCAGCATTTTTAAAATGGAAAAATGTGTTCTGTATGTCTGTCTCTGTGTTTTCGCCCAAATGTGCAAAAAAGAAAAAAAAAAAAAACATTTTATATTTATAACAGTTTGTTTTTTATTTTACAATGTGAATGTCTGGAATGTTTCTAATGAGATCAAACTGTTTTTCCTGCTTTAAATCACCAAAGAAATAAAATATATTGATATAATATACATACAACACTAAATTTAAATTTTTTTCAGAAATGTTTTTGGGAGCCCCGTACAGTGGTCAGGTGCTGTGCATGTCCTTTATGTGCTGATTTGGATTTTCCCAGTATGATGTGGGTTCCTTAGTTTTCATAAACATGCAGATATGAGAGAGTCTTTTAATTTCTAATCTCAATTTTTTGTTTGTAGTTTTATTGAGTAGCAGTTTCAAAACAAATATTGGTTTCTATTGCGTGCCTTGCAAGTGGGAACTCACACTGAGTGGAATTTTGCAGCAGCAGTAGGTAATGCAGTGGATTCACCAGCAGGTTGTGCTATCAGACTGAACTATGAGCCAGAGTTTTCTGTCTGCTACAGTAGAGAACAAGCTTAATATTTTCATATCCTCTGCAAGGAGCCTATATAATCTATGGAAACTCTTCACATAGTACACTGGATTCTGCAGATCTCAATAATGCCTTATAACAACATCCCAGTTTGAGCAGCACTAGTGAATAGCCGTGTTTTGCACATAAATCAGACCCCTAAAACCCCTAGCAGACATGCTTCACAGGCCAGTGCAGACTGCCTGTTTATCCAGGAGACACAGATGGTAATTTAAAACACAGCAAACATGGAATCCAGGGTTGAGAAGTGATGTATATGCTGAAATGGCTGATGCTGCATTAGTACACTGCACTGCAGCTTATTCAGTCTAAAGCATGGCTTCAGGAGGCTCCTTTAGAATGTTATATACTTTGTAAGCCTGCATGGCTGTGCAAACAAAACAAAATTAAACCATCATGAGTGCTCACTCTGTTAAGACTTGGCCTGTGATTAGGGACCACTCCTGGATGCCTCTGCAAGAGTAAAACCTGCATTCTGGTCTCATGAAATGCAGATGCCTCATTTGTAGTCTGATACAGCATGTCTATCATTCACCCTTAACCCTGCTATTTTCTTGTCAAGTTATTCACTCCAGACCCCTGTGAGAGGCAGGTTCATGGGATGTGGCATCATTAGACTTACTAAAAGTCAACACAGCATTTGATTGGTTGTAGAAGCCAACTGAAGTAAATGATGAGTATTAGTCCAGCTCAAGCAACACTGCCAACAACAGTGGTATCTACAAACACAATTGCCTGTCGAGGTTATTGTCAGTTTGTAACCTAAACAAACCAAGAAACAAGGAGAGGCCCTCTTTGTATTGTTGTGGAAAATGTATGTAGGATGCAGCTAAATTAATGCTCAGGAGACAGGATGAGATTTGAAGAGCAGCCTGGGTGACTTTATTGTACAGATGTAGAAATCAGTACAGTTGACAAACAGAGTCTGGACTGAAGTCTTCAAAGGAACCACAGAACTCTCCTTTTTCTTACTCTTTGTGCTGGCGAGTGTGTTTGTGAGCATAATAGATGTGTATTACAAGTGCGAGTCTCTCATACGCCCTGACAACCAGACACCTGGTAGGTTAGCCGAGGACATGCCATATTGTTTTGAAATTCAACAGAACACCTCAGGGAACACTTTGCTTTCATGGCAAAAGCTACCAGACCTCAAATTTTATTACTAGGGTCAACATGATTTACACAGACTAACCTCACAAATATTTTCAAGACTGATCTTGGTCTTGGAATGAGTGTGGTCTAGACCTGCGTCTTGGGATGACGACTGTTGTGAATGGGCGCTATATAAATAAAATTTGATTGATTGATTGATTGATTGATTGATCTTCCAAATATCTCAGCCTATAAATCATCAGCATAACTATGATGTCCACCACAGTACCACAGATTAGAAATATATTAAAGAGGGGGTATTGTGCATTTTTTCAGACTTGATACTTCCTTTAAGATACCTCTTTAATAGCTTTGCATCATTTTCAGATAAAAACAAAACCTTGTGTTTCTTACTCTGGTGTATCAAAATATCATTATTTCAGCCTCAGACTGAAACGCTTCATTTTAGCTGCTGTCTCTTTAAGAGAGCGTGCTTTCTTCTGATACGGGGAATTCACGCGACGTCATATCATCTTCCGGTTTTGCCGATCGCAGGTGATTCCCTGCCAAACTCCACATGGACCTCCAGGATCTCCAGATATACAAAGTTCAATTTCGAAAGGTATGGTGAAGATTAATATTATTTACAACTAGGCAAAAGGTTGTCTTGCAAATGTTATCTGTGTTTTGAAATTCACTATTATGAAAATTTTTAGATTAGGCAGGAATGGAAGCTAAGCAATGCAACTAATGCTAGCGACCTCCCTGTGTGTATATAGCCACACATCGTTATGCATTTCCTTTTTATATCAATGTGTAATTAATTACCATACCCCTAACTCTTGGTAAAGTAACTTAATATAATCTAATCTAAAGATAGCTAAAATTTAAACTACTTATACGGTGTGTTGTTGTGGATCTGCAGTTTCTTAGTGAGCAATAACCAAGCCAGGCACATCTATTGTCATGTTCACATGGTTAACAACTTTGAAAGTGCCAAAGTCTACTACTACTTCTACTACTCTATCATTATTTGAATAGAATAATAACAAAAATAAGCCTGTGATACACACAGGCAGACAACAGCTTCATCACTAGCATTGGTTTCTAGCATAAATTTAAGATAATTTTTGAATGATAAAGTATAAAAGACGAATAACATTATTAACAAAAAAAGATTGTAAAACAGAAAAAGTAATTCATGTTAACTTTACCTTTCGAATTTAAATGATATTGTTGGATTATGGAGCAGTGCATAGAATCTCTATGAAAGAAATCCTACCGATACCCTGCAATTACTAACTCGGAAGTAAACCAGAGGTTGAGTGACATTAGTGTGAATTCCCCTTATTGGCTACCTCTCTGGAGCTCTTCCGGAGGCCAGCCAAGGGCAGAGCATGATGTTTGGGGCCTGCCTCCTCTATCTTGGTCAATTAGTAGTGCCGTGTTACCTGCTCTGTTGTGGCTGTCTCCTCACATGCTGTTGGAGGCGAGCCATTCCACTATGTCTGAAGCTCAGATGAACTACGGAGACCCTATTGCAATGATGTCATTAGTTAGTGAGTCTCATTTAGATCTAATGAAACTTCCCAACAAATTTATTTTGAAGCGGTTTACATCTTCTTACATCCTTTAATGTTTTATAAAGTTTGTAATTGTGCAGCTTACTGTCTAAATTTTTTAACATTTTGAAGTCATTTGCATTTTCCACGCTGAAAAAAGTACACAAAGTTCTAGAGAGTCCCTCTTTTTCTTCTCTAAGTATCTGTACTCTGAATAGAGAAGCTAAATCAATGGACTTTTCATTATCTCACAAATTTACATATGTCTAGCATAGCACTGCTATATCAACCTAAATCTGACCTAATTCCCATGCATTCCCACTCCACTCCCAAAGACTGTGGCTCTGTCCCCTTTGTCCAGCCGGATAGTGGGCTGGCAGTCTGGCCTTGAGAAAACAAAAAAGCTTGAGAATAAATAAAGAATGAAGAGAGTCTAATCTTAAATCCTCTTGGCAACGTACCAGAAACATGCCCCCAGGGAATGGCAGCTTAAACAGCACAATTAAAAAAAAACCTGTAAACCTCTGTAACTTCATGTTACACACGTTTTCTTTTAGTTCTTAGAGTGACTGATGAAACAGACAGGATTCATTTAAAAGTTGAATTTTTTATTTCAAACTGCTTTTTGAAAAAGGTACATGGCAACAAGATACAAAAATACCTTCACCTTTTTCATGCACAAGTGTGTACAAATGCACAAATATACCAGAAATGTTTTAAGTTTTGCTTTTACAAACAATGCATCATCATCATCATCTTACCGCATGTTACCGTTATCAGTGCCAAGGGTTAAGACAAGCAATCAGGGGTCAGCTTAAAAAGGTGTGGTCTTCTGGATTGGACATACATTTCTATTACAGGTCCTGTAAATCCAAAATATGCAAACAGCGGTAATCTGTGGATTTTTCCTGGATGCTCATCTGGATTCACTCACTAAAGCATGACCATCAGGGAATCCTGATTCAGGGTTGTAGGTGATCATTAGTAACACGCTGGAAAGTTTTAATATATGCTCTTAAACAGTTGTGATGAGGGATCTGTGCTTGATCTGTACCACTAATTTGAGTTGCTGCTGTTTTATACAGTATGTGCCTGTTATTAATTGTTTCATAGCTACACTTGAACTGAGAGAACCTGCTGTCTTTAAAAACAAAGATATTAACGTGAAACACAAGTGACACTGTCTATAGGTCAAAAAGTAAAAAAAAAAAAGTGTTAAAACAAACATACTACATGATTTCATAATGTAAATGGGAGTTGAAGTAACGGTTGTGGAAAAAGTCACAGCCCAATAAGACATTTACATTCATTTTCTTGTTAAACACTGAATTTGACCACAACTCCTCAGGGTGAAAAACTTCTCTTCAGTTTGAGAGGTGAATTCAACTCCAGTTGAATACTCGCTGCAGTAAATCATGTCTCATATCCTCATAAGCTCAACAGTGGGAGTCGAGTTTGTTCATGACTTTAAGTAATGTGAGGTCTAAATTCTAAAGCAGCATTTTTTTTTATCCATGTGAGCAAAGATGCCCCAAATCCCAAACTTCACACATCTAATCATTCTATGGAGGACAAACTAAACTTACATGGTGTTAGACAACCATCAAGTTCTTGTCTCTGTCATATCACTCATACATTGGCACTGTTGCCTTTTCTTCAACAGTCTTTATTCTTTAAATCAATGGATGCACAGTTAGAGAAAAAACAAAACTTAATGGCTACAAAATATTTTGTCATTCATTGCATATGGATGTAAGATGTACAGTATTGGCTTTTTAGGAGTTAAAAATGGTTATCACAGTTTCAGAAACGTATTGAGTTCATGCTAGTTACGATCCAAAGCTTGTAAGCTTTATAGTTGATGTTATTTGATGTGTTTGCTGGAGCTCTTTGGTGGTTATGGTTTCCCTACTTCTATCTACCCCCTCACTGCTCATCTTTGTAGCAGTAGACGCCGTAAGACTTGACATCTTTGTCAGGGAATCCATGGAAGCGCACTGCAGCTTCTGTGGGGCTGCAGTTCTTGCGAGGCCTGGAGATGGGGTAGCGAACACTTCCATCAGCCAACCAACCAGCATCGCAACGGTCATAACCCTCAAGCTTCCAGGCTGCGTACATGTGGCCCACATTGGCGATCTCTGCACCATCATCTATGCATGCCTGCACAGCCTCGTCAAAGGTCAGTCTGTCGGGTTGAACCAGCCAGTAGAAACGTCCTGACAGAAGTGAAATGGTATATTTGTGATAAATGAATTCGAGAAGAAGCAAATATGTTAAATTTATTCTATCAAATCAAGTTAGCCCACTTGACGTATATGTACTGAAACCTTAGTCTAAAATGTGATGACTGGGACAAGCCTAACACAAAACTAATAAAGAATTATGAAAACTTATGATATCAATACGGAAACACTCACCATTCAGTGGAGAAGCAAAGCAGAAGACATCGAAGCGGCTATTTGTTTTGTCGCGGTTGCCGTAGTTTCTAACTCCTGGTCCGTTTTTGGTGCCACCACAAGGAGCTCTGGGTTTGACGATTGGATACTGCACACTACCATCAGCCAGCCAGCCAGCATTGCACCAGTCAAGTCCATCCCTCCAGGCACCTTCGAGCTGATCATGGGTGGCGATAGTTGCATTTAGGTCTGCGCAGGTCTGGACAGCTTCAGCGTAGTTCAGGTTGTAACGGCCCCCAGGGTGAGAGTATGGGAACACAACGCCTGTGTAAAGCCGGAGAGATGACACAAATGGGATATAATATTTTAATATTTCAGTGAGTTTTTGATATTATGTTAGTTAAAGATGGCCTATTAGTAATTTGCTTACATAAATTGTGCTTGTCTGACCCACTGCTGGAAAGAAAAGATAGTCTTGTGCAAACTGGATTTGAAAGTCTGCTGCATTTATGATCAAAGCAAATTAGGAAACTACTTTCATATGGAGCCAACAAGAGATGGTAAAATATTCATTCACACTAAAAACTGAGTCTGCACATCAATACAGTCCAAATCAAGAGAAGTATATGTGCATGATGATGAAGGTTTAATATTCAGAAAGGCTCTGATAGTTGATATATCAAGTTTCACTTCAGTAAATCACTAACTGTTCTCCAGGATTTGCAATGAAGATGTGAAAACTGTATCAGAGTCAGAGGGTGATTTTGTTCATGACGCTTTCCTTTTACACTCCACCCAAATTGAGCCTTCACACGTGTGAAAAAAGATCAATCTGGGTGGATGGGAGCTGCCCTTTGGCTCTGGAAGTGCTCAAACAAACACCAATGATTGAACGTGTTGTCAACAAAGGTTTGAAGAGTTTGTGAACAAATATGTGAGTAACCGTTTTTCTTTGGCACTTTTGAAAAAGGAGACAGGTTAGAGATCAAAAATTCTGATAAGTGAGACGGGTGTATGAGGATATGGACCAGAGGAGCGGAAAAGGAGTGTTTCTGCACACTCATCTTGAACAGAGTTCAAATGTAATCATGACTGAATCATCACAGTGGTTTGGATAAATCAGCACAAGCTGTCTGTTTTTCTTCTCCACAGAAAAAGGAAATATGGATGTTTTCAATAACTAGAGACAAGAACTTTGCAAAGGGAGAAGATCAATCCAGCATGCATTAAAATCAGAGAAAGGAAATTTAAAATGACTAGAACAAGAAAGCAACAAATGTCCTCCACAATTTCATTTCAGCTCTTACTTTGAAGCCCATCCCCAACCCAGGCCTTGAATAATAAATGTACAGAGAAGGATTTACCTTCAAGGGCAACAACTCCAACTTCCAGTTCAACATCGATCATGGTGTCATCCATCCCATTGATGATCTCGCAGCGGTATTTTCCGGTGTCGTCTTTGGAAACCTCGTACATTATCAAGGAGGCATCTTCATTGTCAAGCTCTTGCAGAAAGACACGGTTCTCAAAGCTTCCGTAGGTCTTCTTGTGGAAACCCATGGACAACAGCACATCCTCATTCAGGGACTCGTCATCTGCCACTTTGGTCCATTTAACTCGGATACCAACCATACCAAAGGAGGATGAGTCGTGGGCCAGGAGCCGACAGGGCAGGGTAACATTGGCTCCTACATCGGCTATAACCTTAGCTGGAATAAAAGAAAACATTACATAACTTAACTGAGGTTCGGTGGTAATTTGGCGTGTGATCCGTGGAACTAAAGTGAAAAAATAATAGCCAATGGTGCATAAATCTGTGTGATGATTTCTAAGATTGCTTAAAACTGAGGCAGTTTTGAGTACACCAAATCAAAAAAGGCCTAAATATATGTGATATATTATCACGTTAGTTCCACAGTATGTTCTGGTATGTTCACTGTATAATACATGTGTTTCAGATGTGCAGTTACAGTAAGTGTATTTGTCACAGATGCTATCAAAGAGTCTGGGTGTTTCTTGTTTGGTTTATTAGATACAGGTTGGACACTAGCCAGTCTTCAGCCCCCAGAGCCAATCTTCCCCTTCACTCTCCTTCCTGCTCTCCTCAGCGTAGGCACTTATAAACCTTTAGCTCGAAGCATTAACCCTCAACATACAGTTTTTATGTGTCATCTGCTCCGTCTGATTTTTGTTAGGTACCAAGTGGATAACAGGAGAAGTAAGCATAAAGCATTGTTAATGATATACAGAGTTGAGCTGTCATCATTATTTTCCCCTCTGTGTATTTACTCTGTGCACTTTCATTATATCCTTTCTGTCTAAGCCGGACCACCCTTTAAATCAAAACAGCAGGTCATTTGTGTCTCGCCGCGGGTTCCCACAATCTCCTTGACCCTCATGTTTAGACCTCACAGGGCTTGCTTAGTTAAGAAGACCCTGGCCAGCGAGGGGTGGCCTGTGCCAAGCAATAATAAGCACCAGATGGACGGATGGATGTGATCCCTAACACCCATCCCCCCCACAGGTACAGCTTTATGAGCCAACTTCGTAGAGGGGTTTAAACTATATAATGCCCAGGAGTTGTAAGACAATAAAGTTATTAGACGAATAAGAGAATAAATCACTCTTGCAGACACAAATATTAGTCTTATGCAACATGCTGTTTTTGGTGTAATGGTTCAGTCTCTTGAATGTCTGTAGTCAGTAGAAGAAGCTGAACTGATTTATCTTACTGATTTGATTTCTCCACCCTTACCCAGTATGGATAATCTGTCCAACCTAGTCAGCCTCTTTTCTGACTCAAAGTAATGTGTCTGGGTGTCTCACTTTAGCAGCCCTGCCTGCATAATAACCAAATAGGAAGTACAGGGAACAATCACAGTGCCTGGTTTGCTGCATTTCACTCTAATCAACCCGTAACCCCAACCCCCAAAACCCAAATGCACCCACTGACTTTTAACAAACTCAGTGCCAAAACTGTCCCAGTCTGCCTTTCTAACCTCACAGTGGGTGCTTGCCTAGACTCTGTTCAGCGCTGTTCAGATCATTAATATTGAGCTTTCCCTCAGAAGGATTTAATTAGCTGAAGCACTGCTGACAGACCTAATCTACCCTTCGGTCTAACTTCATGCCATTTTTCTTCCATCTTTTATTAGACTGCAGTACTTCTCATATGGCAGAGACTCCTTCTACCCAATCGTCCCACCCAGTAGCCTCACTGACTGGTCAACAAGATGCCAGGTATTTTATGAGTAAAGAAACACCTTTTAAAAACTTCAAGTTACTCATGTCTTCGAAAGCATTTGCGATTCCTCAATGCCTGTTCTGTCATTGAGGAATGACTCAAGCTCCCTGAGCCTCATAAACTCTTAGCATGGGTAGCAGTTGGATAGAGTGTGATTGAACCTAAGGGGTCAAGGATGACTAAACTGTTCATCAAACACCCTGGCAAAAGTGATGGCCATGGTGACGTCAATGGTAGCTTACCAGATGTGGTGCCATCCAACATTAACACCTAAAATTTTCTCAGGGAATCAGAATAAAGGGGTACATTGTACCCTTTTATGAAGGTACTTTTCCATCCAAAGATTACAGTAAAAACAGATGGATGTAGTTTGTGATCTTTAAATGTAAGATGAAAGGAAGAAACTGTGAAATTTCACAGCACAATGCATAGACACTATCGCTGGGTTTACGGGCGTTAACATTATGTATGTCCAGAAGTGATAAGTTTCAAAATCGTTCAAAGATAGACTAATGTTTAGGTAAGAAAACACCCAGTTAATAGTAAACATAGAGTTTACTAGTCAGCTAATTAACTTTTCCAAATTGATTTATCATCAGCAACACCAGCCTCCTGTGCATTTTTCAGATTAGCGCACACATGCCTGTGCTGGTTACAAGTTGCTCTGGTTGAATGTTCAAATGCCAGATCAAAATATCATCTATTGTCTGTGCCTGTTTACATCCTGATAGTAGAGCACCAAAATATTGTATCCACAGCTGTTAGCCCCACCTAATGGCACCCCACCTAACTCCATTAAACTGAAAATATTAAAGATTTCTTTAGCTAGCTGGTAAATCTGGTCCTAGCTTGCAAGCGTGTGAACATTTAATCAGTTAGCCAACTAAACACACACATCTCCTGTAAGCATATTGACTTCATATTGTATAAATCACAACATGAAAGCATTTAAAAACACTCTGAGACATATGGCGTACTCTGGAACACATTAAAGGTAATGATGCCTGTGAGACGGTGGTAGCAGACGGAGAAACAGGCATGTTGAAAGTAATTCCACACTCTCTTCCTGCTCCTGCAGTAACCGGCAGACACATGTCCCACAGGAGAATGTGGCCCCGACAGTGTGGGGCACACTACTCTCATAAAGTAACAGCCTGTTGTGTGTACTTAGTCTTTCAGGAAGAGAAGGAAGCCTTTCTTTTCTTTGTCACACCTCACACCACATCCTATTTATGTAAGACTCCCTGAATTCAAAGGTGGTGCTAAATTGTGCCGTTTTACATAAAAGTGGGTGGTCAGATCAGTCTGAATGGTTGCTATCTGAATTTGTTGTGTTGTGTTGCAAATACGTAAAAGAAACACATGTGCATGACAATTAAAAAAAGACACCCTCTGCAGCTGAAGCCAAGACCTACTGAGATTTTATGACTGAGCACAATCCACTCTCATTCTTTTAAAAGTTGTAATAGCAAGTGATTGGAACCATCTGCTTCTATGTAACGCTGAATTGTAAATGCACAACAATACAGCGGTCCAAGTCTACTCGCTGACCCACATTTTCTGGAACCTCATGGGCCTAATGATGCTCTTAAACCCTTAGGTATAATTTGCGCTCCAGGTGATTGAATGAACAAAATGTTAGTGTACTGGCTCACATCCTTCTTCAATAAAACGGTACCAGTAACCAGAGCACAAGCTGCATGTTTTAATCAGCTTGAGCATAATGTGCCACACCCTCTGTCAGGGCAGCTCGTGGTGACACGCATTTCCATGTCCCACAGCGTTCTTCTTCTGCCGCATCTGGCTTGCCAGTGTCAATATGGAGAAAGAATTAACTAGCACAGCTGGGATAAACACAGCAGACTTCCTCCTACACTCCAATTCCAGTGAAATCTTTTCCTGCTTTCTATCAGAGAGCAAACAACAACATGGGTGTGTATCTATACCAGGGTACATGGGAAAAAGGTATCCAGGCTAACATTTTGAGTCGTGCTAATTGACTTAAATGCAATGGCGCCAAACATGGCATCTTATCTTTAAGATGCCTAAATATATTCTAAAACCCAGCCCCAACCTCTTTTTCAGTCAAGCCCCTTTTCCCACCCAGCCCTTAGCAACCAGGCCAAGCCTCGGTAACCAACAACTACTGTAAGCATTACACTTAACAGACTATTACCTCACAGGGAAAAACAGAGTCATTTGGCTTCTGTTCAGCCTGGGACTCTATATGTTTGGCTTTGGGTCGTTAATCTTAACTCTGTTCCTGTCAGGCTGCCTGTTACTGTGGCAGATGTCCAAAAACTCCCAGTGCCAGAGTGAGTCAGTAGGTATAAGGACAGGCAACACCCCATGATCAGACAGAGAATGCACTCCTCATATGGCTAATAAATCTGCACTGTATGGAACAATGATTAAACTGAGCCAAAGCTTTTACGTAACCCAGACGGTGAGGTCATGCATATAAATATATACGTACAGTGTATACACAAAACACATGTGACTTTACTGGCCAATAGGATGAAATTTCATGTTTGGATTAAGAAAAAGAAGCTCTCTCCACCCACAGTGAATATTTTCCCCACCCAGGAGCTATTTTCTCCCCTCTCTGAGGTAAGAAAGCTAAAAAATCCCTAATTCGACGTCTACTGAGTCAGCTTGCAAAGCTGCTGAAAGCACATTAAATATCACTCTTACACATGAAAGTTTTCATTCTAGCCTGCCAGTTTTTTTTCTTTCTTTCACCACAGAAATAAAAAAGATGCATGGTTTCAGAGCATCTCAGAGTTTCATGCTGATGCAGGTGTGATTCAGAATTTTAATAGGCTTATGATGGAGTGCAGGTGCCTTCAGATACGAATGTTTTCGTTTTTGTTTAAATTTTCTGCAACAGGAAAATGAGGAAACACAACAGATTAAATCTCAGGGAAAAAAGATCAAATCTCCAGACTTTGCCATGAGAAATTCTTGCCTTTTTTGTACTTGAACAAAATCATCATTCAAAAAGTTACAAGCCTACTAGCCCAGTTTTAGGGGTAAAACCAGTAGCATTAGAGGTGTGGTCCTCATTCAGTCTTGCTGACTGTGTGAGCCTCAGTGAATTACAGGATAATTTAGAGTCTACACTGTGCTGGTCTGAATGCAGCAGGTCAGTGAGTCAATGGTGAGTCACACTGTCTGTGTATGTTTGTGTATGTGTGTGATGTACCCCAGAGACGATCCTGTTACCCATTTCTACAATGAACCTGTTGTTACAGGATTCTGGGATATGTTACCAGTTTTTAGCAATTTCATCATCTTTTTCCTCATGCACAATGACAAAGTACACACCCACAAAATTATACAACATGCACAGACTCTTAAATATTTAACTTTTTTGCATAAATATTGTCTTACCTGATACTGAGAAGGGAGGGCTTGTCGGCTGGCTGTATGCACTGCCAGCAACAGTCAGCACGAATATTGTAATGCACAGCAGACTCGTCATTTTTTTCTTTTTTTTCACACAAAAGGCCCTTTTTAGAAAAGTGGAAAAATAAAATTTGAAGAACTAAGTTATCAAAGTTTTAAATAATTTAGGAAAGCCAAATGTAAACTTAGACAAATTTGGATTCTCTTTCAATTTCTATTCATCTAGCTGTCCTTCCTTCTGTCTGTCTTTGTGCAGCAGCCGCCAGTGGTGCTACTGGAAAGTTTGGGCTCTTTAGTGGTCCAGACAAGTGCCTTTTATTGAAGCTTTGCACGGTTGAGACCACTCCCCCTCCTCTCATCACCATGCATAGCTCTATACTGGCTCCCCTCTGCCACATTATCTTGAAAAACTCCCTCCTCTCTCTTGGGAGAATGAATGATGCAGTTACACTCCAAAGAATTAGCCCTGCAGATAAGTTTTGGAGAAATATTGGACTGAACTTCAACTAAAATGACTTGACAGTAAAAATGACTAACCTATGATCAAATTTAATCTGGTCACCTTTGTTCTCATCTGGGGATTTGTTGAGGCATAAACTTGAAATGTTAAAATGATTTTGCATACACCCATTGTTCCCAGTATTGTGACTTAAGTAAACTCCTGTTCTTTTTTACTCTGATTTGTTTCAGTTTTACATCCTATCTAATTATTATTTTAACTTTCATGGCCTTTTTACTTGGCTTTATTTTAAAAAATAATAAAAATGAGTATCATGAATAAAAACTTCAGCTGTGCATTACACCAAATTCTCAAAATGACCTGGACACTTTCCACTATTCATGTACATGTGTGCTGACTTTGCAGCTTTGTTGGCTTAAACGTGTGTTGGATGCAATACCATTAAATGTAAAGGGGCCATAAAAATGATGTATACAGAAAGTCTGCCTTCAGGTTGTACTTTAGCATGTACTTCTTTGCTTCTTAAATTTATTACCCCCCCTTTCCCTCTTTTTCTTTCATTTCCCCACAGCATTAATTCTGTACATACAATTTTGTTCTCTTGTCGAGTTTGAACATTTCCAACATCTGTAACCAAGTCAGCAGATCCCCACCCTCCTCACAGTCCGATACTTGCAGAGTCACTGCAAACTGCATGTGCACGTTTCTTAGTCTTTTTTTTTTAAATTGTGGCACAGTTAAGAGAGTACATCTAGAGGGGGTAGGACATGGATGTGCGAACAGTCATGAGCTGAGGGGGCCTGTGTGGTCTCCTCTAAACGTTTATTCAGCCGTCCCAATTGTCTCTGAAGGATGGTGCAGGGAGTGCAGAAACACGCTGCAGATGCTGCCCCTGGACCACTCCATCATTGGAGTTGTTGCAGCTGGGAAAACCCAAACAGTTTTCTTGCTCTCTGTCTCTCTTTTTCCTTCCTTACCCCTGTCTGTCAATCCCTCAGACCCCGCAGAGATTACATGGTGGGCCCCTGTTGTATACTCTAAAGTCCCAGCTTGCCCCGGGTACAGCCCCTCGACTCCTTCCCTTAAAACGCCCCAGCCCTCTAGAGATCTGAAAAACTATTGCATAAGACGGTACACTGAGTGAAATTATAAACATGCATGGCCCCAGTGTGAGGGCACAGAGACTCCTGACACAGAGTGAGTTAAAACCGCTCACCTACTGCATCATGGCAGCATCTGTGAGGTACTCTGAGCATATCAAAGGCAATTGTAGTAATTTAACCGTTAACGGCAAGATTGCTGCATCAAAGCAGACGCTTCCTTCCTTCCCAGCAACCAGCTATTTGTGCAAACAGAAAAATCTGGTAAACATGTGTTTGAAGAAAATTACCTTTGTGTTACGATATCCCCATGCTGTCCTGCTTGACAAGAAAATTTAAAAAGGAAAGGAACAGTTTGCAGAAGCTTTGGATTAACTTAAGCGAGGTAGACACACTGAGCATGAAAATAGAGAATTAAAAGAACACAGACTTTCGAGAAAAAGAGGTACATGACAAGACAAGAGTTTCTGATCCAGTTCTACAAAACTGTAAATATTAACATGGTCTACAAAACTACATCTAAAGAGCTTGGTAGTTTCCATGAGAACTACATTACAATGAAGAAGAAAGTACACAGCTCGTACTCAGAGTGAAATTACTGTTCCATCTACATCTCCTCAGAGCTGTCTGCTCAACGTGAGCTACGAGAGCTTACGTAATTACAGCAATTAGCTGCTGCATGGAGGCATACACATACAGCGCTCACTCTAGATAGATAGATTGATACATAGATAGATAGATTGATACATAGATAGGTAGATAGGTAGATAGATAGGTAGATAGATAGATGGATAGATATGTAAAGAAAGAGAGAGTGGGGGTGGGGTGGGGACACGTACAAAAGTAAGTCAAGTAAGGTTTTGAACCATGACGTGGTCTTCTTGAAACATTTATAACTGGAGTAAATTTGCTGTCTGGAAGACTTTATGTCTGATGACATGGCCAACTCCGTAAAGTAGTCTGCATACAAATGTCATGCAAATTTGAAGCGCATTATATCATGACAAACAATGTAAAACAAGGAGTATGTTTCGGGGCATTTCAGTCCAGCTCTGTGGTCCAAGTACAAAGAGTTGGTTCACAGAGATAATTAAATGTTGTTTCTGTTCGTAATTTCAGGGCAAAGGGAGAGAAAGGTTTGCTAACAGCTTGGAAATATTACAGACCCCATGTTGCAGTGAAAATGGGGACAAATGAGGGAAATACATAAAGAAATTATTGTGCAGGGAAGTGAACCACTTCATCAAGTCATCTGAGGTGATGTTATCCTTTGTTGATCGTTGATTTTTATAATTTCCTGTTTTATTTTGAAACTCGCCCTCGCCTCAGTAGACCCTGCCCTCATTGGACTCACCTGTGTCTTGTTTACCCTCGATTGTCTTTGTACTTGTACACTGTGTTTCTTCCCTCTTGCTGCCAGCTAGTTGTGTGTTCCTCGGTGTCGCCTTGTTCCAGCGTTGCTGATTCTTGGAAGTTGTTTCCACATTTGCTCGCCTTTTTAAAATCTTCTACTTTTACTGATGGCCTGTGAATCGAACATGGACTGGACTTAGACTGTTTGTTTTAAAACTCTGCCGTGTGATTTGTGCATTTTGGATCCATCATTGCTGACTCCATTGCTTCTGTCAGACAGAGAGTCAGTCAATTCAGTAATCACTTTACCTCAGCCAAGCACTGAACAATCTTTTGTGGTCTTTGTTTTTTTTATTTTGTATATTTAGTGTTTCTGTTTTATACGTGTCAGTTAAAATCCACATAAAACAGCTGGATGCTAAAGATCCGACTGTGACTAAAAAGTCAAATTGAAAACAGATTTGCATTTTGTAACTTGCAAACAGAGTAATTCTACATCAGATGGACTGCAGCCTCACATAAAACATGTAGTATACTTGAAAGAAAGGCTTTGAAATATAAAGATGATTTTGTTTAGGCAAGGCTCCACTATGTCTCCTCTGAATGAGACCTCAAGAGGTTAATTTCTGCACTTGGTGATGGGAAAGTGACTCGAGGAAAACATAAGTAAATACTCCTCTGTTTAAAAACCAGCGGCTCTGGAGATTAGCGCTGGCATCTTCACTTTTCCGGCATTGACAAAATAACTGAAATAGTCTGTATTTTCATGTCATACACATCCCATTTGTAAGCCCATGTGTGTACGTTTTTGCATATTTCTTAATACTGCGCATCTGTATGTGGACACATTTGGGAGTACAGAATGTACTGGCCTGTATAGATGTATATTGGATGGCTTGAGCCTGAGAGGAGTCCACCCAGGGTCCCCCTCACGTGTCTCGTGTGTCTGAGCCAAGTCTCAGGGCCATGAGCACATTCACAGCTGGCTCTCTGCAAGCTCGGCTCCCACCTCTTGGATGGGTGTTACGATCTCTGTTAACATATAGCAGCCCTCCGGGTCCCGCCCATCTGAGGCATAAGGGGCAGAATGGCGCGTAGCATCTGAAAAGTGACTGTGACCTTTGGGACTCTCTTATATAAAGCTTTCCATGAGGCAGGAGAGGAAGGGGTCAGAGCTGAACAAGCATGGGTTTTCCCATGTAAGCCAGGTTCACATTAGCCACCGCCAAACATGTGGTTGTCATTATCTGCACCAGAAGAACATGTGATTTGGCTAGAAACATCGCTAAAGATGACGCTCCTGTTAATAAGGCATTGATGCAACAGGGAAGTGAGAGTCTGGGGCTTTGAACAACCTGGGTGGAATGAATAAGCAAATATATTGCATGGGTACATACGTGAGCAGAGCATCACTGACGCCCCACAGCTGGTGTGTCTCAGATAATCCACTCCATATCAGATCACAGAGCAACCAAAAGGACTTGCTTTGTTTTGTTTTCATCATGGACTTTCTCCGTCATCGGATCCTGATTAGAGGTGGCTCCACACATGGTGGCCTTGGTTGGTACTCGGCTCCTTGCGTTGTTCTGCTTGCCATCAGTGAGAAATGGCTGAATGGTGGCCAGGGTCTCAGTGGAAGCAGAGTAGTATCACTGTGCTTGGGTGTTCAGACATGTCATACATCTGTTTTGCTTTAGGGCAAAATCACAATGCAGCAGTGATGAAACCCAAGACCTTCAAATTACCCTTCACACCCAAGTGGATTGAGAGATCAAAAACCACTTAAATGTAACATGACATTTAACTTGATGAATGCCTAATACTGAGGTCTGGCCTGATACTTTTGCAATATTTCTTTTTAAGTGTGCTGCGAGTTGTTGTTTGATTTTGTCTCGCATTACCAATGGTATCCTTTATTTGTTTTTCTTTGGTAGCTAGAAGAGAACATCAGACCGAGTTGTTAGGCGTGTTTACTTTCTGACTCGAAAGCTTCCGCTACCTGTAATTTCATTCCTCACATTACATAAGAAAAGAAACTTTCCAATTCAATTACATTAAGTGAAATGCTGACTTCTCAGCATGTGTATAACCCAATAAAAGGAACATTCAGTATTGTGTCACAACGATATGGAAGGACTTAGTGTGGCTAGTTTGCTAACATGTATTGACACCAGTTTCTGTGCCAGTGGGTGACAGGATTATTGTTGGTTTTGTTGTATGTTAAAGGGATATTCCGGCATAAAACTAATTTAGGGTCAAACACACCGTAACACCAAGTTAGACACCACCTCGAGAGATGAATGTTATGATGAATTTATGATTATTACTTTATCATTTCCTTGAAGTAATAATCATCATATTAATCGTTTTGCACTGCAGACGCGGTAGTTCTTCTGTCTTAGCGTCTCGGTCTGATTGCATTTCCATGAAGAAATGATCACAAATGTTCTTCCTTGAGCTGTGTCACCCCGCAGCAGTAATGGATTGGCCTGAGGTCTTGCTACAAACAAGCGGCTGCTGGAAGAGAGTTGGTGAGTTGTGTTTAGTCTCTTTGCTAAATTAATCAGGCAAATTCAAAAGATTTTTGGCTAGTGCTTTGGCTAGGACCCTATATTTACTGTTGATGAAGTTAGGTGCTGTTCTGAGCATTATTTGTGGTTATAGAGTGGCGTTTTGGTTGAGGTCTGCACGTGGATCTATAGACAGATTTGTATTGCTATTATGTGATCATTACTAAAGTTGGTATAACTAGAGAAGCAAGTGGTTGGCAACATTATCTCTCGGGGGTGTTACGGTGTGTTTGACCGTAAATTAATTTTATGCTGGAATATCCATTTACTTTGATCTAAATGTATACTTTCTGCACAAAACTAAGATGAGACTCTTGTGTTTTCATGTGAGAGTTGTACAATCCAAAAGAGTTTCGGCAAACTTTGGCACACTGCAGCAGAACACTCTGTCTGGAAATTAGACCGGGCGTAATCTAATCTATTGTGATGCAATCCTCAAGCCTACTGGCAGTCTTCTTTTAATGAATCAGCTTTAACTGACGTCTTAAATAGCCAAGTGCAGCTAATAATCCCCTCCTAGATGTCATTTCTCAACACCAACTCCCCTTTCTCATCACAAGCTGCTTTTCAACTGTAAACAACACAAACGCACGAAAAAGCAATGTCTGCCAGAGGTCCTTACAACACGGTTGATCTTAAAAGGTTGGCCTGAGCTCGACCAATCAAAGCTTTTGTCACAGTAAGACAATGGCTAATGGTTAATGTGGTTTATCTGCTGCCAAGTGACATCAACTGAAGTGTGGAAGTTAATATTTAAAACTTAATACTTGGGATTATGGTTTGATCTGATAGCCTCGAAAACGAAATGGTCATCAGATGACCCGTGAGTTTCTAGATTGCTTGCTAACCACTTATTGAAAAAAAAAAGGGAAGAAAAAGCACTCTTTTTTTGACTACTTTCCATATAGAGTATTTGTTTTAAAGAATCACAATTTATATTTATTTATGTTTCAGAATTGTGCTTTTGGCGTGAATCGATGCAGGGAGCCAACTTGAATTCATCCTCACTGTGTGAATCCAAAGATTGAGGCTAAGCCAAGCTGGAGCGCTCTCTTGAAAGCCACATGAAGGCTTTTGCATCTTTTTTTTTTTTTTCAGACCCTCCAAAGTTCTGGTCTTGCTGACGCAGCATGTAAACCTCTGTTTTACTGTATATATAAATATGTTCAATACAACTCACATGGAATGCTTTCCACCATGAGGAAACATTGGAGTGATTATACTGCTGTGTCACAAGCAGACATTTGTTTCTGCTTTTCTCTCTGTAACTTTTTTGTCCTGGTTCCATCTGATGCTTTGCCTGCGCTTGGCTGCCAAGCTCACACCAGGGGGCATGTGGGTGTATGGCTCTCTGTTAGCCACAGCTGCAGCAGACTGTGGGAGAGGCTGTGCTGTAACACATCTTGAGCAATTACGCCAGTTATGTCAGCTTACAAAATTCTATGTTGACAAAAATTGCTGTCCACCTTATGGTGCATGAATTCTAATGGGGAGATTTCACTGTCAACAAGCATTTTTTTGACAAAGCAATAAAAGAAATTTACTGTACCAATATGGATCACTCAAGAAAGGCCGAGTGATGAAACCAATTATTTCTGAAAGGCCATATTTTCTGAATGACAGAGGTGGCCTTAGATGAAGAACACTAACACTGGTACAGTGATTTTCTGATTAGTGAAAATGAGAGTGGTTAGTAATGGAAATGGTAATCCTAACCGCAATTAAATCATCATTCGCTGTAAAAACTTCACAAGTAAGGGCGTGTGGCAGACACACACAAAAACAGTCAACCACTGTTGTTCAGAGAGCACACAGAAAGTACCTGAGTTGTCAGTGACTCAGAGCAGCATACGTACATCTGAGTCATGCCTCACAAAATCAGTGGCGCATGGTCTGTGTGTATAGTATGGCACAACTGGAAGCTGCAGCTGGATTCATTTGACCCTCGTTTGAGGTGAGCTAATGGAGTCCTGGTAGCTACAACACTGTGAGTAACACTCAGAGATTGCCATGCTGCCGCGAAAAATACAAGCCTCCTTTACAGTCTCCATCATTTACAAGAACAGGGAAGAGGAAAAGATGAGAAAGCCTCAGTCAGAAGGGATAATTACAGATGACTAAGTCTGTCACTGTGATATCGAGTTTTGATGTGATTCACAGGCAAGAGTTTTAGTTTCGCATCTGCTCTTTTCCGAATCTCATGAACTATAAATCTCTAAAGGTGATGAAATCGACCATAAATTTTGGAATTTAACAGCTGAAACCAAATGTTTCTCAAACTTTGTCGTTGATGGTTTAATCTTCAGCTCCTCTCAAATATCAAAAATCTTAAAATTTGCAAATTTCATCCCAAATGGCACCCACTTCATGGGTTCAGTCTTCGTGCTTTTGGACTATTTAATTACATCAGACCAGCTTAGTTTGAACTTTTCCAAGCTTGCACTTCATCCATAGTTATAAGGGGCACACACTTAAAAAGTGCTCTTCAAAACCAGCCAAATTACTTCCTTGATCGCATCAGATACAGTCCAAATAAGTGTTACAGTTTCTGCTCCATGTGATCGAGTTAGACTACATTATCGTACTGAACTCACAGAAACAAACACAAAAGAGAAAGTAGGCTAGATTAATAAGAGATACTCACTGCACTGTAATGGGAATAAAATGTGAGCAGGAACCTGAACTGTGGGAAAAGTGGGTGGCAAGATCCAAACCACCCGCATAATATTTTAAAGCAATAACAGAAAGTCTCTTTTAATGTTGTAAACTCCATATAGAGCCATGTAAAGGTAAACAGAAAAGCGCAGTGGAAACCTAAATGTAATTACAGTAACAGTCAAAGCCAGCACATTTCTCCATGGGTTTTCTGGGTTGTATTCACAGACCACTCTGGCACAGTTGGAGAATTCATAGCTGCTCTGGGAAATGAACACACCCAGTGTAGACGTTGCTGACAGGTATGTTTAGTTTTCTTTAAGTAAAAATGTTAACAGGAATACTGAGACTCATAATGCGTCATGATTTAAATCATTACCAGATTGACACCCTTTAGTGTGTCCTGCACACTACTTTCTTCCATATTACTCATCTGTACATTGAGCAACCTCTCCTGAACTTTGAGTCAGAGCTGTTGAAATTCCTGGAAATGCAGCATTACTATCGCTTAAGTTGTGGAGATAAAAAGTAATGTCTTATCATGCAGGTATTACTGGCAAATCCTTTTTTCTGAGTAAAAGCAACATTCCCGGATTTCCTTTTATCACCATGAAATCATTATCACCCAATTGAATGTACTTAAAGAGATCTACAGTTTAAAGGACTACAATGGGTTTTGAATGCTCTATTGAGCAAAAGTAAGGCCAGATGCCAAAATGTGGTTGGAAACATCTTTAGTCAAGAGGAAGTTTCAGCATCAAATGACAACCCAAAGGCCGGAGTTTAGGGAGATACTTTGGGTGGATTCATGGCAAATGATTGCACCCTCAACAATTTAATGAATAACACAGGAGCCAGCACTGCAGCCACATGTGCTTTTCCTCAAGATTGATTTAGGGAGCCAATAAAAGTCATACAATCCATGTAGACTTCAGAGTCCCAACCAGAGCTCTGGCCAAGGACAGGGGCTGGGTCACTCAGCCACCTGGCATTGTGAAGAAAAGACAGACCTCACCTTCAATCAGCTCTCTGGCATGATGTTTAGATTGCACAAACCGGAAAAAAAAGAGAGGAAAAAAAAAAGAAAAAAACAAAAAGGGTTGTTAGCATCCATTTGCAGATTGAAAACAGATGGTGTCCAAACTCAAAGTGCTGCATGATCAAAAGTAAAAGATGTTTACGAAAATGTCAGAAGTTAAAACTCCTCTGACTTGGGGGGGGATCACACACTTGACAAGAAAGAGATGGAAACTGTCAGTTAACCAGAGGATCTTAGGAGAGATTTTCACAGTACAGCTGGACAAGCAAGTAAGTCTTCAAGAAAAACTGCGTCGATCTCTCCCAAGCTGATAGTACGGTAGAGTTATTGATACCATATGTTTTCAGGGGCTGAAGTTTGGGACTTGAAGGAACATCGCACATGAAAAATGGCTTTAAGGTAAACTGTAGGATTTGTTTTAGGGCCTGTGTTTAACAAAGAGCCGTAATTACTCCAGAACATTTTCTTCATTTATAATCGATTAGACATAAAACCCATTTAGTGAGCCAAACAGAGGAAACAGTGACAAGTGCAGGCCCCAAGTTCAGTGTCGCCGAGTACCTCTGCAGATGTTCAGAATAAGGTTCTCACTCTTTCGCACTCACTTAGAGCTAATACTGTGGAAAGCTTATGCCAAAATACACAACTCCACCAAGGAAGGAAATCAAATAGACTCAAATTTAGATCTAATATATTAAAAAATGGGCAGAATTCTTACAGGCTTCTTTTAACCATAGTTGCATGGTCTTCGTTTACCTCAGGGTGGAGAGCTTTTAAACAATTTCAGCATCATAGTGCTTTGTCTGCGTTGAATTAAGGAGTCCAACAAATCTTATTACTGCACTATTTCCTGGTTTATATGGTAAGAATGAGAGAGCGAACAGTGACTAGATCTAATTTCAAGTTTCAACAACATATTTGACAACCCTAAGCAACCATTAGACAATGGCTAAAGGTAGCGTTCAGCCACTTGCCTATGCCTCAGTTAACTATGAATTGGCTGTGTGCTACTATGTTGCCCCTCAAAAAAAAAACTGTAGAAAAAGCATCAATCCGCAGATATAAGTAGAGTTAGCAAGGAAGTGGTTGAATGTTTTCTTTGGTAGCAAAGGTTCGCCTTTTGAATCCATTTTTTATTTTGAACATAGAAACACTAAAATTACAATTCTCGGTTGTATTTCAGGTTTCAACATAACCTGAAACGCAGGTGTGCGATATCATAAAATTCAGACTTTTCCACCTGAAGAGCTAAGAGAAATGGTTGGCATATGAACATACCCCACTGCTTGATGTCAAAAACAGGCGTATGGAATATGAGCATTCAAGATTAAATGACTGCTGCACAAAAGCTGGAAGTGCTGAGAAACGTCCCAGCACATAAATCAGCATCAGGGTGCAATGCAATACTGACTTGATGGAATAGATTAGACAAAGGCTTTATAGGTGATTCAGACTATTTATTCATGACCAGTGGTCATGAAATGTACCATAAATGCATTTTTTTCCCATCAGGCTTGAAGGTTATATTCATTAAACTGTCTGCAGGAGGTTAATATTCAGCTGGATTGGAGTAAATCGAGGAAACGCTCAGTCTGACAGGCTTTCCTTTGCATTTGCGAGCCTCGACGCATCTGTGAGGGCAGAATAGATATTGATAAATTAAATGTTTAGCACACAGCCACCCAACACAGCTTCCCCCACTCAACCCCAACCCAACAGCCCCCACCCCCTACTGCACACCATCTCTTCTCACAGAGGATCCTTTGTGTAACAGGAAGCAGTGTGAAAAGGGAGAAGAAATGAGAGAGGAATGAATTCGTTCCATCGTCTCCTCTTGTCGATCCTGCTGAACAGACCTCTGTTTGACAGGAAATAATCCTTTGGATGGAGGGATGCTTGTAAACTCTATTAATCCCTCAACATGGCTGGTGTTATCATTACAGGCCATGACTGTGTTGCTGGCTCTTCCATCCCCATCTCCAGTCTATCGCTGGATTACATTAGCATGTGAGCCAAAGATTTTCACACGTTTTAGCTCCTTTTTCCCAAAAAAATCTGAGACTCAAGCCGGTTACGAGGAAGGAAGAAACAACTAAACAAAAACGGCAATCAACAAAACATGCTAATGAGAAGAACAAAATGAGGCCTGAAACAAAGACTATCACTGTCACGGTTTTACTTTCTCTCATTACTGGTTTTATAGCAATGCTGGAGGTTTTCCCTGCCTTCAAGGAGGCAAATGCTCTGCTCTTGTAGACTGTGTACAAAATCTGTGCGGCTGTGATCACACTCCAAGGTTAAGTACGGAGGTTAAGGTTAAATGATTCATAGGGACATTGACGTAACCAGACAGGCTATAAAGTCTTCGTAAACAGTTCTGAGGGCTTCAAATAACAGAATAATCCTGGGGCTTTTATAAGGGTGCCTTAAATCACCCCACCCACCCAAAGGATGACTAAACAGGAATTGAAACTGTCTTTTTTTGTGGGTATCAACCACTGAATTCCTCTAGCGTTTGGGTGTATCTGTGAATGTTCCAGCTGTGCACTTACTAAACAGGATGCATCTTACGTTTGTTTTCTTCTCATACTGCTGTGTAAACACACCTCAACGAAAGTGCTAGAAACAAGGGTGGGCCAGAAGGCCGAGGTTTCAGGACCACCCTACAAATCTACAGCCCTTGTATAGACTGGAAGGCCAACCCCAAAACCTCAAATGGGTGCAGGGACAGTGTTATGATACAGTGCCCAGCTGTTCTCAGTTTCCACAGGGACAAACCTCAAGATGTACAACAACTGAGGAAACGTTAGGCTTTAGTCGAAACTTTCAGATAGGTTGCTGTGACATAATGTAATATAATGCTTCTTTTTTTCTTCACCCGAAGCAACAAATCAGTAATATGTCTTTTTACTTTGGCTACATTGGTTGCCAACTTACAGATCACAGATGGACCCCTCAGTGTGCTGTATATGTTCTCTCTGACAAGAAAGAAAGAAAGTTCCCCCTGGTGTAGTGAAACATAAAGTTATGATCCAGAAGTTGTTCTTCAGTCTGATCCAAGGACGTTCAGATTTCAGTCATGGCTTTCCAACACTGCTGTGTTCTGGACAAAGTGACTATTCTCAGTTACAGCAGGGCTGTGTAACGCTCTCTTCATCCCATTCCCTTCTTTATTTCACTTTACAGTCTGTTCCTACTCCACCCTTGCCCTTTCACACATCCTTTCTTCACCACCACAAACCCAATACCCTCCCTTGTACTACTCCTCCTTTGCCAATTAGGTGGATATTACTATACAAAACAGTGCCATTTAATACTAAAAAAATACTGTTAGCCACAAAGATCACCTATAGAACATATACTACAGGATATACAAGGGAGATGAAAATTGGATACATGACTCACAGGGTCTTGAATACAGCAGTCTTTTTATTCACTCCTGTCCTGCCCTTACAGCTGTTTTATGGCTTGTTCTAATGTATCTCTGTTCTGAATCAGCCTGGATGACTTTGCTGTAACATTTTAACATGATGTGGTGCTTCCATGTTCTGTTCTCCAACACTGCAATATGTGAATAGCTTCCACATGTATCCTACAGAAGAGGGTAAAGGGAACGTCAGCGAGTGAGAGCTGAAAAGTGAGGCAGCCTCAGATCTTAATGTAGAGTGATAACTGTAGAAAACTTCCAATAAAAACTGTAATGTGCTAACTTTAAGGACAAACCAAGAGCAAGGTTGAGTTGATTCACTGAAGATAAGAATGAAAGTATACCTTTTTCTGTGCATGGAGGCCCAGAAGTGCAGAACAGGGGGACTGGTGAGTGTGCTTTTCAGCCTCCCAGGAAGAGCTTACCCTAGGGTGCTGGAAAGGAAGCCCTGGCAGATGGTCGAACCTTGGATGCAGGAGGAACACTGCGGATTTCACCCTGGCCGTGGTACAGTGAACCAACTCTTTACCCTTGTGAGTCCTCTGGAGGGGGCATGGGAGTTTGCCCATCCAGTTTGCATGTGTTTGGTGGACTTGGAGAAGGCTTGTGGTCCCCCAGGGGTTTTGTACGTGGGGGGTCCTGTGGGAATACAAGGTTCTGGTGCCCTTACTATGGCCATTCGATCCCTGTATGACCGGGTGTGAGAGGTGTGTCTGCACAATCAGCATAAAGTTGGATTTGTCCCCAGTGCATGTTGGCCTCAGCCAGGGTTGCCCCTCATCATGAAATCTGTTTGTGATTTTTATGGACAGGATTGAGAGGAGCAGCCAGGGAGGCCTCAGAATTCCATCTTTGCTCTTTGCAGATGATGTGGTGACTTCTTAAGGTGGCGCCCTCCAGAAGGCACTGAAGCAGTTTGCAGCTGGGATGAGTGGTAGCACCTTCAACTTTGAGGACATGGTTCTCTGCTGGGAAATGGTTGAGTGCTCTCTCTGGGTGCGGAGCAAGTCTTTGCCCCAACAAAGGGAGTTCAAGTATCGTGGGGTCTTGTTCAGGTGAAATGGGTTTTGAGATTGACAGACTTTTCTACCGTGTCAGCGGTACTGTCGGCATTGTGCTGGACTGTTGTGGTGAATAGAGAGCTGAGCCTGGAGTCTGAGCTTTTAATTAACCAGTTGACGTACCTTTACCTATGGATATGACTGAAATGATGCATTGAAAGGAGTCAGATGAGGGCATTTAATAAAGATACCTCTTTTTTAAGGTGTTCCAGGTTAATATATGTATTCACAATTTACTGCAATTTATTTATATGTGCACATGTATATATTCCATGCCAACCATATGAAAATTATTGCTCCTGTTTAGCCATCCCAGTCACAATTGTACATTTTCAAAAGCATACAGCAGTGAGCCGCCATTACTGCATTTCAAATAGGATGTTCAGTGCACAAACAAAACTTGGAGGGAGAATAATAGGATAAGATGTTGAAGGTAAATCTGGGGAAACCCCTGTGTATTGTAGCGTTCCCTCACAGGCAGCGGTGAACCAGCAACGTTCCACTTCACCTGCTCTCTTAATGAGAAAAACATGCAGAACCAATCAAGAGACTGTGTGTGGAACAGTAATGCTCTTTGTGTAGCGCTGGTTACCAGAGTTTAAAAGAGCATTTTACTTCAAAGAGCCACTGTGAGACCATGACATACTTTGAGTAAAGATGGGTGGAGATCGGTTTTGTTGCTCTCTGAGTTCATATTAATAATCTTTCATCCCCCTCGTAAAATGAACCAGATGCTGCCGCTGAAAAAAACAAGGCACACCAATCTGACAATAGAGGCGGTTACAGGATGAAGTTATGAAAATCATTAAGGGATCCCTCATGTACTGGGAAAGTTGGCCTCTGACAGAAAGAAGGTAAAAGCCTTCATGTTGATATGATTATCCTCCTCTATGGGGTCTACACTTCTGAGAGAATAATACTCCTGGACTGGACCACGTGTGTGCTCTGTTCCCTGCCGGGCAATAAACCTCAGTGGCTACTGAACATTGAGCTGTTTCCAATCTTTTCCTCTGCCTTTCCCATCAGCAGGTAGTAATGTGACCGAAACACGAAGTCCTCGGAAACCTGTGTAGGATCAGTGTTAAAAACATTATTGAGGAAGCTCAGTTAGTGAGAAATGAACAGTTTTATGTTGTTTTTCACAGTTAATAAAGCTAACAATGAAAAATAAAGAGAGCAGCATGAAGATTAGTATTATTAGGTGAACAATCAGATGCAAAATAACAATAAAGGGCTGGTTTTTGGACTTTTGGAAGTGGACATACAAGATGTATGTAAGCATCAGGACTTTAGACTACACAGTGCTGTGGATGGGCATTGGTATAAAACATACTAAAGCCACTTGGAGTCAATTTTCTGTGAGCTGTGTGCTATTTTTCACCTTATCACCTTTCTGATCGTCACTTTCTGTTAGGAAAAAAGCTGCCAACAGTCTGAAAAAATCCCTCCTAGAGCCACATAACCTCCCGCTGGGGGTTTCACTTTGATGTGCTTTTTGTCACTTTCAGTAACTCCACTGAATTAATAAGACAACACACCAGATCGGTGGATTTTTACCAAGAGATTTGGGCCTTTTTTCATATATTTCTGCTTAGACTCTGCATAAATTTGCTTGTTTCCAAACATCTACACATGCTCACATTATGTAAGGGTTTGTTTAACCTGATGTATGTGAAATGGCATGGAGTGTGAGTTCATGGCAGCAGGCACAGAGGCACAGAAGTGGCACTATGTCACAAACTCTAATGGAAGTATGAAATAATAAAACATAGGGAGCAACTTCCTGTTTTAGCAGGATATTTTCTTATTAAGTTTTTACAGTTGCTGTGTGTGACCACTCAGGTTTATTCTTTTAGGATTCTGCTTGACAGTTGACCCCATTTAGTATAAATAATGTAGTTATATAAGCTCCCTTCAGAATTCCTCTCCTTGACACTTAACTCCATGGGAAACAGCCAGTCACATTGTTGGCCGTTCTGGGGTGCAATGGACCCCCTCAAATGTAAAGAAACAGCATGTCAATGTGGGTTCACTCAAACAGAAATACGACACAGTGACTGCACTGATGTTTGATTGATTCCACATCTAGTATCAGGAAACTTGTGTGCACAGCAGGTGACAGCAGAGAAAGGATTACCGTAACCTGACTGTAGCGAAAATAAAAAGCTGATTCAGCAGAGACAGAGGTCATCACTGTGTCAGTCTTTTCTGAGTCACTCTCAGCAGGAGCTGTGGAGCTTTGAGGGAGGCCCTGATTTGCTTTCAGTTGAGGATCTCAGCAGGCCTCAGGAAGATTACCTAACCCAGTAGTCCTGCCATCTACAACACCATCAGGGCTATAATGTACAACCGCTGTATGCAGTTAGCTGCTGTGCTGGGAGTTAAATAGGTAACATATGGATGGAAATGTAAGCTAGGACTCCCTGAATGATGTGCTGAAAACAATGGCTCATAATGTATAGGATCAATATCTAATCCAAGGCGTCAGTAAATGATAGCCTGTGTCTGCAGGTTTTTGATCGATGTTCTCCCCCTCAAAGATTTGGAATGAAACCAATAAATATGCATAAAATAAATTGAAGCATATGGAAACATAAATACGTGATCTGATGTACGTTTTGTCTCTTGCATATGGTTTAAATGTTCCCTAAGCTTAGTGATGCAAACATATTGATGATGGGGGGGCCTTTAGCATTTTAGATTTGTTGGCTTAAACCACAACATTAGAAACAGTGTGCTTTGCTATTGCTGCACACGATTCCACTCAACACTGACCTATTGTTGCAAAAAATGGGAGGAAAAAAAAACATTTGGTACCACTTAGCTCTGAGGGGTCCCATGTGTTTCCTGTAACTTTAAAGGCTGTGAAGAGGGACACCTGAGACTTGTCTTTATCTGATAATGCTCGTTCTGATTCCTGTATCAGAGAGGTCAAGAACAAAAAGAAGTTCAACTAACTCATTTTCCTCATCTTAGAACATAAGCAGTATTCAGTGGCAAGTCTCCTAGCAAATCCAATCCTGTAACGTAACAACAGCTCCTCCCGGCTCATTGCCTTCCAGTGCCCACTAATGGAGTCTGCACTGTGCCAAGGTAAGTACACACAGCTAGTGTGCAATGTAAATTGACAACAGGCTCACTGTATATATCTATATTGTCTGACTTACTGTTCCTGTGGCTTACTTTAATGTTGTGGTTGCTGACATGCTGTGTGTTTCTTTCCTCCCAGAGCTTCCTCTATGTGATCCGTGACCCATATACTGGAAACTATGAACACACTGGGTTTGGTGGTCTATCGGAACACTGAATATTCCAGTAATTCTGGGTATGTTTTATTATCTTCAGTGGCTTGATGTTGACAGGGTCCAGAGTATGTACGTGACTCGCATACAAAAGCATGGTTCTTCAGGTACATGAAACTTGTAGGATGAAAGGTTGTGTCTTTTATGAAATAGGGTTGTATAAGGTACTGGTCAATAGAAATTCTATTACTCTCAGGAGATGCTGGTAAACTCAGCCGCTGTGTTGAGAAACCGTCCAGAGCTTGGCTATGAACTGCTGCAGAGGGGGTCAACTCTCCTGCATACTTTGGCAGATTGTATTACGAAACTCCAACCTAAACATTCATGTTAATGTAAGTGTATGCTCTGAGAAGAAATTGGTCATAGCCTCTTCATTTTGCAGTATTCTCAAACCCATCATATACATCTCATTTCACCCGCAGAGCACTAACTGGCTAATCAAGCCTGTGATGTGCAAGTTAACTTTATTTTTGCCAAATAAACTGATATATTATGAACTTTTAAATCTCAGTTTGGCATAATTTCAATCAACAAATGCTGGACATCATCTTCAAGTGTTTATTTTGGCTCGGTACAAAAGCAAACACATGTGGACCATGAGTTGTGTCACTATGCAAGAAAAAAACAGTGAAGGCCGAACTCTTACTTTGAAGACACTCATTCATTCGGCTTTTCTGATTTAACTTCAAGGAGGTCAATAAAACAGATGCACTCAGCTGTGAACCCTGGATGGCAACTCTAGCCGTTTTCATTGATGTGTTTTTTACAATATAAAACAAGACAGCTTGGCTAGATTTTAACTTTTTGGATGGATGATAAATACACCCTGAAGCATCTGTGCCTTGTTATCATGTGGAGAGTACACTTCCACAGGCTGGAGCCCATCTCTACTTAAATTTGGGGAAATATGGGTTCCAACAAGAGGATTCAATGAAAAGTTTCCAGCTCACCTTTACTGCACATTATTGGACTTCACAGTTTTATGTACTATGTATATCACATAGAAGAAATACATATAGAAGAGTAGCCAGTTAAAAGTAAAAACAGAGAGCACTTTGAGCCGCCAGCTAAACCTGAAACGACAGGATAATGACCAATAGTAATCACATATTTAATTGAATCTCACTAAAAACATCCTCTCACTACAAGCAAACATCCATTAATGTGCCCTGGCCTCTACTGGCTTAATAGGGGCACAACACTTCATTAGCAAACTCACAGGTTAGTCAACAACATGCCATTATTAATGAGCGGCACCATAAATGATCATTATAACACTGACTATGACTGATGTTTGAATGGTTTTTCTGGCATGGCTCAATCATGGTTTATGTAAATCCCACTTACAAATCCTGCTGCATTAACAGCCTGTTGCTGGTATTTAAAAGACAAAAAATGTTGTTTTTTTTCCCCCTTCTCAGAGGCAATATTATGAAATATATAAAGATTCTTGGATGCTCATAAAACTCAAGAGTCACACAAGATGCTCTGTTAATTACAAACCCATGAAGGCGGTGAAAATAATAATAAACCACAGGGCTGCAGATTCTAATGACAGAGCAAATCTACAACAGATTGAAAACATAATGCGAGTCATTAGCTCATTAGCTTGGCTGGTTTCAGTCCCAGATAAAAAGGAGACTGAATGGATACTTTGTTACAGTAACAGGCGGGCAAAGTCATTCACATTCAGCTAATGTGGATATGTGTTTAATTTTGAGATTTGACTTGCAAATGTCAAGAGTGCTGCTATTAGGTAAATGGAGAAGGCTTCCATGCTGTCAGTATATTCAGATGTAGCGCTACTTAATCACATTAATACAATGTTTAATAGTTTGTTTACAGTCATTTGGAATTAGGTATTGTGTTTTTAATTACCCACGAATAAGCTCTTTTATCATTTTGGAGTGGGCAATAACATGTCTCTACAGAAGAGACAAACCCAAAGTGGGATTTTCATGTAGGTGCAGTTACCTGTTGTTGTGTACAAAACCTCACTACTATGTTTTTAGACTCTTCACTCTCATCCTCTGCTCTGGGTTGCATAAGTATAAGTTCAAACACTGTCTAAACTTCCAACATAATTTCCAGTTTTGCAGTTATTTCAGATGTTAGCCTGCAAAGAGAAGAGGCAGTTTGGTGTCAGAGTTAGCTTACCTGAGGCCAAGGGAGTAGGTTTGATTTTGACACTGGTGGGGACACAAACACAAATGTAAATGTGAATGACACCGCTGATATTAAAATCTCTTTAAGCTAACGTGACCCAGGCACAATATGCCAAACATGTTGACAACTTAGACTTCTCGGTTGCAGGTAACATGCGCCGTCGGCCTCCCAACCTAGCAGGTAACTTTCACTGGCAGATGTAGGGACAGAGGGGACAGCCAATCACATGTACGCAAGCGAGAAACCGGCAGTCAATCGAAGAGCGATATTTAGGTTAGAGGCGGGACTTCTAGTTGAGACCGACTGTTAACCCTTCGTGTGCCATAATCATTGATTAAACACTACGGACCGGTTGTATTGATAGGGACTACACTGTAACCGCTGATTATCGGTAGGGACGTGTCTCTAGCGTCCCTACCCAATTCTACGCCCTTGCCTGATGCCCTACTAAGAAATCCACTCTTCGTTGATTGACCAAATGGAAAGGAAGTGCCATATCTGTGTTTTAGTTAATTTGGGCGTGCTTTCGAAATGTGCTACTGTTCGAAATGACACTTATACAACCAATCAACCAACTTAAACAAGACTCTAATTATGAAGTGTTCATGATGGGAAAAAAAGTAATAAAAGAAGATTGGTAGTGAGCTTTGGGGCATTAAAAATAAATTAACTGATGGTCTCCTGTATTAAATTTAATCTTCATTTACTAGTTAGCCAAAGTTAGATTTCCGAAATTGTCTTTCTTTCACTTTAAAACTCATGTGATGAGTTTTTACAGAGATATTTAGACATACTGTATCAAAGCTGAATTTTGCTGATGTAGCACTGTACTTGGCTTCAGATAGTAAAAGCCTCCCTGAATGTGCAATAAAATGCCTCCAAAATGATACTTAAAAAAATATGTTGTAATTCCTGTCAGCAGTCCAACTTGGGGGTTTCCTCATGTATATTGTGGGGCCCCTGTTGGGTAATTTCCATGAGAATTATTTATTTTGTGTCACCGGTGTATACACTGTAATCATCCAAATGGCCCTTACGGCCTCTAGCAGCCAGGTCAACTGAAGTATCACAGCCACAAACACATCATCTATCATGGCACTCTTAACAGCTACATGCTCACTACCAAGGCAGCTCTGATCATGGTACTCTTCCTTTAATTTTCACAATATAACTTACTCAATGACTGACTTTGGAAGTCTTTATCTCAGCTGTCAGCTCATGAGGCTTCCTGCTCTGCTTAATGACTGAATGATGCAGTAATGGCTGATATCATTAAACTAACAGTGTGTATTAACACAGCTTACCCTGCGGTGCGCTGATAAAGAGCCACACAGATCACTGCAGACTCTCAGAGGGCCTTCTAACATGGTGTATATGTGACACAATATAGATGGCGTAACATTATGTAATCAATGTAATGCTAATCTCCAGTTGTCTTTAGAGAGCAGCGTGACTCAACACACTTATAGAAACCATACGTGGAAACAAATTGTGGCCGTGGGATTGGCAGTGTTCGTTTCTCCATACGTCAAGAAAAAGATGACATACTGTTTTCGGTCAGGGGTCTCACTGTATGGGCTGTCACTTAAGATGCATTGCTAACCCCAGCAGCGCATGAACATCATATAGCTGGCAGTTAAATGCATGCAGCTGTGCTCTTTATCAATGTCTTCTTCTGTTCTGAATCTTCTGTAATTATGCCAATGCCATAACTCACACAGTGTAGCGTCCACACTTACAGATGCCTTGTCTTGTGGAAAATCTTCTGTGAATACATAATGTAAAAGAATAAAGACTGATATATACCCTAGAATCAGTGAGTATCCATAAAGGGATAATAAACTCAAACTTGGCACATAAAAAGTGAATCGTTTTATGGTGATAAAGCTTTTCTGCTGACATTTTTAGTGTTCCTGTTGAGCAAAAACCTGCCTTGTACATCACCCTGTGAGCGTGAAGCTGCAGTTTGGGAGCAGAGAGGTATGTAAAACATATGCTACGGCAGCGCAATCACCACTTCACTGTAAACTTTGTGTTCTTTGATGTGCTGGCTTTGTCACAAATTGTTGGTATTTGAAATGAAGACAAGAAAACTATAAATCCTTTCACATACGGCACATGTGTTTACATTGAAGACTATTTTACAGTTTCTCTCAGCGAAATCATAAATAAAAGCTCTCTAAAGCTACTAAACATATGGCTGATAATTGTACGGCTCGATTTGAAAAATGACATCTTTATGCCAGATTCAGGCTTAAATCCCGGTGTAATTCCTCGAGCAAATTCCTTGTGAAGCTTGTGGCAAATCAGCAGCTGGACAAGGAGACAAGATGGATCGCTTGAGTGACAGCCAGCAAAACACCCACAGAAAAGCGCTGCATGACTTCGTGACTGCACAGATAGGCTGCAGGGCAAACACTGACGTGCACACTGTGATACAAAGCCAGTGACATATTCATACATGGGTTTAATGTGTTTGCCTCTGCAGGGAGAATACCCACGGATGTAACACATGTTTATACTTCCCTCCTTATCTCTCGCTTAGACTTAAATCTGACTCAAACCAAACATCTTCCAGTGTTTATTGAGAGTTAAACAAGCTTATCTGAACACATACGTGCGCTCTGCATGCTCAGAGCACACGTGAGTGGTGTTTAATTGTGATGCAAGCACAGCCTATAAAGTTTGTGTATATTCAGCTGTGAGCCAGTTCTGGGCAGAAGACTTGCAGTGCTGTTTTATTAGCGATGAGAGACTTCAGGGTAACGCCCATCAATCAGAAACGGCACGAGTGCACTCAGTCCACGGGTGCTGCTTTCTGAAGCTGTTAAATCTGTCTTTAATTTGTAGACATAATTAGCATGAAAGAATAGGCTTGTTTCAGCGGTTTTAATGCAGTGTCGTGCGTGTTGCAGAATAACGTACGTTCTCATCTGATAAAGTTTGTGTTTGAAGCTGACATTCTGGAAACAACAAAGTAGCAGAATAGAGTCCCCAACAAATGAGCACCAGCTTTGTGAGCGTGTGTGACATGTTCACATTAAAAGCCAAATGTTACCCCGAGGAAGTGACTTAATAATCATAATTGGAAGCAAACTTCAAAACAAAATGCGCAGAGTTCAAAAAAGAGACCCTCCCCTCTGCTTCCTCTGTGAATGTAATGACTCTCCTTCACACTCCTCGGGCGCAATGTGACATTCATACCAATCAGACCTGGCCTGCAACGAAAACACTTGCTATTTGGCTTCCTTCCCCACGCTGCTGCATGCACGCCTTTGCATTTTTATTCTGTATATTCACAGATTCTTCAAAAGGAGTCAGTTTGAAAGGAGAAACATTTTAAATCCACAGGGGAAAAAAATCAATGTTTTTATTTTAATTAACTTGCTGTAATGTTAGGATAATGTAAAGTGTTGGACAAGTGAATTTACAAATCAAGTCGCAAAGCTCACCCATGTGTTGCTGAGTTGTAGGCGGATCTAAGGATGTTTAAAAGGATCCTCAGAAAAACAATCCCGAAGGCTACAAGGTTGTTTCTCAACATGACAGCAAAACACAGCATCAGCAACAACAGTTTATAGTGCACCACAAAAAAAATGACACTGCTGTAAGTTGTGCCTGCGCTGTGCAGTAGACTCATGACAAATGAGGGGACATGGAGAGGAATCCAGGTGACATTCTTTGGCTGACTGCCTTTTCTCTGCCCACCCAGGGGAGTAATTTCACACTGTTGAGAGGCTCCTGCACACATTTTTCAAACCTAGGAAGGAAGAAGCTGCAACGGATGGTAGCTTTTGATTTCCCATGTGTGCACCTGATGATAGGTCCGGTTTTTGAGAAGTGTCATGGATTTAGAGAATGGAGGGTTTTTTTTTGAAAACGTCTTCACAAGGTGAAATGAACTCTCTGTAGGCTCAAACACAGACTGAGAACACATCTGGAATGTTAGTTTCAAAACGAATCTCCAAAGCACTTCTGTTTTGTTTTTGCCCTTTCTTCCTGCTCGTACTCTTCTTTTCTTTCCTCAGACGCTGTGGGGAAAAGCAGGGAGAAGACGACAGAAAACGCTGCAGAAGTCTCTGATATGGGGACGACACCAACCCTATCTTTTTTTCTGGGTGAATTCTCATAAGGATTATCTATGGTTATGCTTCTATTTTTTGACAGGTCGATTGAACAGCGCTAGCTTGTTTTCTCTCCTAAGATAGGACCAGGAGCAAAGGAAAATACTTTGTCTGCTATCATCAAAGACCACAATAATCCCCTGTGCTGAAATATATATAACTACTGTCACAAAGACAGCAAAGGAAAAGCGAGTGGACACGAGATGAATACACAAAGAGACGGGATTTAAAGCTGCTTATGCTGGCTAACAACAGCGTAGCCTTTGCTGAATGTCCAGATTACTTGGCCGTGCTTTAACAACATATACAGAACAACTTCTACATGATCAAAGCTCCGGCTTTAAAATATACACCACAAGAATATTATGTCTTGCTTGCATTGCAGTTTGTAGACTGTAAAGTAGCCCCCCTGAGCCTTTTTGGACATTACCTCCCTCATCATATGGAGAAATGCCCCGGGCAGAGAGGCTGCAGAAAATGAGCCGGTGTTAGAATCCTTTAAACTCCATTTTAACTACCACGAAGGTTTTGGCTCTCTGTGTTTGCCCCCACACTAATTTATATCTGTCAGCGTGCAGGCTAATAGAGCAGAGTAGAAATACCAGGGGTATGACGAAGGGCAGGTTCAATGAATGAGCCCCTTCTTTTCATATTTGCTCAGGGTCAAAGGTCAGATGCAAGCATTTTTTTAAACTTGCATGTTGCATGCAAGAGAAGCGGTGTGCCGTGATAGGAAACATCAAAACGAGCTGAGGGAAGCAGCACACAATCACTCTTACTTTACAGATCGTCATGGGAAATTGTACTTTAAACATGTCAGTTCTTATACTCGTGCACCAGTTTTATCAAAATGACTGAAAAAATACTCCACATCTGTACTTTATGTCTCTGGAGTAGTTTTATTTATGAAAAAGTTACACTATCCATATAACCTACTTATCAAACATAATACATCTTGAATGCATGCGCCCTTTTCCCATACTGCTTCTCTACTTTGTTCCATGTGTTGTATTACAGACTGTATCAATCACGTAAAGCACCAGAGAAAGCTAAATACCACACTTAACAGAATTTGAGACCATGCAAACAGAGTGTAAGCCAGGTCAAAGGTCAAAGACAATCAACATCTTTCAGTAAAGGTGAAAGAACAGGAAACTTGTGTCAATATTGACTCGCTCTGTGTACTAACATTCCTCCTGCTGGGAGACCTGAGGCAGACAATGCAGGGACAGATGATTTCTCTGGACTCTTGGCTCCCTCTAAGAGTATAAAAGAAAGAAGGAAGGCAATTTTTGAAGTGTGAAAAACTTCAGCCAAACTACAAGAAAGCTTTAAAAAAAAAAAAGGAATAAGTAAACCAGCTTTACCCACGAGTTTCTTTGAGAAAAGAAGGAAATCCTTGTCACTCACTGAAGAATTACTTTGAGGAGCTGCTTTTCAGAGCGCAGACAGCCACTTTACACAGAGCAAACGCTCGGTCCTCTTCCTTCTGGTTAGTGATGGGTGTGTTTGAACAGGCAAATGACAGCAGAAGGAAATCACAGGCGTCTTGTGAGTTACATGCAACACAACAGCAGGAAGCAGACAGCTGTGAGAACGCGATAGAGCTTTGTTTCATCCCTGATCCACCGCAGATTCCTGCAGAGGAGTCTTCAGGTAGGATGGTGGCACTATTTTCAATCGCAACAGGTTTGAACATGGGTATACCTCATATAAATTGAACTGTTACACCCTGACAACCTCTATTTTCCGCCCACATAGGATTGGGTTGGATTCGTTTCTGCTACGCGTTGGCCTTATTGAGCTATGATTGGCTGGTCACATTGACCTCAGCACATCATCAATCACTGCCGCCTCCAGGTGCCCCAGTTTTTTCCCTCTCCTTATTAGTCTCTCATGGGCCAATGCCATGATGGATATCACCACGGGGATATCGTTCATCTCTTTGGGGGCTGCTAATGGGTTGAGACCACCCCCTCTCTTAGGTCCCAAGATGCAGAATAACATGAAGGATGAGTGTAGAACAAGGAGGGGAGGAATAGGGGTTAAACAAGGAAACATTTAAGCCTGTTAGTGTTATGATACACGCGGGATTGATGATCTCCTCTGAATAAGATGTTTGTCAGCCTCCGCAGTGAGGAGCACACTTTTTCTACCCTGAAGGTTATTACACTCAGCTCCTTTATCTGCCGCCATAGCTATATTACTTTTACAGGCTCTAGAGAAAAAAAAAAGATGGATGTAGTGGAATCATTCAAGACAAGATATCCACTCCGCCCCATTTGTTGTTCAACTAGAGCTTTAAAAAAGTGCTGTGGGTTACAAATCAAGTCTAAACAGCAGGTGGAGCTGTCTGTACAGTTAATGAACCTGGAGTAAAACAAAGACCAGTAAATAATACATGCTTAAAAGGAATGTTCTTGTCTTAACGTCTGATATTTCTCTCCCAAAAATATGAAATTAGGGCACATAGAGTGTATACAGCCCTTCTATGAGTCTAATATAGTGCAAAGTTGACTTTTTTTCAACAACTTTCTGAGGTAAGACACAGTGAAGTTGTCCCCACTGTGGAAACTGGGCCATATACAAAAAACGATGTGTGCAAAAATATGTGTTGACTACACATATCAGGGCTGGAGTACTGTGAGTACAGTTGTTACAAAACTGTGCAAAGCAGGGCTGCAACAGAAAAGCATTTTGCAGCTTTATTTCACCAAAACACAAAAACAAACTGTAAAATATGTTTGAATTGACTTTATTTTACATTAAAGATGACATGAGAGATGCAAATTAGAGTTTCAAGTCTCTGTGAGAATATATATTTTATGGTTTCTCTTGGTTTTTCTTCTGATGAATCTTTAAAATCAGAAGTGCAGTGCTGTGATTAGTTGCAGTGTGACCCAGTGAACAGCAGATAGCACCATTGGACACTTCATGCTCCACCTCTGCTCCACCCCCCACCCTCTTTATACAAATGGACTGTAGCACGGAGGTGGTTTGAAAGTGGTAGGTGGATTAAATCACAGCCTCTGTGTGCTCATAATGTACATTCAGCAGTCTGCCTCCTGACCTTTTACATCTTCACATCACATTTTCTGTTCAAACACCACTTATTTAAAGTAACACTAAACATAATTTGTACATTCTGAGCAGTTCCTGTGATACTCGAAGTTCAAGCTTGTTCTCACTGGAATTCAATTTACAGTACATCAAAGAAACATGAAAACAATAGTGGGCTGGGTGAGAAGGGGGACGTGTATTCTTAAGCAGTGTTCTAGAAAACACCCACCATGCAGGGCATTGTATAATGTTACACTGGGGTGTCTCATTGCATAAATATATGTGTGCTGTAACATCACTGCAAGAGGGTCAGACAGAGGAGGTATATCTACGATGGAGATGCACACAAACTGAACATTAGATTCAGCAGAGCCTCGGACAGTTGAATAGTGCAGCTAAGAAATACAGAAACATACTTTTTCAGAAATCTGTTTAAAAGTACTGTATTCACTTTGAACCTACTCAGAAGATGGCTTTGAATATTATAGCTTAAAGGTACATTGCATAGAATTTATCAGTATTTCTCTAAAGAAATGGAATGGGTTGTGCAGCAGTATGTTCATATAAGTTTGTATTGAATGAAGTATCTCAACTGCTTCATTTCTGATGACTCTTTTATATAGAAGCAGCAGTTCCGAGCTCTGAAGGCGGCAATGTCGCACCAACATGTTGGAATCAGGATGGACCAACTAGCAAGAACCAAACATGCTTCATCAGTTACTGGGTGGCTGCAGGAGAGATGAGACTAGAGAGGAACAGGTGAGATCAATTGTTGTTGTTGTTGTTGAGCTCAAATGAATTTATATATTTAAAGTTAAAAATTTGACAAATGGAGGTTCATACTTAGCCAGAATCACGGGAATATGAATCTGAGTTTACTTCCAAAAAACAAAAGACAAAACAGCCGAAATAAGAGTTCACATGCAAGACAAACTCTAAAATTGTCAATTTTCTAAGAGTATGATTAACTCAAAGCTATGTTAGTTTTCAGCAAGAGTCATCTTGAATGGATGTCACCTTGGATTTTGCTTCTGCTAAATGACATTTTAACATTCTAGCATCTCATTTGGTGTTGCTTTCAGCGATACTGCTAACATCAGAATGATAAGAGAGTCAACAATGAGGCAACATTGTCATTCATTTATTTTCTCTGACAGATACACAACTCATTGACCTTTAAATAACTATAATACTCATGGTTGGCCAACACTTAACCACATGATGCTGTTTCAATGGAGGATACCACATGTTTGAGCTTTTTGAACAACCTTTTCAGAGTTGTATAAGCATATAAACTTTGAAAGTTAAACTGAACATTTGTGCTTTCATAAGTCAACATTATGCCAAATACCAGACATGAAAAACCACTGAGGGATAACAGCTCATGCCTGACTTCACTTTATTACTGTCAAGGACATGACAAGGTCACTGCAACACCTTTACTCTCTGTCTGGGTGAGTTGAAGTCTTTTGGAAAGAGTGTGGTTTTAAAATTGAGAGCTAAAGTCATTTTTTTCTTCACATTCTTTCATTTAATAATTTGGATATTTTAAGGGGACTCAGTCTAGAGTTAAATATTGTCAAACAGTCTAAGGTTGAAAGTACTACAATAGTGTCTGAAACTGTATCCTTGACTTTTTGGGTCCATCATTCTCTGAAGAAAGAGGACCAGATGACCAAAGATACTGATTAGATATTAAGATAAGATATTGGCCCTCTCACCTTTGTGCATAGGGGGTTTTAAAGGCATCATCTGAGTGTTCATATTGTTCAAATATTAGCATAATGATGGAAATATTTTCTGTATTGACCTCTCTGCATGTTCACACCTGCAGTTTGGTGTGCTTCTGAGCCTGTATGTTCAATGATTGCATGTTTGCATACCAATACTATATTTTTATAAAACTATAGCCATGTTTACACGTGCAACATTTCTTGATCCGATCAAAAAAATTGAGGGATCAGATAATCTTAATCCACTGTTTATGGGTGCAAAATCAAATAATCCGATCATGACGTGCGTACACATGCACCAAGCTTTATTCAGATTAGAAGCATTTAGACATGCGCAGAGTTGTCTGATTTCACCAAAACAACCGCAGAAGAAGAGTTGTATTTATGCCTGTACTGTCAACAAACCAACAAACGCGGTAGTGGCTCGTGAGTGTTCTCCTCCGTTAAATATTGTCACTAGATGGCGCCCTTGCGTACTTATTTTACTGTTCTGTCATTACGCTGTATGTACGCCTTGTTACGTTACCGGAGGAGCAGACACGGCACCTGCGGTTGTGTTTTATGCCAGAGTGTTAATAGCGAAACCTCCTGTACTGACCTCAATAAACGAGCCAAAGACTGAAGAGTGAAGACCGAGTCAGGTAAGAGAGTCACGATCAGAATAAGTGTTTACATGGATACATTTCGGAATAATGATCGGCATAAACCACCCCCCTCGATCGGAATACAATTTCACTCCAATTGAGCTGCATGGGATCAGAATCTTCCGATTGGCAAGTTTACACGACACATTTCATTCCAATTGGGCATTTATTCTGATTATTTGAATCTTATGAGACAATTAAGAGGCATGCATCTTGTCCTATTTTGGAGGGATAGAAAGAGGAGGCCATTTCTCATCAATGTTCACACTCTTCTCTTCAAACCCAGAAAAGAGAGAGATACCTGTCTGGATATGTAAGCCTTACCGATGTATGCTCCGAGCATGTGTTAGGAGAGAATTAGAGGCACCATACTGGGAAGTAAATAGAACACTAGTGCCTGCAATGTGACACCTGCACTGTAAGCAGAAACATTGTTCTTGCTGTACAGCGGTTGTTGTGGCCTTAATCTGGCTGGCGGTACACATGTATGTTTGCACAGTGAAGTTTAAGCCGGAGTTCCACATCGGTGCCTCGTTTATTATATTCTTATCAAGTTTAATCAATAAAGTAAACCAGCAGCACAGCACAGTGCACAACAGATTATTCATTTCCTGAAAAAAGTGTTTTTTGTTTATTTGCTCCTGAAAGAAAGGTAGTTTTAAACTCTGATGAAGTAGTAAAGACTTTCTCTCTCCATCCACTTCATCATACATACACAGTCATGGATTGAATGTAGCACCTTCAAGGTGAGAGGTCAGGGAGTGTGGCTCTTAATCATTGAGTTGAGATGCTGACGATTCATGATCATCTCAGTCACAATAAAATGAAAAACAGGATCAAACTGTGATGGAGTTCATCACAAAATTGATGTCAGTATATCTGTAACGAACATGAGGATGGTGGTGGGTGATCATCATGAACTCACTGCTAAGTTGTCAAAATTCGCACAGGAAATATTGTTCAGATATGTTTATGCAGGGCAGAGCTAGAGCAGTTCGGGTTAGGGTGCAGCTTAAAATGATCCAGAACAAAATCAGTCTCTCACTTCTGTTTGAACCTGGTGATTATAAATTCCATTAGTGGTCCTCTGCTGAGAAAACACAACCTAATGGCGATGATGAGGGCTCTGTGGGTCTTTGGTCAGTTTGGGGTGCATCAGGCCGTGCCCAGTGTTAGCACTCTCCCCTCCACATTCCCTCATCTGCCCAGCCCAGCTGTGAGGTCAGTGAGCTCCGGATAAACCTCACATGGTCCAGAAAATGAAAATCCACCGTGATAGTAAACACACGCTGTTAGTTTGATTTTAACAGCACCCTCGCGGACTCTTTCCATCAGACGGTAGAGTAAACACACAAGTAAAAAACGAAGTCTTGGTGGAGCTGCAGTTTTATCTTTTTCTTTACACCCTCTCTATATTTGGACCTTAAGTTTCCCCGATTCTCACGTCGTCTTTTGTCCTGACTCTGTTAAGATCTCCTGTTTTCCTGCCTGATCCCTCAACCTCTTTCTTTGTTTACTGGGGCAGATGTGAAGTGGTATTGAGGAACAGCCTTAACTCACCTCCACAACAACCAGCGCTGCTGCTGCTGCCTTCTAGCCCTGCATTATTGAACACGCTGCAGCACGGCCCGAAGACTCGACACCAGGTCAGAGCCACAGATTCAGAATCAGCTGTAGCGGACAAGCTATATTTAAATCAGGGTCAGCTCTGCTCTGAGACGAGCGTGCAGTGAAATTACCATTTGTTAATAATCTATGAATGGCTTGTGTCTGTCTTTTAACATCATTGATGTCGGGTTCAAGGGGCCTAATCCCAATCAACAAGAGTTAATGGGAAAATGCATTGCGAGGAAACACACCTAAATTGAAGAACTAATAACCCTGCTTCCTCTATCAAATCATCTGTTTTAATTATAACAAAAAAGCGAAACGATTGGGATCTTATTGAAACATTTGATTGAGTTCTTTTCATTTTCTCATTTTTTCAACCTTGTGTGTTGAGACACCATCATTTGAGTGTGGAAATGTCTGTTTCTTTCACAAGTGCTGCTTCCAGGATAAACTTGAGGCCTACAAGACGTGGATCATCAAGCATTTCCCCCCAAAAGCCCCTGGGCTCCTATATATTTTCACACATGAGTAGGTAAACCATCCAATATCCTGAACGGGGCAGAAATCTGAAGTATCTGCTCTGCACAGGTCAGCTAATGTCATGCTGTAGCTCTCCTGATGTCTAACTCCTCCCAACTCTTTCGTCCGTCTGGGTGTTTTGTTCTGGGGGTTCAATCTTTTCAGATCATGACTTTCCAGTTGGGTGTGTGATGCACATACTTAAAGAACTTCAAGGTGGAGGCGGGATCACAGGGAATGCCAAGGCAATTAATCCTATGACCCGCTGGAGGTCAGAAGGAGACGTTCATGGGCAGAATTTCATCACTTCAAAGGAAAATGGGCCAGAAGTGTACCAGATAACTACGAAGAGGATTTCATCTTTATCATATTATTTTACTATATGAATTCTTAAAATTTCTATTTCTGTAACAAGCCTTTATGAATATAAATGCTCAATAAGCACAGCTCCGATCAGTGGCCTCTACTGAAGAGCAGAGACAAATATCAGTTTCACTGGGTAATGTTAGTCGAGGAAAATAGTCTGTAAACTTCAGCTGTTCCTCTGTGAGAAAATAGAAAAACTTTTACTATTTAACAGATGAGTCACTGATGCACCATGATGAGAATTTAAGCATGCCGAACCGACTGACTCTGAGCTAAAAAGTGGTCGTAAAAAGTTATCAGGTCTGCTTCTGTGCGAGTGTGATGATATCAGCAGCAGTGAGCTGTTCTGTTCTACTGAAGGACCAGCTGGAGCTCAGAATCAGATGTTCGGGTTATGTTTTTTTTTTTTCTTCCTTTTTTCTCCTCAGGTGTTGTAACAGTATCCATGAGGACACTTTGACTCTCCTTTGACAGCCGCGCTGCCTGCAGTCTGGTTTGCATCTGCCATCTCTGACTATCTGATGAGGGAAGAAATGGAAAGTAAGCAACTGCTCCCAAAAAATCTTACTTACCCAAAATGTGTTCCTGTGACTCAGACACATATGGTGAGTCTGAACAGGAAATTACTCTAAAGTGATTCAAGGACAGAATATTTCAGTGTTTGAAGGGAGTATCTCTTTTGTCAATTTGAGCGTTTTCCAGTCTATGATAGAAGATTCACTGTGTTAGCAAATGAAGGCATGAAAAATTGGATAATGTGTCAACACCTTGTGTGTAAGGGGTTCTGGGAAAAGCCAATTTAGCTCCCTCAAACCACATAATAGCAGGATTTGACAGCTGAGGTGAAGTTTTACCATCACAGATGCTGAGAGCTCTGATAGGACAGTGTCCTCAGAGTCTCATTTTCTAACATACAGAACTCTGTGAGTTTCTAACATAGATCCTTGTGTGCCAGAGTGATATCACGTTGGACTTGGGGTGCAGAGCACAAAGTGAGAGGGGAACTCAGGCTGTGCAGTTAATACTTTCTCTCGTTCAGAATTGACAATTTAAACCTAGTAAAGTGTAAAATTAACAGTTTAGGCAAGTTACTGAAATCAGTCAGAGATTAGCTAAGTTACTGTCTGTAAGAGTGATCAGTTATGGAAGAGAGTCACTTCAGTGTTCCTTCATTTTGCTGTAATATTCTCATTGATATGATCGGATTCATTACAGCCAACTCAACAGCTAATATAGCAAATTGGTATTAAACAACACACCTTCCTCTGAGTCTGTTTTGTCCTTCCTGGTTTACAGATAGTGGATGACGTGGCCTCTCATTGACCTGCTGAGATAATCCTATCTGTATTTTCTATTCACAGCATCATACTCTCTGGCATCTATTGCAGAAATGTGTTGTTTGGTTAGGTCCTTCAACTATGTGCTTATAGACCACAACTCACCCCTTTATTCTTGACGTTTTCCTCCAGGAAGGACAAATAACGTTGGTTTTTACAAGGTTGACAGCTATTCAGCCATTGTACATTTTTTGTGAGATATTCTCTCTCCCAGGACTCCAGTTATAACCTCATTGCCGGGTCAGATAATTAAACTGATGCAGGTGTTGTGATGTGAAGTAATGATTGATAAATCCTTTCAGACATCTGTTGTGTAACTGTGTTATTAGATTTGAAATGAAGGGCACGGTGCAAGTTACCACAAATAGGAGTGGAGTTACAAAGATAGTACTCGTCATAATAATAGATTGCAATCTATTGCAAGCAATAATTTTACAGATTTTTGGTGACAGTTTTTCACCTCATAACCAAATATTTTGTCAAATGTGAATGTTGTTTATCAGCAATAAGGTGAATGGAAATAAATCAGTCCTTTTAGAATGAAAAGATTAACAAATTACTAGATTAAACTAGACTAGATTAGATTATATTAGATTAGATTAGATTAGATTGATTATATTAGATTATATTAGATAAGACTAGATTAGATTAGATTAGATTAGATTAGATTAGATTAGATTGGATCAGAATGGATTAGATTAAACTAGACTAGATTAGACATGACTAGATTAGATGGGATCAGATTAGGTTAGATTATATTAGACTAGACTAGACTGGATTAGATTAGACTAAACTAGATTAGATTAGATTGAATACGATGATTTAGATTAGAATAGATGAGACTAGACTAGATTAGACTAGACTAGATTAGATTAGATTAGATTTTACTAGAGTAGATTAGTATAGACTAGACTAGACTAGATCAGACCAGATCAGATTAGATTAGATTAGATTAGACTAGATAAAATTACATTAGACTAGACTAGATGAGATTAGATTAGATTAGACTAGACTAGATTTTATTAGATTACATTAGATTAGATTAGTCTAGATTAGATTAGACTAGATAGATAAAATTAGATTAGAATAAATTAGATTAGATTAGATTGAATAGATTAGATTTAATTAGAATAGATTAGATACAATTAAACTAGATTAGGCCAGATAACATTAGAGTAGATTAGATACAATTTAATTTGTCCCTTTGTGAAGGTTTGCCCAAGGAAATTAAAAACAAATAAATAATTAAATCCAGAGCCCACATGTAATACACAGTTGGGATTTGTAACTGTTTCTAAATCAGTGAGACAAATCTGAATCAAAACCTCTAGGAATAAATAAAAACCTGCACTGCACCATCAGCCTGGAGGCAGAGTGAAGCTAAAAATAAACAGATTTTTTTAAAAAAAAAGGAATTTCCAGTGAAGTTTTCAAACAAATTCTGTGCAGCATCCATGTCGCTGTGTTTGTGTAGTTGTGTTCGCGCGGCAAGTTTTGAAGATAAGTCCTCAGCAGGTCAGAAAACTGTTTGATACTGAGAGAGTTAGTCGCTCAGACAGAGCACAGGTGACAGATATAAATAATGCATAAGAGGAAGAGGAGGCTGGATATAAAAAGCACACTCAGATATTCACAGTTACAGTTCAGCAGAGCCGTACTGTACTGTTGCTTGTGTAACTTTATTAAACAGAACCAGACAAGTGCAGCTGGTACAGTTTCAAACACATTAGCACAAGAGAATAAACAGGTATATACAGAGAGAACGTATATAAGGTACCCACACATATTCGTGCAAGTCTTTGTGCTTGTATAAACAGCCCTTAACCCACCCCCACTGTAGCTGACTTTGTGCTGCTACTCCCTTAGGCTCAGAAGACAGTCTGAAGCTGCACTTTAGTGCCTAACAGTGGAGAACAGCTTTAAAAGGAAAGTCTCAGGTCTCTCCATCTGTTGTTCAGTTCTGGGCCAGGCAGCAAGAACTACAGTAAAACCGCTTCAGTGATCAAAAATTACAAACCTCATGTCAGCAGCAGCAGCACCACCACCACCACCGTATACCCAGCAGTCAGTTGCTTACGTCTCCACCGAGAACCCCGAAGGCTCGCATTTGTCCTCCTTTGCTGTTGTGATTGATACTGCAGGTAGAGCGCATTAGCTCCATACAGGTGTTGTCTAATTAGCTGCAGAAGATTAATGGTGTGGATTAATCGGCAGTAAGAGTTTGTATGAGCACCTCAGTGTTCAAGTTAATTTCATGGAAATGAGGGTGACGTGGTTGTTCAAGTTCACGTGCGTAACCTGATATTTTAGAGTTCTAAATCAGCCTCGCCATTAATCTCTATAAACCTTGAGGATTAATTATACGGAACTGTTCCTAAAACTGCAGTCGTCAATATCTTCTATATTGTTCTTACTTTTGTTTGCTCTAGTTTTCCTCAACTGTTGAGGGTCCTTTAGTATCTTTCAGGTGCTTGTTTTGGCTTTAAGCTGTGGCATGCATTTTATTAGTGGTCAGTGAAGTTTGGATACAGTTCAGTCTTATACAATACTACAAATTAATGTTAATTGCCAAGTGTGGTGTAACAGGATTTTTGAGGCTTTGAAAACACCCTCCAATGTAACTTGTACATGCTGGGGTTTGAGATTAAGGGCCTGTGTCCACTTGCAGCATCTGTTTTGCATCCTAAAACTAATCAGTCAGTGTCCTCAGCATAAAAACACTCAGTGTCAGCTGTTTTTGTTGCTGCATCCACAGGACTTTTGGAACAATAATGCAATGTTGCCATTTCTCCATTAGCGACCAATCAAAATAAAAAGGGGCAGGACTTCTGAAGTTAACTTAGTCGACAACAACGGTAAGTCTAGGAATGTCTAGGGAAGCTAAAGTGCTGTAAGTGAAATTTCATAGCCAAGCCACAGTGAGCATGATGGAGAAGAACACAGAATTTAAGCACATATGATGCGTTCCAGTTGTACTCAGAAGTTGGGATTTTTGAGCTCCAAATCGGAAATTCATCTGGAACACCCCCTGAAGTCAGATTTCCAACTTGGAAAGTCAGACGATCCTCACCAGCGTCAAAATTCAAGATGGCAGCACAGTGCATCAACAGTAAAGAGTAACAGTAAAAGCTCTTGTAATGTATTATTTGTTAGCACTTCTGTTTTGTTTTTCTGAAATTAAATAAGTGATATATGTTGTACTGCCCAACATCTCACTGTGAACACGGCGCTATGGTGTTTGTAGTGTAAAATACTGTGTTGTGCATTGTTTACAACTGGTATCGCTAACAGCAACTATAAACAGCCGACAACGACTAACAACGGCTGGCAGTAGGCGTCCATCTTGGTTTTCCGACTTGTTTACTGGAATGCTGTCAACTCAGTGTCTATTTCCAGCTCCGACTTCCAAGGTAACTGGAACGCAGCAATAAAACAGCACAAATGGACACAGGCCTTACAGCCATTTTGACTTTGTGCTGTATGTTATGCTGTATATTTTTTTGCTTGTTTTGTTTTTTGTGTGTCTCTTTTAAAAGCTGCCAAATAATTTTATGAAAAAATAATTTTCAGTTCTCAAAACACAAAGAACATCCAAACTTCTTCTTCAGGTCTGGATGAAAGGAAACCGATTTGGTGGCTGTCAGATAAAAAGTAATAAACCGTCTTTAATGGAGGATCAGTGGAGCTGAGCAACTGTGTGGAGCCATGCGCGGTGAAAACAGCTGACATGAGAAACCGATGAAGAAAGAGGCTTAAGCGAAGACTCTAAAGACCCGGAACAGAGGGCTAAAGAGTAAACAGAGAGGGGAGGAGGCAAGTCACATGCACACGCACACACACTGCCACAAGTGACCAAACCCCCGCCTGTATCTACAAGATGCTACCTACTGAAGTTAGTAAGTGTGCAGAGTGCCTCATAATTAGTCTCTCAACAGGCTGGACATTGTTAATCTTAATCTGTCTCTTATCTCTGGTTCCAGACGAGGGGAATTAGCGGCCTTCACCCCTCCACTTGGCTTCTCTTCACGCCTCAGCCATTTCTCCTCATTATGCCATCACAGGACCATGTGGCCCGACGCGATACAACAGCAGACCCCGGCTAGCTCGTTAGCTCTATTCTAATTCTTGCCTGATGAATGATATGTAACCTCTGCTGCGTTGTCCCCACAGAGAGATCGATTCTGCGACCAGAGAGGTTCTTTAATCACGTTAGACTTATAAAGAAGTGCTTATTGTGGTTTTCAAGTGCACATGAGCACGGATGTATTCTTGCATTCACAGTGAGACAAATTCATGCGCTTAAAATGAAAACACCCCAGGGATGTTCATTTTTGTATTCTTAAACACACTCCTGTACACCCTAAAGCAAGGTGTGCATTAGAATTCCTAAAGCTTGTGTTCCTATTAGCATTATCTGAGCTCACTCCGGCACTGTTTCAAAAAGAAAGGAACAACTCAAACTTATCATCCGGCATCCTCCGTCACCATCCAGATAAAGCTAATTAACAAATTGCATTCTTCTACTGCCACACTCAGACTGATGTATCCATCTTTTACTGATAACCACTTCCGACTTGCCTTGCTTCACGTGTTTAAGCTAGCCCCCATAGCATCTTGGGAAAATCTCTGTCAGCATCAGATAGCAGTTCATAGTCATTCCATACACAGCGTAGTAATCCCAGAACAGGTTCTGCCAAAAACAAGAGATAAATAAGTAATGAGAGTGAGTGCATAGAAAAACATCAGCAAGAATGGAAGACAATGTGAGTATATGAAGTAAAAAAAGACAAAAGACGGTGTGTCTTATCTGTGAGAGGTTTTACCCTCCTTTCCTTTTTCAATCGAAGATACAGCCCTGTCTTGTCTCCGGAGAGTGACGCTTTCAGCACGGCCCTGCACCATCTGATTGCTATTTCACTAATATTATTTTTATGCAAATGTGTATTTTCCTACATCCTCTTTTTCATGTCTTAATGAAACGTCTGCTCTGCTGGCAGCACTGCCATCTCAAGCTACATGAAGAAAAATCACCAGATACACGTCTGAACACATCTGAGCATTGTTTTCACTTCCCTGGCGCTGCAGAAGAGATGAGCTGCACATGTTCAGCAGTTATGAAGATACAAGACACATGTATGATTGGATTTCCACACCAGGTATGTCAGTGAGTAAATTTTATTCACATGACATTTTTCACAGACAACAGTCACAAGGTGCACTCTATAGCCACAAATGAGAACAGCACCTTACTTCATCAACAGTACATATAGGGTCCCAGCCATAGAACTAGCCACCAAACATGTTTTTAGCCATTACAGACTGCAGCGGGGTGACGCAGCCCAACGAAGAACATTTATGATCATTATTTTATCATTTCCTTAGAGTAATGTCTCAGTCTGATTGATCGTAAATGTTCTTCCTTGAGCTGCGTCACCCCACTCACCCAAAGGTCTCCGCACAAGCAAGCGGCTGCTGGAAGAGAGTAGGTGAGTTGTGTTTAGTCTCTTTGCTAAAGAAATCAGGCAAAGCTAAAAAGATGTTTTGACCCTATATGTACTGTTGGTGAAGTTAGGTGCTGTTCTGAGCATTATTTGTGGCTATAGAGTGGCGTTTTGGTTGAGGGCGTGGCTCTCTGTATTGCTATCGTGTGGTCGTGACTGATGTTGGTATAACTAGAGAAGCAAGCAGTCGGCTACATTCATCTCTCGATGGGGTGTCTAACCCGGTGTTAGGGTTTGTTTGACCCCAACTTAATTTTACGCCGGAATATCCCTTTAACCGGAGTGTCACCAGGGACTTTTAGCCTCATACAAAAACTACAACCACCTAACTTCTGCAAATGTTGGGACTGTTTTTAGAGCTTCTGTTGGTCATGAACTTGGAAATTGTCAAAACCTTTCTCCCCCACTTCTAAATATAAACTATTAAAAAGTTATCTTATAAAAATAAATAAATAACCTACTTGTGTATACCGACTTCATGAATTGGCTGTGGCTTGGTAAGGTTGGTGTCTCCTACAGAAAGGTTCTCCTGGTAGCATAGTCCAATGGGACCAGCTAATACTGCCGCTTACTAGTAGAATAGCATCCTCCACCGTCAGTGTATGAAAAAGTGCTTTGAGTAGTTGGAAAGACTAGGAAAGCACTATTATTATAAGAACAAGCCCTTTATTCTCTTAAAGGTGCGCATTAAAAAACATAAAACTCGTCCATACCCTCCACAGTCTTAACTAAATACTATAGGAACACATAGTAACTGTTTTAGTAACCAAATAGCTCAGAGTGTACAAGACGGTGAAATCAAGAAGGAACTACTTTACATCTAACAAGCTGGCCAAAAAACCCATTTTGAGTTGGCACAGTCATTGCGAACAGCAGCAGAGAGGATGAAAGGGGGAAAGGGACATTTAAAATCCTTTTCACTAACTAAAGAGAAGGACGGGATAAATTAAATTCAGTCAAAAAGCATGCTTTCACACAGAGATAACACCTCAAGTCAGAAACCATCACTTTCACATCCATCCTGGAAATGTGGGTAAAATGAATTTTAATCATTGTACTGTTTTTTTCATTCGTGTGTAAGGAGTGATTGAATTGTGAAAATGCCAAGTGCAAAAATTCAAATGTGAAAGAAGCAGGGATCACGTTGTCACGGTTGTGTTATGCTTTACAAGACGCTGTCAATTTGATTGATATGAACACGATGCGTTAACACTTCACCACATATTGTTGTTTTTATGGGACAGAGGGGCTACAAAGATAGGGTGAGCACTGTTAGCACCCTGAAGGTTATTTTACTGTCCTTGTTGTAAAACAAAGACGGAGGGTCCAAATGGCTCTGTAATTAAAATGTCATTAATTTGTGGTCTCTTATCAGACCTCACAGACAGCTCTTAATGCAGGCCCGCAAGGAAGATAGAGCTCTGTGTCCCCGTACAGTACCACATGCTGCTTCTGCTCTCACATCGGCTATCTCAATTAGGAAACACATGACATCCTTTGCTGAGACAGGCTAGCTGCATGACAATTACATATCATTGAAGCAATACTGGGATTGGTTTGCAGGAATATTCCGCTTGTGCAAATAACTCATTAAGAAAATAAATTAGGTTTCATGATCACTGGCTGTGATGATTTATAACCCTTTCCTTTCTCATGACTTTAACCATGAGCATACTGTATTTTCCTGCAGAAAACTGTGCCTGTTAACACAAATGAGGCATACACACATGTATGTTATTATCAGATGTATATCTAGTGAGCCAGGGTGGCATGTTAATTTACAGTCAGACATTTTCTTATCAGTGAAATAAATGAAACTGCTGTTATTGTCTGTGTAACTTGATGTTTGTCAAATTAATGAGCATCAGTCACATCTCAGTTTGCGGAGTTTCATAAATGTAAAGAAAAATACAGTAGGGATCATAGGAGTGAGCATGATCGAACATAGAATTGCGACATTATTGTGTATTCCTATACAAAAAAGTGTTTTACAGATTTGCAGCTTTATTTCAGACTGTTTCTATAAACTTTACATGAACAGGTTGTCAGATTCTGTTTGTGTCAGGTTCATGCATTTCTGTGTCTCCAGCAGAGTATCTCCTGTTGTAAGATTGCCCTGAAGCCTTTTGGGTCAAGCTTAAATACAAAAATCATGAATGGTAGTCAACTCTATAAATAATGTACAGGGAAATTGAAACAAATATATCAAAGAGCTTTCTTATGGCTGGGTTGTGTTAAATACTTAATTCTGAATGGATAAAATGACATTGCAACAACTACTTTCAAAAATCACGTTACAACTCTGTCGACACTGTGGCAAAAAAAAAACAAGGTCTTGGTTTCCATCTCAGACTGAATTTGAGAGTCAGAAAATAAAGAAAGTTACAGAGCACAGATGTGACAGAAACATGTCTGATAGGGAAACATGGAGCCAGAGCCTGTCCTCTAATTCAGTAATAAAAACACAGAGCTAGTGGGTGTATTATTAAGTTGTTAATTTTTGGAAAGAACATGGACTATTGAGTGAGGAGTCAGAGGGTCTGTTTTTTTTTCAGCTGCATAAATCAATCATATTCAAAACTGCTTTGTCTCAGCTTGTTTAGACTGTATATGGTGGCTAAATAATGAGCAGTATATGAAGCGAACGGACGATTAAACAAGTTAGATTTCTCGCTGTGCTTCATGACAGATTCTAATTTGCATAAGCACAGGTTCACTATACATCATCCCTGACTAGGCAGCAGCATGAATGAATAAAATGTTATAAATCTTCAGCTTCTGTGATTCAATCTTTTTTTTCTTGAGAAAAAGTGACAGACACACGTTCAGCAATAGAAACATGAAGGTAAAGGTTCAACCAGTGAATAAGACTTTATAGCTCACAAATGGAGATGGTTCTTTGATTTCCCCCTTTTTTTTCATGTTATTTCTAAGTGGGCTGTCACAAGCGATCAAAGTGATACAAAAACGGCATTAAAGAGGGTATAGGTTACATACTGACCAAAGAGGATGAATTCCTTGCCTTAGAGCAGTCAGAACACTGACATTGGAAAAACTGACTATTGGAAGTATTTATGTGTATAATGTGTTATACGTATTGGTTCCCAGCCTGTGTTACACCATAGTTTCCACATTATGAAAATGAAACCTGGTAATAAGACTGCATATATGTTTTGTTTTGGGGCGGCTGTAGCTCAGTTGTAGAGTTGGCGTCTCTCTTGGTTATTCAGTCTCAGGTTAAAAGTGTAAAAGTGTCCAGAGGCGAGACTTGGCACCCCTAAACGGCCCTCTGTGGTTGTGCTGGGATGTCTCAACAGGATCACTTAAAACTGGTGGATGCTTTACGATAGGGCCTCTGTATGACTGTGGTGTGAATGAGTGAATGTAGCATGATGGAAAAGTGCTTAAGACAAGAAACAGTGTTGTATAACTGTACAATATAATCATTCAAATTTACAGTTTGTACAGATGTAACATGGATGAAGCGATGCTTAAGAAGAGGATTAAACCCGAGGAGCAAACTCTGAGACAATCGACCTTGCTTAACTTCCCAGATTAATCTCCTTCACTCGTCGTTCCCATCTGTTTGACCTCTGTAAGAGTTGGTCTGCTCATGCTTGAACTGAAGCCCACTGCTGAGCCAAACTGGCTGAAGATGCCGTGTTCCTCGAGGGGCTTGTGATGGAGATCAAACAGGCTGACTGATGGCAGAACGCAGCCAAGCCCGTTCACCTGACCTCGCACCTGAACAACCGGCAGCATCGGTCCTGCTGATATCCGAGCCCCAAGCCAGCCGAGAAAGGTCGCAGCGGGTGGCCTGACCGGAGCGCATGGGCGCACAAACGAGGACAGCTGCCGGGAACAGATGCCACCATTTGGAGAGCAATAGTGGGTTTTAACCGTGCGTGTTATGAGACCAGATCCCTCAGAGTGGAGTCACTGCTCAGCCAGATACCATACACTATTGTCAAGTTCTGACTCACTTATTATGCCTCAGCAGGCTGCCTTATTAAAACTCTCTATTTTTGTTTTAGTGTGGAGGAAGAAGACAATTGTTGGGTTTTTCTTTTTTGTTATTATTCAAGAGATCCTCATTGTTTCCCCCCAAACACTCTGGATTACTCAAGCAAACAGATACCAACGTGCCTATATTGCACACAGGGGAAAATGATAGTAAGCCAGTTATTGGTCTGTTCATCCTGCATGTTTATGACTCAAAGTTAAAAAAAAAAAACTTCAGACTGATTCTGTAATAAGTCGGTTTTACTTTGAGAAGAGTAAGTTCAGTAAAAGAAGAACAAATAAATAAAAAATAAACAATCTGCACAGTTTGATGAGCTATGTATAGTGCAGTCTCACTGTTAACAGCCATACTGAGGTTGTTATAAAACTAGGTCTCTCACATCAGAGTGTGTGAAAAGGCAGGGATGTATATTATTATCACACCTCCTGGGCTGTTTGACTGCTCCCTCCCTCTGATTTCTGTATCAAACCTGCAAGAACACACTCACTTTTTTTCTCAAGTATCGCTTCAAATCAGACTGACTCCGCAGCTCTCTCCGCCGGAGCACAACACGTGCCGAGCAAATGTTCCTCCTACAGTTGATTTAACTGTCATATCACATCTGCATCAGCAGCAGTGGAGCTGGATCCTGTGTTGAAACCCCTCATTAGTGTTTCACTGTGCTCTGATTGCTGATTGACCAGATTGGGATTGCAGGCATCAAAGCTGTTTCCTCTTCCAAGTCACATCCGGACCCATATTCCCTCCTTTATCCTCCCTTGTCTCTCAAGCTTTAGGGGGGTTTCTCAGGGTTGGGTTCGGGTCAGACTGGATTTCTCTTTATTCAGGTCTGCTTT